GATACGTTGTTGAATCGTGAGTAAGGCGATAATATCAAGTACTTGATGTGGGAGCAACGCTGCAATAAGGGACGGATCCGGTATTTAAAACTGAGAACACCGTCCAGTCTTAAGAAGATAATGTTGTGTATCGGTGGCCTTTTGTGTCTGCTTCTGCCATCAACTTGTTCAAGAGTAGCGTCTGATAAGTTAGTGCGGCCATCAAACATCACTGAAAGATGCGTTAATGACGGCAAGAAGTCCAGTAGCATTGGCAGCGAGATATCGCAAGTGTGAAATGAAATCGTCAGAGCAGTTAGCGTATGCGAGAAATATCTGATGAATCCTGGCAGTAACGTGCTACTGTCGAAAATAGGTTGTAATTGTTTGCTATGCACATGGTTGCTGATGTCTTATTTTTTTTTATTGAAAACAAAGAAAAAGCTTTAGTATATCTTTTGCGCATAAGCAGTAGTAAGTACTACCGAATACGCGATCCTCAACGCAAAAAAAAAGAGTATCGTTTTACTTCACCAAGGAAGCGATTGCTGTATCTTCGCCAAGCAAGTCGTTCCAGTACTTTATACGTGGCTTGAGATTTGATGTATACTAATTCGACTTGTTGTCCCAAACATTGAAGCATCGCGTCGCTCCTTTTGTTCCATGCATCAGGCGAGATTCCCACCAGTGTCCACAGGGCTGTCTGGTAAGTGGGGATCGCGTATAACCAGCGGCGACATACTTTCACACATTCGACACAGCCCGCTGTCCGATAAACGAGAAGATGTACTGAATGATTCGGGAGGCAAAATCGAGATCAAATCAGTCATATTACGTGTATGTGAAAGGGGACGCGCGAAAAGAAATTTGGCACGAGGCTTTTAATCGAACAAAGCCTGTATAACATAATCCGGACTCGTGAAATAATATGTCCGACAAAGGAAAAGCAAGTCGAACCAGGTAGCTCACCTGAATTTTATTTGGAAAAGGGGGACCCTGAAGATTGATCTATTGTAACCACCAGTAACTTCATTAAATCTATGCTATCATAGCGATACGCAGATACACATTAGAACAGGCTCTTTCTAAAACCATCGACTTCTCGATACGAAGGAAAAGGCTTCAATCAATACTCGGGTTTATTGTTTGCGAGCCGCAAAAGTCATATATTAGTAACAATCGCTTGGCCTGGAAAACACAGCATCCCTGTGTGTGTGGGTGCGTGCATGTTTTGGTAGAGCAAATATATCATATCTTCAACAGGTCCCCCTGATATCTTTGGTGAGCGATCATCACTTTCAAATAGGTAACGCATACCTTGAAAATATGTAACGAAGTAAAGTTAAATAAGAAAAGGAAGAGAGAAGTGAAGGTGTAAGGGGAGGGAAAGAGCTGTTACAAGAATCACGCTTTAAAGCAGGCACATCGGAAAGATTAGTGCAAGCTTTTCGATCCAGGTGAAACCCAAAATGATAAGAAAATTGTGTTGTGATAAGCTACGTGCAGGAAGAGTGAGAGAGACGAACAGCTGAAAAAAAAAAACATTCCAATTTTTTACAGATCTGACAATTATACAGGTCTGCTGGCGTATGCTCTGGCGTTGCCTCTTATAAAATAACCGACCATATCCTCGATAACAATTTTTTTCTTGACAATTGCTTTGGCAATTTAGGCGAACACAGAAAGTGAAAAAGAGTGCCAAAGCATTGTGATCGTGTTACTTTCGGCTACGATACAGAGCCACTGTCACTGTTCCCCGCTTTGTTTAGCACGGAGCTGTGAATGGATGGAGGGGGGAGTAATTAGCTTTTTGTTCGCGAAAAAAGAAAAAGGAACTTGTCGTGCACATAAAAAAAAGGCGAGGCAAAAGCGGTAAAACGCTTATGCGGAAAGTGCGAAAAAGAAAAAATATTTTTATTTTGTTTATCATTTTCTTATTTGTGTGTAATAAATTATAAAAAAAAGTTCGTTTCAATTATCCCAACATATACCGTTGGCATCACATGCACCCGAAGGTTCACGATCGGCTGCCGGAGTATATGACCACATTCCCACTGGTATATATTGCAAATTTTCTTCAGGGCGGACCACTGAATCTGCCGATCATCAAAAGAATTATGACAATAGCCAGCACAAGCAATGACCCGATCATGGCACAGAGCAGTGCATCTGTACTACAGACCAAAGCTGTACCAAAACGAACTGAAGAGAAGAGAAAAAAGAAAGGCGAAATTGCTCGCTTTATATAGACATTTTTCTCGTTCGGGACTTCAAATCCCCGTGAATTCTCATTGGCCCAGATAACGGGTTGCGTATCAACTTGTGGGCTGCCTACTATGGCATAACAAAAGATACAGCACCAAAGGAAATGAAAGGAGGAGTGGTACCTGATGGTCAAGTAGACAAGCGTGCTTCGGCGGTAGTGGTACGTGTCTCTCACCATGGGCTGCTGTACCTCCGATGCTGTCGCCGCTTGGTTGTGAGGGGGTCCGTGCACGGCACCGTGTCAAGCGAAAACAAAGACACGAATGTGAATGAGCATGTAGATTCACGGAAGAAATGCTTTTCTGTGAGCAATCAAATGGCAATACAGGAGTGATTGACAAGGTAAACAACTAAACAGGTTCTACGGCATCAGTTGTTCCTGATCCAGCATTAGTAAACGTTAAGAACACGATCCTCCCAGCAGCCAGTTTCTATTCTTCACCCAACAAGGTAAACAGCATGAGTATAGAGCGTAGTCCACAGACTATTCCATTTGATTAGTATCTTTTGATTGCATGTGCTGTGTGCGGGAATAGATACAGCACACACTTGACTCCAACGCTGCAGTATATAAAAAAAGATCGTTATCTTTTACTGTGAAGCGTGCTTGTCTACTGTTGCTTTATAATTTTCGCCATCCGCCAACAGTTCTCTGAACTACGCCGTGTAACCTCCCTCCATCCATTCCGAATTCATACTCTATCCAAGTATGTATGTGCTGCCGCAGATAAGCTGTCCGCTCATGGTAAGTATACGCTGCCGCTAGTGAAACTGACTCACCCTTCATTGATTTTCATTGCTGCTGATAAAGTTAATCGGTTCGTTTGTTTTTGTGCGGGTTCTACGTTTTTTTTAGCAGCTTTCAAGATCCATTGGGACGATCAGAAGAATAACACCATAAACGATGACTTCCTACTGTACATCTTTTGACCCTTTTGCGCGTAACTCGTTGCTCCATTGATCACCTTGTTCACCCGCCATTCCTTTGTGCACTTTGAGTACCAAGTAAATTGGCCAAATCGTTGCGTAACAATGCGCTTTCACTCTACGGAGTTTTCGTTTCAAGGGAAAGCTGTTGGAACGTTCGAGGTTTGACACACGCATCACTTGTCACTATTCAAAGAAGAAAGATCTGTGTTGCGCTCTTCCTGAGCTCCTCGTTCCTAGACTACCTTTGCTTCCTGCTGACTCACGTCAGTACAGTACAAGGGGAAAATATTAGTTTCTCCAAAAGAATGATACTTTAGAAATTATCAACACCAACAATTTGCTCGATCCCAGCTGTCCGAGATTTGCTCTAAACAGGACACCATCTACTATTAACAATATATATACAATGATAGAACGATAATTTTTTTCCACCCCAAAAGCGTTTTTGAGCTATGTGTATAAAGATGTAATAAGACATTTAGATACTATTTTTCACTATATCAACAAGGCAAGACATCATTTCAAAAAATAAGGAAAAAAGCTGCAAAGAACATCCTCTTTAACTAAACGTAACCGCCGCAACGTAATTAATTAGACCAGTTCTCGAACTTTCTTGAAAAGAGTTACTTTGGAGGTTGCTGGTCATCATCCGAGTGGGATTACCGGCTCTATCATATTTTGAAGCTCATACACAGATACCCTGGCATTCATCTGATATACTGCTATTCATCAGACATTTTGATGATTCTCCAGATCCATGCAGTGGATTACCTTGTTCAGCTCGCCGGGGAAATAGGCTACCGCCAATGGAATTTCGACACGGATTGGCCCCATTGCCTTTTCGTGAACGCCTCATAATACAGTCGTGTGGATGACGACATGGTGTTGGTAAAGGTAATAGATGGTAAGTTCCGTCAGGAACTCATCGGCAGTGATATTCTCAGGCAGAGCCTCAGTATCTTGTCTGTCAGCAGGATGAAACGTCCAATTATGTAACTTTTCGAGCATTCAGGCTACACAAAAAAAAAGTCAAGTTCGAGAGAAAAAAAGGGACCCTTGCGATCTGACCATACCTAAAAGTGCCACTGGGCTATCTACCAAACCAAATACAGGTGTATGAGTACGCGTTCCCTGGATGGCACGGTATCTAGCCTCCCTGTCATTCTCAACGTCTGCAAACGATTTGCCTTTTATTTTGGTGCTATCACGACCATAAACTGTATCGTATCCAAGCGCCAAGCTTGAGCACTTTGATTGGATGGTTCCACAGATTCGACAGTGTCGGGAGAGGCGGTACAACCATTGGTTAGACGGTATGGAATCCCTTGCGTTGAGTCGCTCGGCTCTGCGCGATCCATTTGCCAATCATGAAAACCCAATCCTACCCAGCGATCACTTTGTTCAAATGAGTTTAGTGAAATCCCAGCTGATCCCTTTAGCGACGACTTATATGGTGGGCTGTTGCAAACCAGACATTAAGGAAGATATGACAGAAGGGTGCGCACTGTTGAAATTGTCAAGAGCCGTTATGGGGATACCAACGACAGCTGCTCCACAAATTTTCTTGCAACCTCTATGCTCAAGTCTTGGTTATCGATATGAACCATTACTTCACCATGACTCTCGCACTATATAGTCTGGCACATAGCAACCACTGATATACGATAAAGGCGTGGAATGTTACACGGTGCTTTTGTGTTTTAAATTTATTAATTTAAAAGCTTTTCGATATGATAAATGAACAAAAAAAGGTGGTAATATCGCGATCCCGCCAGTGCCGGATGTGGTTGAATGTAACGGCACTGCAGTGGTTGAGTGAGAGTAGGGGACGGGTTTTCTTAATTAGTTTCGGGGAAGGATTTTTCTTTGCTAATGTCGTAATGGACAGTTCTTGCTTATTACAAGTAAGTTTACGGGCTTCGACTTTATGCTTCGTTTCATTCCCCGTCTGACGTTTTTTGGTAAAATTGTTGCGCGGATAAGTATGTAGAAAGCGAGGGAGAGAGAGGCAAGAGATAAACCAAAGTGTAGTAAGGATACCCTTAGGACCGACGGAGACGAGCCAGTGCAGAAATGTTACGCCAGAGAGTGGCGCTGCTAAGTCAAGTTGAAATTAGTCTATGGCTCGATACAACATAGCGATGCTTTTATCTGGGGATTTACGAATGACTCACATATTTGGGGTGGACCGACTGCTGTTTCTATAACCTTTTAATGCAGGCTCAAAACAAATGTTACTGGCATTAGCAAACATATAATAACCATGACTTTTGTACAAAAGGAAGAACGTGGCTGACTATAGATACCTTTGCAGAATACAGCATGTCATCCTGATGGCCCAGACGGCAGCCTTGGCTAGCAGAACCGTTGTTCGAACCGTGAGCTTGGTAATGAGAAACACGGTCCTCATCAACGATACTGCCGCCTTCAGAACCAAGGCCGCCGTCTCCACAACCGAGACCGCCGCGCTTATGATCAATGCTAGATCATCAGCAGCGAGCTCAATAGCGGCCTGGTTGTGGTTGTCGTCCTTGGTGGTGGCGATGGAGGCAGAAGAGGCAGAAGAGGCAGAGGAGGCAGAGGAGGCAGAGGAGGCAGAAGAGGAGGAGGCGGAGGCGGAGGAAAGAATACTGGCGAACCATCGGAACGCAGTTTGCAGTGCCGAGGCAGCTGCAGGCAGAATTGATTTTAGAGATGCATTTCTGTTGTGTGTGTGTGCGTGTGTGTAAAAAACGAGAAGTAGTAGTGGTTGAAGAGTAAAGAGATATCCAGGATCGAACGAAGCTTGGTATTTATAATGCTAGAACAAACCCTTAATCAATCCATCCATCCGCAACAGCTGATCAAGCACCTTTTGCACACTCAACTTATGTATCATTCTTGTATCATCATTACTACTTCTACTTCACCCGAGGGTTTTTCTGACATTTAACCTTGTTCTTGTCCGGTCTCCCTTGTCATTACTCCTGTGTAATTTCTTGTGACAGAGCATCGGGAAGATAGATCAACAATGGAGGATCTGCTTTCAGAAATAGCAGGAACCCCACAGAGAAAAGTAGAGAGATTATTTGGCAGGTTGGAAGCATGTGTCGCTTCACTGAGGGTTTCTTTTCCTCTTTATATACATCTATTACGATTAATAACATCTGCATCGGCACTACTTTTGGAGCCGTTCCCCTACAACCACAAGATATCATATATCAGCATTTAGCAACATCATAATCACATGTTGTTTTCGAAAAAAAAGAGCAGCAATGACAGGAGCTCCTTAGCAAGATATGCCGTTTGATCCTTGACGCATCATAAATCCTTGTCTTCTGATGTGCTGATTAATGGCCGTCCAACTTTTGCACTGGTTGTCTCCTTGTTTCTTTCACGATACTTTCGTCCATGTATTCCCTTTCTCTATGTCCTGACTTCCATCCCAGCTCTTTCCAAGCAGCAAGAACACTGCTATCATATAGGCTTAAACCATGCGGTATGTACAGTATACTCTGATCTACTCGGTGGTAATGTGATAATCACAGTTTATAAATCATTCTTGTCGGAACGACGGCCACATTATAATTGTTAACTTGCGTAACAGGATTGGGTCCACTACTTGCACAGTAACACAGTAAATGATATATTAGAAAACCAGAGCGATACTAGCTTGAATTTACGAGGATGCAGTTTCTTAATTCTCTTACTTGTATATAATTATCTTTGCAATCCTACTTTCTTGAGCTTGTTAAAAGAGTTGAAGAAATCGAACATAGCATCAATATGGAGAAGTCTTTAAAGTTCCACTTCTTTATAAAAGACAGATTGAACATCTAAGCAGTTTGAATACTTTTGACGAGGAAAAGCTCCAAGATGGCAATTGCCTTTGAACACAATCCGTGCTGTGGGCAGTAGCGCATCCATACGACCTTAGATATGCTTTCAGAAGATAACAACACTAGTTCTAGTCACTCACTGACAATAACAGACTCTCGTTGGTAACTGTTAGGAAAGAAGCCCTAAGAGGAAAATTCTTTGGATCCTGAAAGCTATATATACTAACGCATTTCATTCATCCTCATAGACGAGCAAGAAGTGTAAACAACGTCAGTTCATGTCAACAAATTCTATCTATGTGCATGCCATTTGATTATAACGGCTCCCGTCTATTTGCACTTCAACTGTGGATCCCTTCTTTTCTTTGAGAAATGATAAATGTTATAGGTTAATGCTATGTTCTTTAACTTACACGTACTCGGCTACTGCGGAGATGTTGCTGAAATTAGAAGCGCGGGAAAACATGAGCCCATCCAAGAGCCCTGTTTGAATTACTGTGAAGCATTACACTAACTTTTCACTGTTCGTTTATTGTTGGTTTCCTTGAATAAGGAACGTCTCGTAGCGATATATAGAAGTGATGTAAAAAAAATCTACAGTGTATGTTCACTTTTATTCGGATTCTTCCTGATCAATTTATCATGCATCCTTGAGCAGATAATACTGATTGACGGCTAACGAATTCCCTACATTCATATCATGATAACTCTTTCTTGAACGTTTATTATGTGTTGCTTCTATCTTTAAAAAAGCGCTTTTCTTCTTTTCCATGTTTATATCCTATATATATACTCCGTATCATCTACAAGTGCAAATAGAAATGCTTGAAATGATGAATCACGAAGCTTCTCAGCTTCCAGAGTCATCCGCATTAAAAACGGTGCGCTTGTGGCTTTGCATGAAGCAACTCATTGAATTTAGCTGCGCCGCAATAATTGTGCTACAAGTGCTGCGCCTCGTCCTTTGCAGTGTACCATCACCCTCATCGAGGAGGAGGCACCTAGCTTTTTATTTTCCTATTTAAATACACTCAACTGTATAAAGAGCTAGATCGTGTAATTTTCACTTTTTCAACTTTTGATCGCAGGTGCGTTATTAAAAGTAGCCATTTCCTCTATAAACACCAAAAGTGTATGCACCTAACGGAAATAGCGGAACTGACATTCCCCCCCCCCGCGTTATAGATGCAAGCAACAGGAACGCCATTGTTGCCAACTTTTACACATATCGATCAATTTCCAAGCACTGAACCATTTGACAATGTCAAAGCCGCTTTCAATAAGCGTAATTATGAAGACACGATTGAACGCGCTTCCAAAGCCATAACCCAAATACAGCGGCTGCAGCTCTTGACGGTACTTGACCATCGCGCTTACGCTTTTGGAATGAAAAGCAACTTTGAAGCGGCTGTCAAAGATGCAGAAGCCATGATTACCTATGAATCCTCCATTGCGGCTGGGTACCTCCGATTGGGAAATTTGTTGTGTATGCAAGGCAAGTCGGGAAAAGCAGTTGAAATATACGGAGAAGCCCTGGAAAAAGTACCTCGGGACAATCCAGCATATTCTCGCTTATTGGAATGCAAAACGATGGCCGACCAAAAAAACGAGCACCGCTTCGATCTTGTTAGTGCTCTTCCGCTTGGAATCCTCGATGATATCATAACATTGTTGTCAGAAAAAGAAAGGGCGATGCTTCTGGATGTCTCAAAGACATGGCGCGAACGCGTAGCAGCTTGTCCGCTGGCGTGGGCAACTATAGCCAACAATATTGATATTGTATCAGATGCTATGACTGTACGTGCAATACCGTACGTAGTAAAACACATCAAAAACCTACGAATCGATACCCATGAAGATGAAATATGGCTAAAATATCTGAGCCACCTCGAAAATGGCGACTTTAAGAAGATCCGATCATTGACTTTGACGGGTATGTATGATTTTCTTGCACTGAGCAGATTTTTAGACAAGTGCAGATAATTACTCACTAATCATGTATAACTGATCGGTTTCTCCTTACAGAAGCCATAGTCAGCCATATGACGGCGAACAGCATGATGTCGTGGACAACCGGTCTATGGAAAATGCGAAATACTTTGACGAAACTGGAACTCGAATGTCAGAACACAGCTCCGCCACGATTATCGGATATACTCTTTTACTGCACGCATTTGAAAACGCTGATCGTGGGTACAAGAAACTCGCTTGCAGCAATTCTTGGTGATCTGGAGTACTTGGGAGAACCGCATCGTGCACTTATTGACATGTCATTGACGACGGGTTCGACCTCGGGTGATGCGCTGAAACCACTCGTGAAGTGGTGCCCAAACCTCCGCCGGCTATTATTATACGACAATTGCACTCCTACTATTTTGGACGTCGTCTACGAATACTGTGAAAATTTGGAGCTATTTGGATACAACATGAACTTTTGCATTCCGCAACTGAACGAGCTACATAACGATAAATATCCCAAGGAACCAGGTCTCCGTGGCATCTACACACCAAATGGCGACACAGGCGCGCCCATAAATAAGTTTATGCGATTGGTATACAAGCATGCAAGAACACTGGAACGGGTATATGCCAATATATGGCCTGGAGATCGATATCACCCCGATCCGGATAATGGCGAACTCAGGTTAGAGCGGCTGGAAGAACTGACGTACTGGGCCGATGATCATGGAGTGTTCGAAACATTTTTATTAAAGACGATTGAGTCATGCAAGACGCTCAAACTTTTTAACGCGGTGAACTCATCCAATGCATACCAAATAGCGGATACCCTGCTGCATCTTCCACCGATCGAACGGTTGGACTTTTCAATTGTTTCCTCAAGGGAGGACGATGATGGTATTCGAAAAAGCGACGGACGTCTTATGCAAGTGTTTAAAAAGTACGCTGGACTCCCAGATTCCGAACAAAAGCTGCGGCGCGTCAGACTTTTCAAGAACGATGCCATCACGGATGATATCTTGGCTGCACTTGCTGAGCTCAAAACGATCGAAAGCATCGAATTTAACGAAAACTCCAGGGTTACGAAGGATGGGGTAAAGAATTTCATACGACGTGCGAGCAAACCTGATGGACGACTGATGGAAATTGATTTTTCGAACTTGGATCTTGTGGATGACAGTGTCCTTGAGCTGCTCTGTAGCATTAAGAACCTTGAGAAACTGTATTTGGGAGGGCTATCGGAGGTCACGGACAAAGGAATTCGATATGTGGTGGACAATGCAAAGAGCTTACAAAACCTAACAGTTGATGCGTGTGCAACAGTTTCAGAAAGCGTTATACCATATGTAAATAGCAAGATCAAGCATGTAAATATAACTATAGAAGAAGAGGATGATGACGATTATTCTTATTATAGTGAAGTATGACCTTTATTGAAGTATAATTCAATAAAGCGTGTAAATATCCTAGTCCTTTTTGCAAAAACCTTGCGCTCGTGGTGAAGAATATGCACATCTACAATTGCTGCAAGTATCGTTTTTTGTGTCAACAGCCAAGTACATCACCTTTTAGTTTGTTCATACCAGCAAATGCTCATAGCCACTCAAACCGATATCATCAAAGACCTGCAAAAACCTATTCCGATGATGACAGTAAATCACTGACTCATGTTATTACCACGCTTTGATGCACTCTTATCACCATCACATGACTCCTTGCGTGCGCACACCTGATTACATATAGTGCTGTACGACTGGATCAATAGCATATCTCTTCGAGAAGACGGTATAATCGGGACAGTCCGAGACGCAAAATATGTCAAAGATTCTCACAGTGAGAAAAAAAAATGCAGGAACAGCAGAAGTGTGACTCACATAGTCTCGTTTTCGTTGCGGAGAGTACGATGATCTACGAATAATTCAATTGTCTCTAATAAAAATATACCATGTTCGTACCAACAATTAAATACAAACGAGTCAATGAGGTCCAAGACGCTGTAGATTCCGTCGCTCAATTACAAATCACTACCGAATCCACAATCAAGACACAGCCCGAAAACAAACCGGCCCTTTCAGAACAGAGTAATGACAACAACTCGGCAATAACGGCAGCGTCTCCTATAACTACTACTACTACTGCTACTAGTACGACGTCGGTATCAACCAACACAGCAGTAAAGATTTCTGTGAAGGAGGACACAAAAGAAGAAAGAAAGTCGCCAGCAAATAATACAATAGATACAGCAGTGGCAGCAGTTGAAGAAAAAGAAAAAACTGCCACGGATACACCAGAACCTGCTACCAGTAGTAATAACACCGGCAGTGCTGCTCCTGACGACGACGCCGAACCAACGATTGAAGTCGACCCGTCAGATAAAGAACGGATTTTGGTGACTTTGACGAGCGGTAAACAGTATACGGCAGATCGATATTGCCCGCATGCCGGTGCCGATCTATCGTACCTTGGTGAAGTGGCAGAGGACGAATATCCTCCAGAAATTGGGCCGATACTTATGTGCACTCTTCATTACTGGGAGTTTGCTTTAGAAAAGGCGGGTCGTTCAGGTGGTGGCTGGGCTACACTTAATGCATGTCCTGTTCCAGCAGACCAATGCCCTGCGGGCGAAAATAATAAAAAACTCGACTGGTAGAATTCAAACAAAACTCTTTTGTTTTCTTTGTGTATTAAAGATGTAGTATGCAATTGGGGGGGATGGGATGGTAACGGTGTATTTACATAATGGATCGAATGATGATGATTATAAAATAGTGGGTAATAGCAGTAGAATAAAAAAGTAGTGTAGCAGTGTGGAGTAGGAAATTACAGCAAATGCAGTGGAAATCAGAAACTTTTTGCGTCAATGTTGTGGGAAATCAATATAATGTTTAACAGAACTAGTAATCCGAAATACGTCGGCCAGGACGGATACGCAGCGGCTTGGGTTCGCTGTTGGTGCTAGCGACCACCGGCTCACGCAGCATGAACACGGATTGGTTCTTGAGATTGGCAGCAATAGTAAATCCGTGCTTTTCGAAAAATTTGATCGCCTTGTCATCGTTCACCTGGACACAGATCGGATGCTGGGCCGTGTCCGCCTTGTCCGTGAGGTGCTGAAGCAATGCCGAGCCGAATCCCTTGCGTTGCTCATGTGGCAGAACCCCCATGTAACCGATGGTGATATAGTACGGATACTGCTTCATGATCTTGCGTCGGATCTTATCACTCGAGGGCTGGTTTTGGATGGTTGCCTTTAACGCTGCGGCCCAGCCGATGAAGCTTGCCAACTTGGCCGTGCCAAAAACCTGTGGCCAATGATAGCCCTGTGGCTGGTTTGTCCACACGAGCACACCTGTGCATCCTTCTACTTGGATGGCGTAGTCACGACTTTGGAGGGTTGCGTTGTTGATCATGGTCTTGAAAAGGGTATACAGAAACTCGTCGTGTTTGCGGTGATCGAGGCCACAGTCAAACATGGCATTGCCGGCGTAGGCATCCGCCAAGGTGTGTGCGGCTTCTTTAATTGCACCTAAACAAAGTGGTAGCACTGTTATTAAAAAAAGGGTCCAATGTGGTTTTTATGGAAAAAGAGAAATACAATACCTTTAATGACCGGCCGGACATTGATGAGGCTCTGTTCGATGTTGATTGTCAGTTTGCGACTGATACGACGCTCGTCCGCTGGAAAAGGAGCAGCAGTTGACAGAGATAGCGACATATGCACTAGCAAGGGTATAGAAAGAATACGATGGAAGAAATAGAGAAGATAGATTCAATGATGAGCAAGGGCAGGGAAAGGACGTTATTATATATGCCGAGGATTTTTTTATGTAGCGGCTAAAAAAAGGTTTTGAAACCTTGCCCCAAAAAGGCAAGTCTGGGTTTTAGCTTGCCCGCTAAACGACAAATGGCATCGTTTCGACGTGGCACGACAGAAGTCTGGTAATGCCGGCTCAAAGAAGATCGTCGTCGCCGGTGCAAATCAGTGTTTCGGCCACCTCGGATCCGTCTGAATATTAATAGCAACTAAACCAATTAGCGCACGTCCTTTGTTTTCCAGACCCAAAGCAAACTTGGCCTGTTTTAATATCTACTCATAGTGCAGCCGTTTTTAATGACATCCCCGTAAAAAGGAGAAATCCCACGTAGTTAGCATTCTACATGTATTAAGCTAGTAGATAAATATAAATTCTGTCCAGAAATATAATTCTGACTTGACAAAGGACACGTGTCCATTTTCATTCTCAAACTTTTATTCTTTGCTGCAAAAAGACGCAGCATTGTTTTTTTTCGCAACGGTTCTAGAACCAGATCGACCTCAAGGTCGTGCTTCACCTGATCTTTCAGCTAACAAGGGCTTGGCAACAAGTGCTACAAAGATCCCCAGCACTTTCATGAAATGCCCTGACGAAACGACGAGGTTGTGGGTGGGCTTCCCTGAAAAGTTATTTTTCTATTCCTCGGAAGCGAAAATTCGCCGTCTTTAACCGAGGAACTCTTCCACAATTAGATGCCGAAGTAGACTAACTCGCTCAATAGTCAAAAATAGCTGCATAAATGTCATACGGTTGGGCCTGTTTATTGCAAATTCCCAAATAGATGCAAATAACCTTATAACTTGGAGATGCGATTGCACGACAACGTGTCATATGCGATTTTTTTCATTTCCTATGAGTCTATTTATCCACGTAATAAACCGAACGGTGTAGTCGCTCCATTAATAAGCTTTGAGTAAGACATATACAACCGTTTCAAACGCGTGTGTGGTACCACTGGGGTTGAATTTGCTTTTTGTCATCGTTTAAAAATAGGCCGAGTACCATCCTGCGGTAATTTGTGTGTGATAGTTACGATCGAGACGTGCTAAACCGCTTCATTTTCGAGAAATGCACTGCTCAATTGCAGCTGAGGGGGAAATGGTAAGTACAATACCTGGTGAATCTCTAAACACTGAGGCGTAATCCCCAGTTACGTGTAAATGGCTGTAGCATACGTGTTGATTCATTTTAAAATTGTTTTTATTTTCACATAAAGTCTTCTTCAGCTTCATTGATATCCTCCACCTCATGCTCCCGCCAGTTACTGTGCATACGGCTTTCGTCAAACATCTCGTTGATCTCCTTTTCAGCTTTCCGTTTCTCAGCTGCCATGCGTTGCGCCTCCTCTTTCTACCAACAATAGAATAAGTTTATAGCTAGTAGCGCGTACATTTTGTCACATTCCCAACGAACTCTTAAGAATTATAAAAAGTTTTACCATGATGAATTCATCCTCTCTCGCCTTTTTCCGGTCAATCTTTTCCCGTTGAATCTTTTCCTGCATAAGATCAGTTTCTCGCACTTCTTTGGTCTTGTTGAGTCGATTGACGATCTCGTTGATGCGCTTTTCGACATGGACTCGTCTGACTTTTTTATGGTTGAAAAAGGTGACTTGACCAGTTTCCATGCCGGGTGTCTTTTTAAGATTATCCCAAGGCGTATAAATCACAGTGATATTGTTCCTCTTGTTGCCTAATTAATCACATCATTGCATTGGGTTAATGTTGTCCGTTGTCTCTCCATGTCAAAGAGCCAGACAGAGGGAGAAAGAAAGAGATCGAACGAAATATTTTGGTAAAGAACCATTGATTACCCTCGATACTGTTGGCTTTGACAAGTTGTGCACAATCCTCAATGACGGCTTCGGGAATATCATCCCATGTTTGGCCGGGCTCCAAGCGAACGTAGACGTGTGCACTCGACAATTTATCAACGTGAAACTAACACATGTACCCATGTTATTTCCCTGGAAATTTGCTGCGCGCACTTTGTTTCTATGTACATACCCTTCACAACAGAAATTTCAGTCATATAAGCTGTTACTTAATCTCAAAACACACCACACGCGAATCGCAACAAAACAAGAAAACATATACTACCAAATATCTTCTGGAAAGCCATACTTGATTAGATCCTCGTCTACAAAAAGAAGAAGCAACCCGCGATCTTTGTCAGCATTGACACTTTGTTACCGCTTAGAAACAGATCATTTTAGCAAGGTTTACTTTCAAACTTGTCCTTTCCCATGTAAATGGTGACAGGAGGATCTACGACTAGCAACAGAGCAAAAATAATTGCGATTTCCTGTCAATGTGTTTTTGGCTCGTGATACTAATGTAACTTGTATGCTTGCGTACCTTTGCTTTTAAAGTATAAAACCATATTGTTCAAGAAGGAAGTGTTTTCGCTTGGGGCTGAAAATGAAAAGCTGGAAAAAATATATATACTTTATATGCCAAATTATCGAAAATTCAATGCAAAAATGCTAACAGCCAAGAGTAGTATTGTGCCTTTTGTCTTCCTCCAAGGAGACACTTGTTTAAGTACGCTTTTATGAGAATCGTCATCATGAGTTTCTGCTTAGACAAGTGGATTGCTAATAGCAACAACAATTTCCTCATATAACCGTAGAACATGATCTAAAATCAATCCGTTGCTACTGCGAGTTTCTCGCCCGAGCCTCTAGCTATGTATTCAATACACAGAAGTTAAAGAAAACCTAATCTTTGTTGATGAATTTTATGGCGTCGAAAATCGATATCCTTGACGCTTTACACTCCAAAAAAAATCTGCTTTCGTGCATTAGGGCGAATTCCAGTCTCCGTTCCTTTGACAGGAAATGAAAAAAAAACGAAAACGAGAAAATTGTTTAACTTGTTTCAACAAACCAGCAATCTCAGCAATGCCCAAAGCACCCAACAAAAAAGTCAAAAACACCGATATCCTCACAGCCGGCTCGAAAGCCTATGCAAAGAAACGGAAAATAAAGAAAGAAAGAGTGGAACGAGTTGATTTTGATCCTGAATCAAGAAAGTAAGAATGACGATCTCTCTCGAGAATGGGATACACAATCGATTCATCAATCCATTCTTTTGTATTCACTTGATGAATTTCTCTCTAATGTAGAGAATATCTGACGGGATTCCATAAACGTAAAGTGGAACGAAAAAAGAAAGCACAAGAAAACTGGCAAGAACGGTTACGACAGGAAAAGATTCGAGATAGAGCAGCACTTAAAGCAGAACGAAAGCGGCAATTGGAAGAACGGCTTGCCCATATGCAAGCCGCATTAAATGGTAAAAAAAAATAATTGGCCTACTAACGAATAGCATATATACAGCAGTGACTAAGCCTTTTTGTGCACTATGTAGGTGGTTTATCAGATAACGAGGGTGGGGACCAAGAAGAAACTGTATTCACTGACAGCGAGGAAACAAAGGAAGAAAGCTCTAAAAAAGAAGCAGAAGTCAAGGAGTTCAAATCCGCCTCAGCGTTGACAACTGTTACAGTTATCGAAGACATGGATGATTGGAACAACGACGATTAAAATGCACAAATTTACATATTATATACATCACCTTTTATCTTTTTCACTCTCATTTCCTACTGTACGCATATACAATATACTCATTTTTTATTAGAATAAGCTGATTCTTTTTAAATCAATTGGATTTATGTATCCAGGCACGAATTTCTCTTAACTCAATGTCTCGGTGTTTACAGTATTTTGGACTCAACTGAAAGGCTAAGGTTGTAAAGAAGAAGCTGAACAGTAGTAGAGAGCAGGTGTATACACGGTTGCCGTAGCAACCAGCAGTAACAACTGTCATCATAGCAACCGACCTCCATAACAATCAATTCCTAACAGGAAACATGATTACCGTTGGGCTGGCTGTTATTATTGCCATTATCACTTTGATCAAGAGATCAATCACGAGAACAACTCTATTATCCACATGTCGCACGTAAGGATAGCTGTGTATACAAGGTCATCTATGTAATAGTCACGGTGCTATGCAGGATAGCACTGCTGCCAAGCCTTGGTCCAAGAAAAACGATGCTGCCAATGAAAATGTGACACTTAAGAGAAATCAATCCAGCATAACTTTGCAATCTATAATACACAACAAAAAAAGGTCCGGCTAAAATTCAAATTAGTTTAATCATGTATAAATCTCTTGATAGAAAACGCCTTTAATAAGTGTATATTCCAGTCTGTCCTCATATGGTTAGAAGGAATGTTATGGAACCTGCACACTGGCTGTATGTTAGACATTAACAAACAATTCGCGTCATTTCACTCAAGATGGTCCTAAATGCTGCCGCACACAGCGGGGTCTTAAAAACTAATTGTGGCGGGGCGGGATGGAAAAAGGTGTGGAAAATGCCAAGTGGCAAAGGCACGCCAAGGACACCCTTCTCTTTTTCCAATTAAAATACCACACCTAAACTTTTTTTTTTTTTGGTACCTCTTCTTCCACTAAGGACACACACACACAATATAATCATGAGCACCGCCGAACCACTTCTTTCCGGAGCTGCAGCACAGCATGTCGGTAACGCCATGGCCGCAGAAGCAGAGTCGCGCCTTGGCTCATCCTTGGATACTCTTAAAAAATTCCGTCAAGAGAAGCTATCCAACCTACGACCCCTGAGCGACTTTTTCGATAAGAACAGATTCAATTTCACTACCTCATTTTCAGAAATCACCAAACGATGGAAGTATGTAATTAGCCTAAAAGGCACTCCTGTAGAAAAACAAATTCACCATTGCTGTTTTGCAGTTTCAATAACACTTGTTCTTTTTTGTATATACGACAGCTATAACTTGCAATACTTTGCTGCCAACTACTCGCTCATCGTCTTGGGCCTTGCCATTTATGCAGTGTATGTATACTATTGTAGTATAATATACACCAAGCTTCTCAGACTTGATTGTGGGGTTGAGGCTATGGATATTGGAAAAGTAGAATGAAGCTCATTGTGTTATATTTGGGGCGGGAATCCTGTTAGAATCACGAATTGGTGGTTGGTGTTCACGATTGGTTTCATCTTTGGCGGTTTCTATGTAATCTCACGATTGAATGGTCCGTTGACAATTGGTGGTACTACTATTTCACCTTCATCACTGTATTCCGGATATGCCGGTGCATCGTTGATCCTGCTGCTCTTCTCTGGCGTAACGAGTGCAATTTTTTGGATTATTGGTACGTTGGGTGCGGGTTCAACAACATATCTCTGGATTTGATGCATACTATGTATCAGAGCACAACATAGAGAAGCGAGGGAACTATATCACATGACACCAGTGCTAACTGCTGTATATTGTTATAGGCGCAGCTGCGATTGTTGTTTTAGGCCATGCCGCATTGTTGGAGCCAGGTCTGGAAGGCGAATTTGGTGCTGATGCCCAAGTTTAAAACAGGCGATGATGACCACGATCACGATCACGACGCGGTACCCCTTTGCAATAGGAACATTTCTCTCTATCACACATATATATATATATATAATCTTCTACACTATATCTGTTTTCCCTCTTTTCTTTTACTATATATACAACTCGTTTTGCATGATAAAACACTACCTTCAACTCACTACATGCATCCACAATATATACTTGATTTTTTAATGTCGCAAATTGCGCAGAATTATACATCGATTGGACTTGGTTGGTGCTGATATTGTAAGTGATTGTAAAAGATCTCGCTATTCTAATCTTCATCACCACTTTATGATACTCACAAACAGCACTTAATTACAGGCAGAGCTTTCGCCCCGCGTACGATAGTGCAGGACAGATCACTCTGCCTTGGCTGCTGCTGCTGATCTGGTTTATGAAATACTTTCTCTGATGGTTCGATTCCCTCTCGTTGTGCTTAATTGTTTTTAATTTGCTTTTATTAATGAGGATTTTTTAAGTCCTCCTATAGATATTAACGTTATTTTTTCCACTTTTTTCATGGACGATGGAGTCAATTATAGAACAATGTGTGGATTAGTTATCAATTTTTTTCCATCTTTCAGGCAATAACCCTGATCAGGGTCTTCTGAAACAACGCCCGTTGTAGGTTCTACACGTGCCACATCACAGATGGCAACCGACTGTGGGTAAAAGCTGCCTAGAGGAAACGGTCGATACTTGAGCACACCTCGAGCTACCAATCCGTATGGGTACCGAATGATCCGCGACCAACGCTGATTCCCGCTGCCGTCGCCACCTGGCGATTTTATCCGGATTTGGCTACTGGCTTCGAAGGGGTCATAGTCGGGAGATAGCATGGCTGGAGAGAAGGATAGAGGCTCGTCAAACCGGTAGAAGCTGCCCAAGAATTCGGCCGGATCCACGCCCTTTGGATGAGCCCCCACCGTATCCGTTTTATTAAAGTTGTCATTGTAAGTGTCGTTCGCTGTAGCGATATAGAGCGGCACCACTTGACTGAACGCAAACACGCTGATATCCGCGTCCGCCACATGAACCGTCCACCAGTTCCAGTTATTTGCCTTGACCCGCAAGTCAAAGATCAACTCCTTGTCGCTGGCTAATACACGACCCATTTCCACGGAGATATCGGTCAGTGGTTTAGCACGATAGATCACAAGAAAGATGAGGCATAGCACAGCTAGCAATAGGCCACACACGATGTTTCGAACAATGCGTGACCAGGGTCGTATTTTGTTGAATTTGTTATTGTTGTTACGGTAGTAGCGACCTGATCTTCGAAACAATAAGGGTGCTCCTTCGTCGTCACTGCTGTATCCGTCGGTATGATATGCTTCTGGGTATATTCGCTGCCTATGGCGAGGTTGTGCTTGTATTGCTGCTGCTGCGGCATGATGATGATTCTGATTTTGTTGTTGTTGTTGTGATGGATGATGATTATTGGGATGAAGAGAGTGAGGAGCCGACCCAGGTGCAGGCGGTAAGCCTCCAAGTAGATGATGAGGTGGTGTGCGAAGATTTGAACGTTTAGTGTCGTACCAATGATGCGGCTCCCATGTCTCGCTTGCCTGCAGCTGTTTGGGCCGATGGTCCATGACATTGCTTCGCAGTTTGGGACGGTGATGTGGTGGTAATGATGATGATGCATGCGGATCTTCTTCGTCAACAACGGTCGTCGCTATTTGCTGCTGACGGGTAAGAGATCGGAAAAAATCTCCAAAAAAGCTACTCGTCCTAGATATTGGGCTGATGCGACGAAATGAAGAGTCATGCATAGGTGATGCCGGTGTGGATCGAATGGATTGTGGACGATATACGAGGTCAGAATGATACGAGGCATGATCAATCGCCGTACCACCGTAAGAGTACACATACTGCTCATTTTCGTCAGAGTCTAGTTATATATAAGACACGTTATAAGCCAAGTACACCATTTCAGCAGCTTGTCTAGCCAAAACGATTGCAATACCTTCTACATTCGAGACAGCGTCAATTAGATTTCGATGAAACACTTCGGCGGGAGTGGCAGTGCCACTCATGGGTGGAGGAGGTCGTCGACGCTTTTTGACTGTATTGCGGGTAGCTCGATCTCCCTAAGAGAAAAGAGAAGGAGGTGGTGGAGAAGAAAAAAAAGAAAGGGATGATGATGCGTGAATTGCTTGAGCAGCATAAGCAAGGAGCATTATTTTTAATTACTTACCTCGCTTTTGGACTTTGCGGGTGGTCGAGCTGGTTTTGTATTGGTTACAGAGAATGTACTGGATGGTGTGTGGATGCCATTACTCGAAGCAGAAGGAGTGATGCTATTAGGTGTGTTGGTTGGGGGAGAAGAAGGTCGTGGATGATGAGGATGCTGGAGTTGTTGCTGTTGCTGTTGCTGTTGCTGTGGTTGTGGCTGCTGTAGCAGGTTCTGTGATTGTTGATTATTACTATTGTTATGCTGCTGCTGCTGTTGCTGTTGCTGTTGTTGTTGTGGTTGCTGGAGTTGTTGCTGTTGTTGCTGTTGGTCGCGTGGTGGAGAAGACGAAGGAACTTCTTTGTGTTCATTCGGTTGCGGATCAAATCGTGCTTTTTCAACCGTAAGATTACGGTCAAAGTTGGTCAATGGAAATTCTCTTCGAAGGTTTTGTGGGTACTTGTCCGTATGGATCGTAGCAAACTTGGGCATATATGGCCGCCTTTTCATTGCTTCTAAATCTTGAGATGTTTGTAGCGGCTGTAGCTGTGTTTGTTTTTGATGTTGTTGTTGTTGTTGTTGTTGTTGTTGGCCATGCTGCTGTTGACGGGTTGAGGAAATTCCTTGGTGAATAGCACTTGTGGTCGATTCCTCATTGTTATTCGGAGGGTCTTCTGGCATCTCTGGTGGAGGATTAGGATCCTTATCCGATCCGTGGCAATGGGCCGACATCCGAATGGAAGAAGAGCACCAAGTGCTATAGCAGGAAAAGCCAAAAGGATAAGAGAGTGTGTGTGTGTGTGAGAGAGACAAAGGCCAAAGGAGTGTTTATATGCGCAGAGCGGATTTCAGTTGCAAAAAGAGAGAGAGAGAAAAGTAATATGTATTGGAAAAAAAGGGAAGGAAATAAAAATATTTACAATAGTGCCGCATAAAATAGATAATAATTAGTTATTCGGTAACTTCAGCTCCAGCAGCATCAGAAGCAGTGGCAGTAGCGGGTACATACAGCGTCACCAACTTTGTTGGTAATACACGGTTCTTTTTCGTCTTCTTTTTCTTTGTCTTCGTGTCACCGTCGCCCTCCTCATCCTCCTCCTCCTTCTCCACAAACACACGCGCATACGGACACAGCAGGTCAGAGGGATCATAGTCGTGCTTTGCGGAACGAGTGACAGTGCATGCAGATACCTGCTGCTGCAATTCCTGCCCTCGCTCAGCGAGCGTCTCTAACGTGGCAGGTCTCCCAAACAAGTCCAGAACAGGCAGGTCTCCCCAGTCCGGCAAGTGCCGATCGGGTAGCGTGAAGGTATCGACGAGGAGCGGCACATCGTACAAGGCTGCCACTGCCTTGGCAGCGCCCGGCAGATCAAGATTGTCTTCGTCAGCGTGTTTGGTGGAGTGTTCGGGCAGTTGGTGTCGAGTCGAGAAACTGGCGTTGTCTTCAAAGTTCGGGTAGAGCATGACGTTGCCCCGCAGATACACGAGTTCGTCAAGATAGCGTCGCCAGGAGTGCATCCAGCGACGCGACCGTGCGCCGGGCACCTCGATTGTCTGAAGCTTGTGCGAATCTTGGTCGGCGATGCGAGCAGTCATGTAGTCGTGGAACTCTCGCCAATGTTCAGGAAAATAAACGGCACCCCCGCCCATGCTGCATGGCGCTTGCATCAAATAAGGAGTGTATCCACTCGGGGGCTCAAACAGCTCGCGCACTTTGCCTGTGTCGACCATCCGTGGCGAATACAGGCTGACGCCAAACAGGTTGCGCTGTGGCGTCGGGGTGTACCGGTACTTGAGAATGCTGTATTTGACCCAGATGTAGAACAGCGGCGATACTTCCATGCCGTCGTCTAGTATCACTGCATATTCGTGGTCGCTTGACGGATACCACGATTCGACAAACATCGATGCACGATTCGTAGGCACGATGCGATGTCGGAGGTCTTTTTCGCCATGTGGCCAGAATAGAGTTTCCGAGAGTCGTTGTGTTTTGACATTGCTCGTATACTCCATGAAGATCGAAATGTCCACTGTATCACCCAAGTATCCAGCGCCTTGCACTGATTGCAGCAGCCGTTGGAAGGGTGGTGCGTCGTCGCTCTCCGTAGCCAGTACCAATTTGACTGTGAAATCGTGCCATTCTATAAAATGAGCGTAAATTTTACAGTTTTGTGAGCGAGGGGTAACGTCGGGTCGACCTTTCCAATAGAAAAAAGGCAGTTCAATGGAGGCCGGGTAATAATGAAGCATTACACCTACGGTGGAGGGTATCAACCGGCAGCTCTGACATCCATGTCACATGGCTCAGATCGCGATGCGGCAACCCAATGATTGCTACATTTGGCAACATGTGCTTCATTGTTTGTATCGCGTCCAAGCCATCTTGTTGCACATGAATTAGCACTTGGATCTTTGCACTTTGCACCAGCCGCGTCAGTCGTGGCACCAGTTGTTGAATGGGTTGCTTGAGCTGGAGGTCGTGTATGCGGTCTTTGGAGAGAGACGACGCGCATTTTGCATCATGGACTGTGAGTGCTGTGACAACTTCGTTGGCACCCAAGTTTCCGCGACCGGTGGTTGCAAGATGCACTGCAGCGTTATTATCTCCTCGTGTATGCATTTCACATACGAGCTGCAGCCATGCAGTGTCCAGATGATCTTCTTCATCCACCAACAACATGACTGCTTGCTGTTTAATGTTACCATTCTCAGTGGTGTCGCCCTCGTCTTCATCGCTCTCTGTCTGGCCTTGAAAAATCACGTCGTTTATAAAGCTTGGCGTAGTGCTGCTGTCGTAACTGTCGTCATTCGTGTTGGCAAGGTACTGTTCTATACTCGCACAAGCGTCTGTTGCTGCTGCTGGTGGTGATGTTGCCGCTGATATGATTCTAATGGTATAGTCCGCATTATTTTCCCTTTCGCCTTTCGGCAAGGCCACAGATTGGATTCCTACCTCGACCTTGAGATGACGGCTGATCCAATAACCAAGTGGCGCGTTAACATCATTTGCATAGGTCGAGAGTGCTGACAGCCATTCGGAACGTAGCAACCACGCGCTGTTGACAACATCGACAAACTGATGTCCGTCTACAGGTTCGCAAGAAACAGCGGAGCTTTCGCTCGAGTCAACGAGAGCAAGCTTGCTGCCAGGTCCCAAAAGAGTTTCACGATAGGTGCGCGTTTGAGCCAGCTTCAAGAGCAATTCCAGGTACCGGTGGCCAGGCAAAACATCCTTGTCAATGATCCAAACGTAATCCGTGCTAGACCGTATCCGTCGTACATCTCCAATCCATATTTCTGCGTTCTTTGGAAGAATCTGTTGTTGTTGTAGCACAACTTGCTCGTCCTCTGTTGCACATACAATCCAAACGAAATCTGGTACAACAGATTGCGACTGTATGGCAGTCACTTGTTGCTGAATCATGTCGTTATTATATAAAACAATGGCCGTGACCGAAGGCCGTGATTCGTCACCAAGCTGTACTGTATGTGCGAATTCAACAATGTCGCTTAAATTTTGTTGATGTTCTAATCAAAGAGCCACAGTTATTAGTAAAGGCGATTGGGGTGGGGGGGGGAAACAGATAAAAGGTGCGTGTGGATCATGTTCGAGAATATTCAGGGGTAAATTAATGAGGATACAATGGGAAAGACGCACCTAATTCTTTGTTGTTGCCGTTGTTGTAGATGATCTTGTTGCTGCTCACTGAATACCAAGATTGTGACCAAAGTCGAGACGACGAACCACTGTCTGCAAGCTGAGTGGCATCCAGATAGTCGATAAGAGGTATGGTTGGATGCGGATGTTTTGTGCTTTTGGGTGCTGCTTTCAGGTGGGATGACCATGCAAAAAAAGACGTTATGACGAGGAAAAAGCAGGTGAGGGTGGCACAGAAGAGAATTCCCACTCGTTGCTGGTGTATTACTGCCATGGCGGGTGCTGTGTTGTGTGTGTGTGTGTGGGGAATGAGAGCGACTGAGATTGGGCAGAATGGTGATGGTGAGGTTTTAGCCAAGGGTCAATGAGCTAATGGTGGTCGGGTATGAGTGCTGTTGTTCTATGTGTATGCTATTATGGTAGTATTATTATTATTAATGATGATGATAGAGTCATAATATGAGATATGGATGGTTGGTGATATGGGGGTGGACGGCAGAATGGAAAGAAGAGAAGAGAGAGAGGGATAGGAAGAGAAGAGGAAGAAGGAGCAGTTTGGTTTCTTTTCTCTGTCTTCCAAAACTGAAAAAGAAAAAAGCGCGCTGCTAACCAAAAAGAAAGAAACGAAGAAACCCAGGAAAGCGTTGGAGTTAAATTGCCTGCAAAAGGCTCATTTAATCGCTTTAATGATCTGCGCCAACCAGGAAGATCTCTGTACGCCCATTGCGTTGAATCGGCGACAACGACGACACCTCCTCTTTTCTTATTATTTTTTATTTCATTGTTTAGAAATCCGAATCCTCGTTACCTGCGTAGACCTCCTTGTTGGTTCTATGCGAAACGGAAAGGGAAGGCTTCAAAAAGCTTCATGCTTTTTTTTTTTTTGACAAGAGTTTCTAGTTAGTGGAGGAGGATAGGCGGGTGTATTATTCAGGAGACACAAGGTAATTTAAACTTGGAATGGTCATTTTCTAAAACATTTCCCAAGCGATGACTTTAAAGCGCGCTGACATTACCCGGGGACGTTCCACAATCCGAGCTTTTGCCAGAAAAAATCTGTTTTGGCAATTCAAGTTGCTTTTCTATGTGCGGCACATCTTTGTTCCCCCCCCCCACACACCAAGTAGTTATGCCTCACTACCTTCCTTTACTGTGGTATAACCAATAAAACCTGCTACTAATAAGCATCGCTACTACTGGCTACTTTTCCACATCATGAATGCCTCAGTGTATTGTACATCAACGTCATTGAACCCCACCTTATTCCCTCTCATTTCATGCGTTTCCCCGGGGATCACTTGGAGAAATATACCAAACTTATGTACGTTTGGCTATTCAAAACAAAAAATTTCTAGAGGGAGCACAAAAATAGATAGGGCTGTATACGGATCAAAGTGATACAAAATATATTGTGTATTTTCCTTTCATTTATGACATGATAACTTGCATCCCTTACCTTTTTATTACATTTTACAAAAGAGACTGCTCCCACTCTTTTGCTACAGTACACTGCTGTTGAGAATAGCGAAAAGCAACATGAGATACCAAGAGCTATCGATGACATACATATATGCTGATAACTTGACAGCTAACCTTTTTCTACCAAAGGTAACTTACATAGCGATGGGTAGCTGCCCTCCTCTCGTCCACAACGAGGCTATCAATCGTCCATCCAATTCATGTCATGTTATCAGTATTTGAATATATTTAGCTGCTAATCAATTGAGATGGTAATCAAATCTCTACATCAAATGGTATGAAGCCTAAATCATCTCCTTGCTTGCAAAGAATAGCGGATGGGAGAAATACAAAGATGGCCCAAAGTTATCGCCATATGTCTTCTTTTTACGAGGATGATGTGTACCTCTAACAGCTGTTGCTATGTAATCGTGCATATTTGAGCGACGTAGAATTACATGGCAGGGAAAGCTATGACGTTGGGTACATGACAGGCTGTAGTGAATCATTTAAATACTGCTGATACATATCAAATGACGAGTTGGCCCAATCAGCATAGTCACGGCCATTCCCAGCACCCCCTACCCTTCACCAGGCACCATATAAGCAAAAAGAAAAAAAAGAACAGAATTAACCAATGCAATGGATGATATGTCTGTCTGTATAAATGTTTTTGATTTCTTTTTTTTTTTTCGAAATCAACCTTTAGACCTTGAATTCCATTGAAAGTGATCACTACTGCTAGTGCTACTACTATTACTGCTATGGCGTTGTTCATGGAGTTCGTAGGTATCATGGAGGTGGTGGTGATGGTGGCTAGGCTGTTGTTGTTGTTCAAAGCGAGAGATGGCGGCGGCGGCAGTTGTGTTGGATAATGGTTTTACATCGAAAAAGGGTGTATTTAAAGTCGGTGATGTGGGGCTCTCGGCCTCGGCGTAGCCATAAGTAGATGTACGCATGCTTGCTGTCCGCTTGGGTATGTTGCTGTGATTGGTCAGTTCTGACCGCGGTAACGCTGTGTGGGTAAATGCTCCAAGACTCATGGATCGTCGTACGCTTTCCTTGAGTCGGTCCACGTTGATCAACTGTAGTCTTGGCGGGGTCTGAGGACGCGTCTGGGGATAACGGATTGTAGGTGGTGGCGGTGTATCGGCAAACGGATTTTCTTCTTCTCCTGGATGGTAATGGACGTTGTTTTGATGTAGCGCGCGTTGCTGTTCGCTGAGATACTCTAGTTCTTGACGCTGTTGCTGCTGCTGCTGGTGCTGCTGCTGGTGCTGCAGCACCATGTCGTCACCGTCTTCAATCAACACCTTGGACGAGTCGTCTTCTGATGATGCTTGTGAAGCCATCATCTCGTCTAGCACGTCTCTGGGTACAGGCTTGACACATACCATTGGGAATGCACCCTTCAATCCTGTCATGGCGTTAATGCCAAGCGCCCATCCATCGTCAAAGGGCATTGCCACGTATATGATATCACCGACATGTAAACCTAGCTCGTCGCCCATCTGTGGCGGGTATGGATGGACAACCATATACAGATCTTCGGGTCGCGGCTGCTGCAAAGCAGAGGGTGGCGGCGGCGGCGGCGGCGCGGGTGGCGGTGCAGATGCTAAAGGCGTAGGTATGTTGTCGTTAAAGTCATTGCTACCGCAAGAGGAGGATGACGGTGGCTCATTGTTCATGGTGTTGCTGTTCATGCTGTTGTGGTTGTCCTTGGTGCTACTGCTGCTGTTGAGGGGCAATGTTGATGTGCGGCTGCTGTCTCTGTGATTCGCATATTCGTCTCGTGGTGGCGCTACGTAGGTTGTGAATTTGAAACGATCGTTCCGTACCCGTTTCCGTCGTGTGCAAAAACAAAATGCCGCTAATGCAATCAAAGCCGTTCCGACAACGCACCCCACGACTATCCCTGCGACAGCTCCTGCAGATAGTCCTTTTTTGCATGACACACTTTGGCAACAAGAATCCGTGCTGGATTCGCAAAACTGACAGGCCGTTTCCATGTCATCCTGGAATCCTGATATGTGTGCGAAAAAGATATTAGATCATCGTCATTTATGCAAGTGAAAAATAAATTACTATTTCCAACCCCTATGCAGTGCCCACCCCCCCCCTCCTTCTCTCTTTCCAATCCATAAGCAACCCCGCTGTAGCCTAACTAATTAACTATATACTATGCTATCCAAACTAAATCTGCAAAACTGCATATGCCAACCCAAAGGAAACACGTACCACAATTGCCAGGTTCATTCACTGACCCTGATATACAACTTTCTGACGCTGTCCCATTGTATCCTTGCCACGATGCACACTGATTCTGCAGATTGGATATCGTGTTATTGCGTAGTACTGAATCTTGACATACACTTGTATCGCTCGTAATCGTCTCGATGCTGCTGATCCAAGCATCACATGTTGTTTTGCATAGTGGAGGTGGCGTCAGATTGTGTTCATAGTTACATGGTAGCGAATTGTTGACGTCTTGGATCAAACCGGCACATATTCGTGACAGTGAGTATCGCGCATAAGGTGCACCATTACCGTAGTCGCTGTTGCAACCGAGTGGTAACAAATAGTCGCCTGTGGTCTTGACATATGCAAATAAGCTTTCGTCAAACGAAGCGACGTCTGTGACATTGGCCATGTACGAGTACCGATCCGCAAGTCCGGGTAAGCCAACGTAATATTGGTCAAATGCAGGACATGCTTTGGATGATGCAAGAGAGACGCAGGTGTTTTGTGCTCGGACCGGTCGGGTGCTCCACAGTGTTACTAGCGCCAACGTCAGTAAGGTTGCGGAGGATGGGATTGTCTTTTCGTGTAGATTGACAGGCATTTGCTTCTACTTTTTTTTTTAAAAAAAAATGTATATATAAGGTACTTTGTTTTCTTTTAAGGAGGAGCGGGACGATGACGACGTAGACGAGGGGGGAATTGTACTTTTGCCGGTGCGTGTTACTCTTGTTGTATGTAAATAATTGCTGTGGTGGTGATGGTGCAGATGCCAATAAAAATGCTTTGGTGTGTGGTATTATTGAATGTCGATAAAAGGTCAAAGTGGGTAAAAGCGAATAACGTGAAACAGAATGATATACAGTAGAATAGTAGGAGATATATAAATGTATATATATTTATATATATATATGTGGTGTGTGTGTGCGTATGTGTGTAAAAAGTGAGTGAACAAGCCGAGCCCCTCAAAAGACACCGAGGAACAAGTCAGCAAAGATGTGTGTTTGTGTACGAATGTAACGTGTGGAATGTGTAGGGTTTTGGAAAAAAAGAGAGTGCTTTTTTTTTAAATTTTGAGCATAATTGCTCTAGTGCCAGCTTGTCAATCAAGAAAGGTAGATGCAGTAAAAGAAGAAGAGAATAATGCTTTCGTAGAGCAGTAAACGCCTATTTCTTCGCGCTCACTCTCATTTTAACAATAATAACAAAAATCAAAAAAAAACTGGGCTTGAATCCTCCCTCCCTCCCTCTCTCTCTCTCTCTGCACACACACACGACCTCTGCCTTGACCATATCCTAAAAACAGCCGGCCTCTTTTGCTCAGCACCTCTGGGCGTGTGGGACCTGGAAAGGGGCTGGAGTGGATGGCAGGAACAGATTCCTGGCTAATATTTACCACTAAAAGTTATATCACATTGGCGTGTTGGTAAAGAACGTTCAAATTCGTATTAGCTCGTCTTTTAAAGATGTAACCACTTTGAGTGTATACCGATCATATGTGCTAAAATGCAAGACCGGGTAAACAGCAGAACAATGCATAGATCATATGTGGCTATGTATTTATTTTTAAAACATGACTATTCCATCAGCCACAGCAGCGTTTTTTATAAAGAGGGCTATGGATAATGCTGTCTGGTTTTTTTAGTTTACATTTTGCTTGATTGACATTTTTTCTTAAGTGTGTAATGAATTATATTGTGAGGCGATCTGTTTCGCCTATCAAATGTACGCAGCGTAACCACGGTTTACTAACAAACACTAGGTGCATGAAACAGACAAGTGAGCTCGTTTGTAGAGATTCTTGAACCGCCGGCATTTAGAATAGTTGGTTTGAATTACTTAGGTAGACCATGACCAACGCCCATTGTCCTTCATCAGTGCTATCGATTACACACACATTTTCAGATATGCAAAGCTTGAGACAAAGGGGGCACACTACGACAAACAGTACAGTCGTAAAGCAAGGTCCCGGATGGATGATATAATTTTCGTAGTGTTATTATGTTGCTGTTAATATCAAAAAGTAAGTTATAATAGTAACTATTCCAGTCTTTGCGGTGCTAAACCCGACTCTGGAGGAAGGTTAGATCCTTTTTCCATAACCCCTCCCATAGCCTCAAATTGATCATAATCGGGCTGGTGCACCAGATGAGGCCATTCGACAAACTGATTACCGTGACGGATCGCAAACCGTACACCCGAGACAACAACAGAGAGCCAGAATGCCAAGAGCATCAAGTAGGAGAGCCATGATTGGACGCCAGAATATCCCGGTCGTAAAAGGTTGAGCAGCAGCATGAATAGCCCAAAGACGAGGATAGAAGGCACAACACGCACACGCAAAGGTCTGTTGCTTGCAAATGGGCTGATATATTGCTGCTTTTCGCTGCTGATGGCAACGGTACCAGCAGTGGAAGCAGGTTGTACCTCATAGTTGCCCAAAATCAGGTCGAATCCATCCTGACGTTTGCCATCCAGAAAGTTGTTTTTCACATAACGGGTCAACGAGTTGGACAGATCTTGTAATGCGCCCTGTTTGGTTCGTTGGCCCGTGCGTGTGAAGTCCGTCTTGAGGGCACCCGTGCCCGAATAGGTGGTACTCACGGCATCAGCATTGTCAGCCCACACTAGCAGTTGTTGAAGTTCATTAGCATGATGGGTACGGGCTGTCGAACAAATAGTCAATAAGCTTACCATTGCGGTACACAAACATGAAATCCGCATGTTTTTCAATCGATTCATTGGGACCCAAAATCTCAATCTGGCGCAACTGTTGTGTAAGCACCCAGCGGGCAAAGGTACTTTGCACAACGTTGGTACGATCTAAGCAGTCCATACAGTTGCTTCTAATAACGCTTTCCTGAGACTTGCGGATAACGGGGGCATTCTTGTCTGAAGCATCGTAGTAAAAGTATCCTTGCTTGACGAGCTGTTCCTGGAGCTGATCCACCAATAGCTGAATACGATCCCAACGCATCTTCTTGCACTCGCTGTGGAAATCAAAATGCGTATAGTACAGACGTGGGTCGTTTAATTGTTCCACGGTGCGAGCATATGCTTGGCCCATGGGCAATTCGTAGCCCTTTTTGTTGATAAGGTTGACCAGGATCTGAGGGCCGTAGGTACGGATTTGTTCATCAAAGTGGCTACGAGCTGCGGCAAGCTATTATTCATGCGATGAGCATTGCAACTTTTTTCCCAGCTGGCTTCCACCCCACCCCCCACATCCAGTGTATATAGAAATCCAACTGCTTACACTTTTTCTGCTTTCGCCAACCCACAATCGCGGAGTATATTTAAGGTTGATGATTTGGCTCCAATAGACAGGGATAGAGCCTCTGGTCTGTACATACGATAGCTGCTTCTTGCCAACAATAGGTGATGGTGCGTCCGGTCCATCGTAAAGCACGAGTTGTTCTGTTTCAACGAAATTGGAGACGTGGCCGTCGCTGTCGATACCACGAGAAAAGAATCGGGTGCCTGGTCGGAAACGACTGCGACGGGTGATAAGACCCAAGACAAACTTTTTATCATTCACATGAACGTTTTCAATGTTGACAACTGGATCATTTCTTTCTTGTTAGTGCTTTACGTTTCCCCCATCATAGTACTACAAACCCATATCCTCACCCAATCTCCAAATGCCAGAAACATAATAACAGACTTACAGCCTTGCATGACAGGGAGGATGTAATCGGTAAACTATACGATCGGTCCCCTTGAATCAGCTCAAAATGTTTCCTCCGTATAGTGTAACTCCCCTTCTTTCCCATCCTTACGTTTTGGCTTGCATCCTTTGTGAGAATTGCGTCGATCAATTTGCTTGAAATATAACGGTTCCAAAAGAATCGATCGTCCACCTAACCAAAAAGAAAAAGTCTAGTTTCTTTTCACATGAAATCCCAAAAGATAAAATTTACCCGTTTCCACAATGGCTCTGTCAACGAATCGTTGTTGAATTCGCCCTGCCTCTGCAAGCTTTGCGTCAGATCATACGTGTACGAAAAGTAAAATCCTCCAGACTTTAGATGGTTTTCGAGAAGGCGGACGTAGGTATGTTCGTCTTGTTTCTACATGGTTTTTAAAGAGTGAATCAAATTAATAAGTGAAAGCATGGATAACCTTTCTCTATTCACTTTTATTCCTTACCTGAATTTCTGTCAAACCTGCAAGATTGCGAGCCAGCGGTAGTATTTGGAACGAGCCAACACGATGGATATCATGACCACGGATAGAGCCGATCGTTTCACTATTCGTGATGACGATCATGTAATAACCTAAATCTGGATAAGCAACGCATGTCCGACGACGACTACCCGCACATACACACACACACACGCACGGCCACCTCGACACGCTCACACTCACTTTTCCCTCTTTGTATATCTTACATGCTTGAAGTTGAATAAATCCCATAATACCGCTGATAGACATTGCTGTCTCTTGCTCTGTAACCGGAGGAACTGCATTGTCTAAAAAAATATTCAATAATAAAACGAACGCAAATGAGGTTACTTTAAACTTATTCAACTAATTTCATTTATTTCAATGTAGACCTCTTTCTGTCATGTTGTTATCGTGATCCCGATTATAAGAAAAAGTTTAAGAAAACTAACCAGCACCAAGTTCAACGGTACCACTCTTGCGACGAACAATTAAACTAGCACCAGACTCTGGCTCGAGGACATATGTGTCCTTTGTGATATACCTAACGGGAAATTACGTGACCTCTCTGTGTTAAACAGATAACCCTCATTTGTCACGTTTGAGAAGCATGCAAGAGATTATTTACAGTCGTATTTTCTGATGCATGGTGCGTGTTATTGTATGTACGTGGTGGTTTGTTGGCAACCGCGAACGCAAGGGAGAAGAAAAAAAAGAGAGAAAGTGTGATTTATATATAAGGTAATTTCGCAACACAGCAGCAACAACCTCATACTCCGCCAAGTTTTTCGAGTTGATGAGCCCAAACACGTGAAGAAAGTTCAACATGAAATAACAGGGATAATCAGCTAGAGCATGTAGAGAAAAAAAAAGGGTTGGGGAGCTGTTTTCGGAAGATGGATTAGAAGAGCGTGTTGCCGTGTAGTAAAGCTACTTGATGTATACTTCATATGGGAAGAAAGTTTTGCTGCTTCAATCCCCGTGTTCTATATGGCATGATGATCAACCGTGACATACCAAGTTACGATAGCTCACCACTCTTATTTTTGCCCTTCCAAGTCTACGATGTAGAAGACATACATTAACGCAATAAGTAACCATGGATATCTTTTTCAACTCTTTTTGCAAAAAAATCAAGTAGTTACTACACTACCACGGCTACACACGCGTTCCTCTGTAATCACATCATCATATTTCCGTAGCTAAAAGCGAGCTATATGGAGTTGCTTAGCTTATTGAGGCTAGCAAAGTACACTAACATGTGCTAACAATCTCTGCTCACCAGCTTAATGTTAAGTGTATATACATGTACGACTTCTTACAGGACGTATGTATGACATTACATGTTATGTGTATATACTGTCAAAAAATGTATTGCCTGACCCGTAGTAGCACACACTGCCTAACTAATATCCGGTTAAACGCTTTGACTGTATTACTGCATTATCCCTCGTGTCAAGTGCAGCAACCAGCAGCACAACAGACTTTACGCATCGACGGACTAAAACAAAACAACTAAACCCTATTGCTGTATAGTAGCACCCGTCGTTTTAATTGACCAGCCTTAAGTGAAAGCGTACGTAGAATGCTGGAGATACGCATCGCTCCTTGAAGAATTCTTCACTCCACTCAGTGTCCATCTCTTTATATACCAAGATTAGACATCCTATCAAAGCACAAGTGACTAGGTAGCAGGTATAATTGCCTCATTACTCCATCATAAAAATGTCCAACAATGTCGTGGTAGTGGGAGTATATCCAGTCTGGGTTCCTGATCATGTGCCATGATGATGATGATGATGGTGTTGCATGCATGCAGGGTGGGCTTTTGTTTGTTGATAGTGATTAAAAAACTTCATGCTTAAAATGTACAAATCATAAAAAGCATTCTTTGTTCGCAATTTTAATCAAAAGACATCCTTTTCCCTCTTTTCCTTTCCCCTTTTTATTTTTTGCGTAGCCGATTCACGTTATTGACTGCTTCATTAATCAGTGATACTTGTTTTTCTTATAAAATGAACTTTTCCATTCCGGCGGCTCTTTCAAGAAAGTCAGCGACGGATGACGGTGGTTACGAGTGCAGAAAGAAGAAGGAGCCTAGTACCATGGCAAGTAGAACCATCATGTCGACACCTCCAAGTACACCACAAAGCAATCGGTATTTCAAGGCATCCCCACAACGAGTGCAGGCCTTGCGCAGACAACACAGCGGAGAATCACCAAAACTAGCTCGTCAGCACACAATGCCTATTCTGGAGTCGTCCAAGTCAGCATCGACGGCCCGTATTGCAAGTAACCTTCGACGAGCTCACAGTCATACGACAGCATCAGAAGCAGCAGCAGCTACAAAGGATCTTTACTCCCTTGGCGCGTCGTCAGCATCAGAAGCCACAACAAGAAAAGCTCATCGTCCATGGCAACGACAGCAACCACAATGTCAAATAGGAAGAAAACCAGAAAATGACAGTGATAGCAATCGACGCCGTTCTACAAAGAGTGCAACCGGGTGGACCCACGATACATGGCTCATCTTGTCACGGTACTACGAAGCAGTTGGACGCGATGCAGAAGAAACAGTCAATAGCTTTTACCGCCACGAGTCCCTCCAGATTTGCAAAGACACCGAGGGCTTTTATGAAATCATAGAGCTTTGGCCAAAGGACGTGGTTAGATGGCGCGTTTTGTGTCTATCCTCTGTGACAAAGAAACATGGTGGCATCCCGCTATTGGACCGCGTAAAAGCGTACAATGAAAAGAAACGGTGCAGACGCCAACGAGATGCAGAGGAGGAGAAGGAAGGGGGACAAGATCAGCACGCATATGAGTATGAAGAGGACGACGACGAGGAGGAGCATCCGGCATGTTATAAAAGGGTTTGTCGTAGACAACCGACTATAGCAGCAGCATGCACAAAATAATCAGCACCTGTATGTTCATAGAACCCTCCATTGTACGTTGTACGCTCATTTCGATAAAACCGTGATTAAAATTGAAAAGGACGCGAGCGTATACAGTATATGTACGGCCATTTCCTAGTTGGTACAATTTTGAAAAAACACAACCATTTAAAATCAGCCCATCAGTTCAGGGCAGCAGTGGTTTTAAGATTGCTTAGTCAAGGATAGTTCGTCAGATGACAGGTGTGAAATGAACTCCTCTGTCGACTTTTAGACAAAAACTGCTTGATATGTATACCGTATCTTCGTCACTAATTATAGAGCTTCGTTGTTGGTGACACATATCACAAATAATAATAAAAACCGCAACATGCATGTAGACTTTCTGTTGGTTGTCTTGTATTTTGTTATATACTAAAAGACATGTATGCATGTCTGGTTACCCAATGGCAAGGCGATCAATAAGCTCTACTCTACTGAAGAAATGTAATCAGGTTACGATGGCATGATTAGAATGCTATAATACTAAGATAATGAAAAGGACGATGCAGCATAACAGAGCATTTTGCCACGCGAGAAACATCTTTGGAGGATCGTCGTCGTGCTTGACAATCATGTGGGGCTTTTTTTGCATGCACGATTTGCATTCCTTTTTGACTCCAGTCATACCAACAAAATACTGTTATGCCCCATACCGTATGCGATAGCAAAATATGTTACCCAGTCCTCGCTTTTCTTTTTTTTGAGAGCAAAATTATATTACATCTTTATAAGAAAGCGTGTTTTTATTGGTAGATGGATAAATACCCACTTTTAATATGATTAGTAAATACAAGCTACTTGTAATGTGTTCAATGATGGAAAAAGTGGCATAACAAAGCAGAGAAAGAAGAACTATTTTACAGCAATGAGTCATACAGTGGCGTGAAATGGTGAATGGAGTAAGGTGGCATACAAAGGGCACAATGATTCTGTCCTGACGGTTGATAAAAATGTGAGTGAAAGAGACAGACATAGAATTTGCTTTGTTGAAAGGGTTACAAATGCAAGGTAGATATATCACATAGAACAAGACAGCGTGGCATTAAAACAAATAATGTTAAAAGAGAAACCGACCAAACACATTGTAATATACATAAAAATGCCACTATTATTGGTTGTCCCACCATGATCACGGGGGCCACCTCGTCGGCTCATTGTTCCTGGACAGTCTGCTGCTGTCCAGGTTGTATCAATTACTATTGTTATCTCCAAGGTTATTCGGACAGCGGTTCTGTTGCAGATGTCTCGTCAATGCAGATGGACGCGAAAGGACAAGATGACAATTTGGACGTAGGCGTCTATTGTAGTATTTGAGTCATTGCAGGATAGATCCTGGCTTCATACTGTATATGTACCTCAGGATTCCTGCGTCAAAAAAAAAACACCTGCTCAAACAGCAGCTTCGAGTAAAGAGTCGCTGAGGAAAACCTCCATAGATCGAATTTGCTCCGTCCGTAGCACAATTCCTGCTTGTTCTGCTATGTACGCAATAGTCGTGTCGTCGACCTCTTCCGTACATTGGATTGTCGTCCGCCATTGGTGATGATGCCATACTTGTCGCTGGTGTGGAGGGAGCGCTCCGAGATGTTGACGATGCCGAGAAGATCACGCTCGTGATATCGTCGATGATGCTGTTATCAGCAGTAGCATTACTAGCAGCCGATGTATACTGAGCCCGTGCGAAATTGAATGGTGGTGACGATGATGGAATAATATATATAATTCTTCCATATATCAAAAGCAGGAGAGTATCTTTTTTATATATATGATACTTTCTTGTCACTTTCAATTCGATAAAAAGTGTACTGTCTTTTCTAGCTTACTTGCTAGGTGTGCTACGTGACTCTGTAATTTCTCATTCTGTTCGCATTGGAGGGTCTCCTGTCATTTGCATAAACGTTTAACATTATCCTCCTGCCAATGCTTTTGTTACAAAACCACCTTGAAGGTATAACATAGGTACTGTATGTAAAAAAAAAGATATTTAAAGTAGCTAGATTCTAAACAAACATTGTTTGAAAAAAAAAACATGAATTTGAACTTAATGTATTAAAGCGTTTGCTCTCCATGTTATATCATACGTACTGGCAAGCTTAAAAAGGTAATGGCTGCATACTCGGCTCGGAATGGTCTGGATCGATGCCTATCTCTACCATCACCTTTAACCTTTTAAAAGACGCACAGACTCAGATTTGCGTCAACGTGCATTTGAGACATATAAAAGAAACGTGTATTTGGAATCTAAAAAGCCCGTGGCTCTATCATACACGACGATGATCTTGTGGAGCACCACTACCTTTTTTGCCAATTCGTAAACATATACTATGGTACCTTTGAATTTCGAAACAAGTTGTTAACGACGGGGACGCTTATGATTACTTCATCCAAGCACTAAGGTGGGCGTCAGCTAAAGGGGCCAATTTAAGACCCGATTTCCAGCCTTCATAGAGTTATCTCTGCATGCTTAATTGCCACAAAAGATAGCAGAATCGATAGCTTTAGAGGAGAGGAACACAACGTACTAATTTTTTTTTCAATGCGCTCACTTGTTGCTGAGCTATGACATTTCGAAGTCTACTATTTTTAGTACTTTTAGCTAGGAAACGAACAATTTTTGTACACCATTTCCCCATCATCTATTTTGAATCGCAAATCTTTTCACGTCATCTTTCACCAACTTCATAATTAAATACGCATTTAAATGGCAGGAACCAAAAGAAGAGCTAAAGTTGGTAAAGCCAACTACGAACAAGAAAAAAGATTGAGACTTGAACGCGAAAAAGCAGAATGCGAAAGAGCAGAACGCGAACAATAAGAGATCGAAGTTCAAGACATTCAACAAGAGGAAGAATCCCCTCTTACTTATCACCTGACGCGGGGTTTAAAGTCGATTTGATTTTTGCAAAAAATGGCCCCTTTAGCTGACGCCCACCTTATACCATTGATTTTGCTTTCTTTCCAAATAGAATGGCGTACACCATACAGCATGGTACATGCATTAAAATCAAACCCTGTCGTTGCGTCAGTATGGTATCCTCAAAAAGTCACAGGTCGATCTGCAGCTTTGTATGGTGTATTAGCTATATCTAGAATGGATACATCCTATCATTGGATGCTCGATATACTACTAGTACCACTGCTGTTTTTATGCACCCGGCGACATATCTTGAACTTTTGTAGTCCAATGAGTCGCTTTTTTGGAAACAAAGAAAAGCGACGTCCGCCCATACAGTTATGCTTATTAAGCCCACAGTCAGCAAACACCTTCTATGTACATATCATACAGTGATTATACACACGTAATTGGGAGCTTTGATGCAGTGCCTCTAACGCTACATTAAATACTAAATGTGCGTCAAAGTGATGGAATTCGCTGCTTACGCATAATGATCATGCCATACTTAATAGCCTTCTAGGTAGTTTACGACATATCCCGAGTAAGTATTCTATGTTAGAAACACTCTTTTGGACCTCCCGTGCAATACACAAGTTTGGTCAGAAGTCAAATACCATCTGCGCCAGAAATGCATACCAATATTGCAGAGCTACTCTTAATTGATGTAAACCCTGGGTTAAGATAAGAGACGAAGGCGAGAGATGAGGTGATTGATGCAGATACTATGTAACATTGCCCAACTCACGCTTCCACTCCGACTTGATTCGTTCCGGAGTTGATCGCGCACAACAGCACTTCCACCACCATCACCATCACCCCAAAGCCAAAGTGTATGATGTTGAATAGTTAAAACAATTTGTATTCTTGCAAATTCTTCCTATATGTTATGTGCATGTTATGTGTGTGTGTGTTTGTTTGTATACGCGCGCGGGGAAATGGTATGGACAAGAAAAGAGCGTGTATTTATATGTTAAAAGGGGGGGGGAACGGAACAAGGTGATAGAGTTCATGACATGTGTGAGTGCCTTATAGTCAAGCCTTGGTAGACAAAGCAGTAATACCAGGCAGCTCCTTGCCTTCCAGCAACTCCAAAGAGGCACCACCACCAGTAGAGATGTGGCTAATCTTACCCTCAGCGCCGTACTGCAAAGCAGCAGTGGCGGTGTCACCACCACCAACAATGGTAACGGCACCCTTCTCGGTAGCCCCAATGACAGCTTCACAGGCAGACTTGGTGCCCTGGGCGAACTTTTCGATTTCAAAGACACCCATGGGGCCGTTCCACAAGATGGTCTTGGAGGCAAGGATTTCTTCACGGAAGATCTTGTTGGACTGTTCACCACAGTCCAAGCCCAAGAAATCGTCGGGGATACCGGTTTCATCGGTAGCATGGCCGACTTGGGCATCAGCGCCAAATTTGCTGCCGGTCACGTAGTCGACGGGGAAGACCAACTTGACGTTCTTGGCCTTGGCCTTTTCAACCAAGTCCTTGACCAAGTGCGAGCCGGGCTCATCAAAGAGCGACTTACCGATCTAAATGTACGTTGTGTGCACGTGTGCAATGTTTGTGTTAGGTATGGCACACAGTGCAACACAGGAACTAATCGAATGTTCTGCCTCCCTCCCCTCCCATTTCCTTACCTTGACATTGTCGAGAGTCTTCTTGAAGGTGAAAGCCATGGCACCGGTGATGATGAGAGAGTTGACCTTGTCCAACATGTTCTCGATCAACTGGATCTTGTCGGAAACCTTGGAACTGAATTTTCTTTATAAGTAACTGCTCCTCTTGACGCGCTTTTATACCTTATATATACGCAACACGCTCTCGCCAACAGTTAAAAGTATAGAGAGATGAACTTACCCGCCCAAGATGGCCAAGAAGGGGCGCTCGGGAGACTCAAGGACCTTGGCAAAGTATTCCAACTCCTTTTGCATCAAGAAACCAGCGGCGCGCTGGGGCAATTCAACGCCGACCATGGAGGAGTGGGCACGGTGAGCAGTACCGAACGCGTCATTGATGTAGACATCAGCCAAGCTAGTCAAGCTCTTGCGGAACTTCTCAACAGCCTCGGGGTCAGCCTTGGTCTTCTTACCCTCGGCATCCTTGGACGAACCCTCTTCCTCAATGTGGAAACGCAAGTTCTCCAGCAAGATCACCTGGCCGCCTTCGGCCGACTGGCAGGCCTTTTCGACCTCCGGACCGACGCAGTCAGACAAGAAGTTGACAGGCTTGCCCAACAACTTCTCGACTTCCTTGGCGACAGGCTTCAGGGAGTACTTTTCCTGGACTTGGCCGTTGGGACGGCCCAAGTGGGACATCAAGATCACTGCCTTGGCGCCCTGGTCCAAAGCATACTTGACAGTAGGCAAGGCCTGGACGATGCGGTTGTTGTTGGTGATCTCGTCACCCTTCAAGGGAACGTTAAAGTCGACACTAGAAGAAGTAAAAAAAAAGCGCTGTCAGTTGGTGTGTCCTTGGTGTGGTTGTTTTTTTGTTGGGCAGGTAGTAGTTGGAGTGGTCGCTTTTGTTGAGAGAGAGAGAGAGAGAGAGAAAGAGAGAAGAGTGCTGTGGTGGCTTCAGCTGACAGTTTACCGGATGAGGGCGCGCTTATCCTTGAGGTCGAGGTCGCGAATGGAGAGGCGGTTGGACAAAGACATGATTTGTTTCTTGAGAAGAAGAAAAAAAAAAGAGAAGAAGAGACGTCGGATGTCGCACCAAAGCTGGCCTTTATATATGAACCTACACACCCCACACGCGTGTTGGTAAAAATGGGCGCTCTTTGAAACTGTTTCGAGCGTGTTTCGGTTTATGCCTTGCAAAATGATATTCGCCCAAGAAAATACCCTGCGCTAACTCTAATGCGGACGCACTTTTCACTTTTTGCCTGGGTGTTCGTTGCCCGGCCCCTCCATGGCGACTCTCTGGAAAATTTCATGTGCTTTTCAAACTTTACCTGGAGGCCGCCGTAAATCACCGCCGGACGCGTCTATCCTTCCGATCCGTCCCTTTTCAGCTCGTCGCAAATGTTGCCGTGGAAGAGGTCGTCTCTTGCCACTTCTTTAGCGCACAGCCTTGTTGCAGGATGGGAAAGCCAATGGCAAGAGGGGGGGGACAAGGAGGCGGCATCCTCCCATCTATCGAGATGTGACTATTTGTTAGAGTCACTTCCCCAACAAATTCGCCTTTCAAAGATCAGCCGATTGATATGATAAAAAAAAATATATCGACCTCGGGTGTAAGAAAATGCATTTAAAAACTCAGCTCCTTTTATTTATGATTGCTGTTGCTCCCTTGACGCTGCATTGTTGGTAATACCATTACTAGTATTACTGCTGCTGCCATTACTACTGTTATTATAATAATCATTACTACCATTGCTGCCACCGTCGCCTACTTGCACCATCTTGGACAAAAATCGATCCATCATGCTTTTTTCTAGTGGAGCCCATTCCACCTGCCATTCTTCGCCGTCTTCGAGCTTCTGAATATCTGCCCAACCGTCAAATAACGGCTTTCGATCAAGTCGGATCTGCCGTCCTGAAGCCGTGGTGATGGATAGGATCTTACGCGTTTTGAACGTGGCAATGATGTGTATTTTTTCTGCAATGCTGTGACCCGTTTCATTAGGCGCTACATCAATCCATACACGATGGCCTTCGTTGATGGATCGTACAGTAATCTGGCGCTTTTTAGCTGGAAGAATCCATACGGTGTATGTTGTTAGAGGAGGAGGAGAGGGGGGCAATATAGGAATTAGACCTCCTTGTCAGATCATACGTCATTTTGACAGATTCTTTTTGAATTCGCGCATGGCTAACATACCTGGAGGTTGCTTTGTTGTTGTTGTTGCTGCTGCTGCTTCTCCAGGCGTGCTACCAACACTCTTCATCGACTTGTTACTCTTGACTGATCGTACGCTTCTTACTGATCGCGCACGTTCATATGACGGCTGTGCGTGGTTGTCTTCGGATACTGCTGAGCAGAAAAAGATGCTATTAAAACCCGAAACATTTATCAAATGTTTTTGTCGTGATGATGTCGAAATGGCATCACATTATAGCTTACCACCAGAGTACTCAGTTATGGCACCACCTGGAGGTGTTATTTCGTCCGCAGCAGTGCTAAACTGTTGGTTACTCGCATAATATGAACTGTTGGAACGCGTATGTTGATGGTGTTGAGGATAACTGTTACTGCTAAAAGCATGGTGTTGTTGCTGTTGAAATGACAAAGATGACGGTGATGGTCCTGGATACTGCTGTGGTTGAGGATGCGAAGGCTGTGATGGCGTATAAGGAGGAATTTGTTGCTGTTGCTGTTGCTGGACAGGTTGAGGTTGTGGTCTATACCGTGGATATGCAGGCGGCAAAACAAAGCCGCCGACAAATGACTCTCTTTTGTTTGTTGGCTGTGGCGGCATAGTTGGTGCAACGGGCTCTTGAGGTGACATGGTCGCGTGTGTCGGTGAAAAGTATCCATAGTAGGATTCTCTTGGAGTGTATGCTGGCGTGATTGGACGTTCAATAACGGTTGCTCCCGTGGATTGGCGCCGCATTCGCCTATCATTGAACCCATTTCCTGCTTCAAAACTTGTTGTGGATTTTTCGGTCGTCATTGGTCGCTGATGCTGCTGCTGATGGTGGTGGTGCTGTAGGTTTGTGTTAGACCGTCCTATCGACGATACTTTCCATCCATTATCTCCCGTTGTAACAGATATACGGCGTGAGCGTTGGCTAGCTTCGTTATTAGCACTTATACCGTTTGACGACGGTGGTGCTTGGTACATTGATTGTGGACGGCTCGTAAGTGCGGGTGTCTCGGGGTATGCGCTATTGTTGCTGTTAGTGGAGATGTTGTTCGGCGGGTATCGTGAATATGACGGTTGTTGGTGGTGCATGTTGTTGTGAGAAGAGGGAAACCCGTTGTAGATAAAAGACGTGTCGAGCGGTGGAGGTCGCATAGGTCCTCCATTCTGTTTTTTTAACGAATGAGTTGTTAGCGCATTCCAATTACAATATAGCTCAAAGAAGAAACAATAAACTCTAACCAAAGAAGGCCGATACTGTTGTGGGTGAGGTGTCGTTGGTGGTGGTTGTGGTTGTGCAGCAACAGGTCCGGGACGAACTCCATGAGCTATTGTATCATATACAGGCATCAAATAAATAGGAGAGCCGAGTTTCAGCGTGCTTCGTTTCTTCCTTATTTTTATAGCGGTACTTACGGTGATTAGTATAAATTGAAGGTGGTGGCGGAGGGTTATAAGCATTCATTGTGACATGAACAATAAAGAAAAAGAAAAAGAACGGAAATAGGAAAAAGAAGCTACTCACTCCGTAGCTCTCGTTTTTCCTCTCTGGGCACAGCAGACAGTTATAAGCCGTCGGGGGTAATACAAGGTGAGAAAATAAAGGCAGCACACTCCTGCCAAGATGGATGTATGTGTGACAATGTAGATAATAACAATACTACTTTACGTACTTTGCGCCACTTTGGGAATAGTGCGCACATATGGGTGTGAACATCACCGGTGATTATTTTTTTTGACAAGTGCTTTTCACTCAACTGCAAAGAAAAACCGGAATCGCTTTGTCTTGGCGGTTTCTACTTGTCAAAACCCAAGGGCGAGGTTGGGAACAAAAACACAGCATGATGCATGCCGCTGAAGAAGCAAGGGTTACACAAATTGCTGATCGATGGTGTCAATTAAACTAGGTGAATATGGAAATCGTACCTTCCTTGGCAAAGAAAATACAAGCACAAGCTCCTTTGGCCTGGATGTGTACATCTTGCTCTAGGTAAAGTTGCAACCATCAATTAGGGTGTGCTACGAGTTTGATCTTTCGCAGCTAGTACTGCACAATTGTCAAGAAAGTAGCAGCTGTGATATATGATTATCCATAATTTGATGGCATCGTATACCCTACATGCATATTGGTCTCCGATGTACGTTATTAATAGACTTGAAGCAACAGTGGCGGCATAATACATTTTACTCTCATGCGTGTTTATCAGCTGTCTGTCCTATCTTTTTTTTTTTTGGTTCTCGGCATCGAGTAACCATAGCTCCCTTGCATGACGACATGGGCTATTTTGCTTTATGGAATCAATTCTTGGGGCTCTATTATATTCTTAGTGTGACGCTAAAAGATATGATAACATTAGCTAAAATTGGCGTTTTGTTTACATCATATTCTGTGCCATAATGGTATGCAGATCACCATATCCCCGCGCTAAACTTTCTATGTCTCGATTGATGATGTTATTAAGTATCCGTGTATATGTACCATTATTCATTAGGTTGCTGCAACACCGTAGTCTCAACGTCTTTTGGAAAAAGTGTAGATTTCTCAGCCTCTATAAGTTTATAGATGATAAGGTCACAGGAAGGAAAGGGTATAGGGCTTTGGAACCCGGGATCGCTTATTGTTTGCCCCCAGACCAAATGCCAAGCAAACGCGAGAAGAACCTGATAGCACAAATTCCGATTCTACGTGCCTAAACAGTAGAATTACATGTATGGCTAGTATGTACAGACTATTGTAGGAGCGGCTCAGATTGATGACAATAGGAAGTACATTCTTTGCTCCAGCAGTTGACGTGCCTATTATTGAGTACTAACATTATGTTGAACGAAGAGCAGATATACTTGAGTTGGATAAAATCAGGAACATCTTTTTGATTATGTATATAGTTGCAGCTAATGGAGAAAAATAGACATTGTCGAACAAGAATGAAATCAAAAATTAAATATATAATATGTATATACTACAATGGAAGACGCCATTTCATACTATAGCTGCTAAAATTTAAACAACAACAGTATCAAGTGCAAGACCGCATACGTTAAATGGCTCCGGGCCATCTTCTCTAAATGTGATACGAATTGCTCGTAATTGCTGAATACTCTCACCACAGTCCAACTTTATGTAGACGCGGGGTGGGACATGCTGCCATGCTGCTGTGGCAGACGTACGACAGGTAACCTATAGATGTATTGCAATGTCGCCCTCCGCTTAGTTTGCATTCGACGTTTGACATATAGCACCGCACATAACCACCTTTTGAATCCTCTTACCCAATCAGTCCCATTATTCGTCACTGATACGTCGAATAATGCCTCAGGCCGACGGATATCGTTGCATGTATAGATCTGCAACACCTCAGGCATAATGCTGCCCATTATGATTAAGCCAAAGTAATCACCTGCTTTTGGGTCTGTGTAAATCAAATTAATATGAGTGAGCTTGACTTTATAATTTCCGATATTAATCATAAAACTCTCTCGAGAGACGAAATTTACTTTGATAAGTATTCCAACAGCTGGTGGGATCCTGATCCACTGCCTTGTGATAAGCATGTTCATTCCAAAACTCGTCGGATGGGACGGTTGCTAGTTCGTTATACGTCCGTTCAAGTTGTTGGATGCTGGAGAAATTGTCCTTGTCAAACTTGAGTAATGTAGGATTAGGTGAATGATCCATGTTGGTGAAAAAGAGACATCGATCGTTTCCACAGGAGGCGCTATATAGGTCAAGCAACAGAAACAAGTTCATTAGCAGCATAATATTGTGGCGTTCTAGGTAGTGTCTTGAGATTTACCGGACATCGCGTTCATAGAGTCGTGGCTCATCCTCGATTCTTTCGAAATAATCTTTGGGTGTATCGGTTAGATCTGCCTCTAATGTACTTTGTAGACGTCGTGTCGCTTGTTTCTATATCTCGCCAATGAATGGATGCAAACATTGAATCAGATATATACACATATACAGAGAAAACGCACATCAGTTCTTAAAGGAGCCATAGCAAATGTACTTACGATATTCGCATACAATTCCGGACTGACAGGTCCAAAATCACCAGGCTTTTGACCTGATGCCAATAAGAGTGGATTGGAGAGCAACCATGGATACTGGTTCATCCATACTGAGAAATACATGTCGGCTAGTCGGATTCTGTCTTTTCCCAATGATGATTTGCCCAACTGTGTCATGAACGTCTGAACTTTCCAACGAGGGACAAAGGCACCATATTGAAGATCGGCAAATCCAGAATGCATTCTGAAATCTTGAAAAGAGCGAATGTATTCAATTATTAATACCAATTTTTTTTCGCAATGACTCAATGATGCAGCCCATTCATGGTCCCTGGTGTATACACGTCTTTAACTTACCCGGATTACTCACGCGCCAGCGCATTTGATCCATGTAACGAGCGGGTGGAGAATTGGCATGAATGATATTTGGATATCGAATCATATTTAGGAACAAGCTATCCACGAATGCCGGTTGCCACGTATCATCTTGCATATAACAGGTATCAAATGTTGCCATGGCACATGTAGTAAACCGTGCTAAACTACCAAGACGTTCGTTCCGTTCGTCAAAGATTTCGACGTTTACATAGCGAGCTTGGCTGACATCAAGCGCAAGTTGCTATAGTAGAATGAAATATTCAACAATTAGATTCTCCCTCAATCCCACCTGTATACCAACATGGGTAACGTCGAAAACGGTCTCTTCCTTTCTCTCTCTCTCTCTCTCTACCTCTATAGAAAGGGGTGCTGCACTCATAGGATTATGGATATAGATTTCCTTGACAAATGGGTAACGAAGCAAACGATCGACGACGGCTGAAACGTCTTGAGGATTTCTGGACACTCTGTAAATGACAGCCGTCACTGGTTTTAGATCCTCTTCCTGGTATAATGCTTCAGGGGTAAACAGAGATGGCGCAAATGCACTGGTCTTTTTGTTTTCATCATTGAGATCGGTGGGCCACGATGGCCAATCGATACGGTAAGGGGTGGGGAAGGTTGTCGAATCGAGATTTCGGTCGTGATTGGCGGCTCGTAAGAATAAGAAAAAGACAATGATGAACGAGGTAATCATTACACGTTTCCGAGTTATATGTAACATCCATGACGGTGATCGTGAGACTGATGAGTCTCGATGGAAAAGTGGTAGTTGCTTGCTCATTATATTCTCCGTCGAGAGAGAGAGAGAGAAGAGGTACAAGAGAAAGAAAGACAAAAGGGATATAAACTAGCTGCGAGTATAAGAGAAAACAAATATAATGAAGTGATGATAATGGAAGGAAGTGAAAATGTGGGCCTGTGTAACGTTGTACCAACTGTTTCTTCTCTTCTTTTAATTCTGTGTGTTTGTTATGGGGTTCAAAATCCATATTGGCACAGGAGAAGATTGCCCATTCCTTAACAAAGAATTAGCTGGAACAATGTATAATAGCTCATAGGCCTTGATGAATATCGTAGAGTGCTGATAATGACACATAGATGAGGAAACGCTTATGGTCCGGAAGAATGCAATTACCGCCTTTTTAAGTGGCATTGTTGTTTATCGGTGGAAGGTATGTATCACGACTCTCAAACTACTTGTGATGATGATTTATGCAGGTAGGTAGTCAAGGCACAATGAATACTTTCTTTAGTATTTGAGTGAAAGGCTACAACCATAGAAATGACGGAATGTAAGCGAATACGAACAAGATCTTAAGAAAGATGGGAGTAAGCAAACAATTACAGCAGAACTGTTTCACTCGCTCTATATTTACTTTGGCAGTAACTTCTCAGCATAGATAACATTGGACTATCGCTTAAATTAGCAACCACGTTAATAATAAGTAAATGAAAGAACGTTGATGCATTCACTACTGGTGTCACTTCTCCTGTCGTTTTCTCTCTTTTAATCTTGTATCAGTAACATCCTTCCACAGAAATCCGCACACATAGAGAGAGAAGGAGAGAAAGCAAATACTCACGCAAACCATTTCATGAATCCATGGGGTTCACCAGCGCATTTATGATTCGTAACAGGTGTATATGGCACAAGACAGGACTTACGCTTGGAAGCTGCCTAGTAAAGAGAAGAAATAAAAGTACGATTTTAGCGCGTGAGGTAATTTACCAGAAGAGGGTCAGGACAAAGGTTACTAGGCGATACGTGTGGACAAAAGGGAGGGAAGACAAAATATACATAAACGCAAGGAGATGGGAAGCAAACATATATAAATCCAATAGTCCATTCCAATGACATCCCGATCAGAGCAAAATCCAAGGCACGCGCAAGGAAGCTTGAGCTGCCACCATCGGATGAATGGATAGAAGATTTTGACCACAGAATACAGGATGCCTTGAGGATCAGCCTTGTTCTTTTTCCAGTAGCAGCAATAGTTCAGTCTTCACTGCTTGCGTGGCACGGCGGGCGCCTCAATTCACAGTACCAGCAGCAGCACCAGGACACGGCCACGTAAGAAGTATGTTGAGAAAAGAAAGAACGAAAAGAACTATGAGCGAGCCACATTCACCAGATGCTCTTTTTGACATTCCATGGTCACGTTTTTTCAATCGTTCATTTAACACACACAATAGCACACTCTCGGAATTACTCGTGAACCTTCTCTTAGCTTCTTGTATGTTCTTCTTTGCTTTTGCTTGCGGGGAAAAAGACATGAACGATTAATCCTGGCTTTATCAAGAGGGGGAAAATGCGCAAAACATATTATAAAAGACCAGTCCATTGTGTCGATAGTAGGAACTTGCTGCACACGCGTTACATGAACGTCGTCTATTTCACGCCTTTCAGCACTTACAAACAGCCCCTGCCAGTTATAGTGCAATGACTTGATCATAAACACGGAGAGCACAGCAGCTGCAGCAGCAAAAGCCAGACAGAAGATATTATGGCGACATGGCATGGCACTCACGGGAAAGCATGATGATATCCCGATCATAGCAGCCGGAAGTTCATGGATGGATAGCACATGATGTTTTCTAAGAGACCTTCTTTTGAAAGCTTTCTTTACATTGTTCTTTACTTCTATACAGAGGCAAGGGCGATGCTTTTTTTGGGGAATTGTCCACTGGAATAAGTCTACGCTTTACTGCACCTATTACCTGAAAACGCGTGACCAGCCCCAGTTAAAGCTCGAGTACGCCGTAACAAGATCAGAACCTTTATGATACAATTGATAATATTCTCACAGCCATGAATGTGCTGTAAGTAATCGCAGCTGGTCCAGCTTTATATGAAGCTTAATCACTCACTATGGGTCGTAAACAATAGCAAGTGATAGGCAGCCGGAAATTTGGTCACCCCTTAACGCAAAATACTTTCTAGACATTGAATAGTTCCAACTTGGTCAGAGCTCTGTAAGTTGAGAAAGTGACAAAATGGCTAATATATAAGCAACAAAAAAGTATCTTACAATTCTAAGCGTCACGAAAACTGAAGTATCGAATCGATGTCTACTCGCATATACACTCAACTCACTCTTTTACTGTTAGACATAGCAGACATGCGACCGAATTGCGAGAACTGCAAAACCTTTCCCAAATCTCAGTTGTCTCCTGAAGAAAAATATTATGCCCATATAGCACTATAATGAGTGACGTGCAGATGTGATCGATGGGTTCATAAGCGTCCCAGAATACGTGCTGCCTGAAGAAGAAGACGATGATTATGCCTTGATCCATTCAATCAACCAGCATTATCGTTCACAGAGAGAGAGAGAGATAGCGATCAGTTTAATGATGAAAGTTTATGTCAGATGTGACTGAAAAACGCTCGCTTGCGCTGGCCTTGACAGTTGCAACTTTCCATCTACCGGCTGGAAAGTTTCCCATACTGTCGCCTGGCATAAGTGTATATAATTGGAGAAAAGTAGACACGTCGTCCAAGAGTAAGCAATAGTGTAGTTTGAACAAATGGACAAGATGTTCAATGAAATAGAAGGATCTGGGAGCCTGGACCGAGGCATGTTCAATCAGTATGTAGTGTATACCGTTATTCAGACACAGTTGATTGGTCATCAACTGCGAGCTGCTGTTCTTATGCTGTATCTTCTTCACACATCCTTTTTCCTTTTTCAAACGTCAGCATTATATACGTTTTCATATGTTTGCCTAAATATAATCATATATCTAAGCAAGATAATAATCTACTTGTGTATAGCTTCACAAAAACTTGAAGCTTTAATTAGTACAAGTAGATATACTTCTGTTGAATTTGTTTTTGCATTAGATGTGTTTATTAGCAGTATTTCTGTGCTATAGTGCTTAGTTTGCTGCACTAAAGATCGTCCTGATTATAATTGTACTGTTCAGATCCGTGTCACGTTAAGCCTGACACATGAATTTTTATTTTTCCTCGCTTTCGCCTCTATCTTTTGTGCTTTACCTCGCAAAGCAAGTACAGCCAGTAATCATAGCTAAAGAACGACTGTCGGCAATCTGGCCGCAAAACAAAAATGCCAGATCTCTTCTATCAAGCTGTTTGCAAAGAGCATTTTTTAATCCTTTTGTGATAGCTCACGATGGCGCCATCATGAAACTTTCGTTTATGTGTGTGGCCAAGGAACTACAGTTTCCTAGCTGTTTATAGACACTGGATCTACTACTTTGTTGCCACTCGACACCTTCAGTTTATAAAGTGGCTGCCTGACGAGCTTGATTACAGTGTATATATAAAAGCATCGAGAACTAGTGCCAATTCATCGTAAAGGGAAACTGCCAGCGGGGCTCTCCGATCATAACCCCAACCGTTGTCGGAGGGGCGCGGTGGTTCTCCGAAACATTTTAAACCATCGCTCTCATGCACCTTGAAGGATGAATTAAGACAAAAGATGCATCATTGTTGTGAAGTCTTCGTTGTCCTAGTAATAGCTCAACGGCAGAGACATCATTCCCATATCCAGTAGTTACTTTTTAAAGCGACCAGACTGTTGGTGCTGATCATGTGGTCAGTGCTCAATAAAAGTGCTTAAAGAGGAGAATTTCCAAATGCAGGTGGTATCGCATTATGCCATAATGAAATGACGAATTCATATGAAATGATATGCGAATTAAAAAGGACGGGGCTGGAGTTTCCTCCAGTCAGTCGAACGGGAAAATAATCATTTGCTATTGAAGGAGAGCAGCGAGGAGGGGAGGGAGAGAGAGAGATAGAGAGAAACCACGAGCAAAGGTGGGTTGCTATAGACGCGGTAATTCAATTGAAATGCGACGATGGAAAAAAAAAAATACTCAATTGACTCGAGGAAAACCTCACCACACCACTTAATTCCTGTTGCCACGCTCTTCGCCTCTCTCTCCTCTCTTTCTCTCTTTCTCTCTTTTAACCCCACCCCACCCCCGCTTTGTCCTTTCTTTTTCAGCAACCTTCTTTCCTCTTACCCTTATTATTTTTACTGTCCCGGCGCACACAACATACACATACATCCAGCATATAGCAATGAGCAACGTTGAAACACGATCTAGGCTCAAGTCTATTGACAATGTATTTCTCTTCGTGCCAAACATCATTGGTAAGTCTAGCTCTTGACTCAACATGACCCTCCGTCCAAACCTTTGGAAAGAAAGAACGGCAATCATCTAAACCTCCATTACCCCATTTTGAACTAGGTTACACGCGTATTATACTAGCCTCTTTATCACTATACTATATGCCGTGGCACCCTAAAGTATGCGCCACTTTATACTGTATCTCTTGTCTATTGGACGCGGTGGATGGAAATGCTGCACGGTATTTTGACCAGTGTAAGTCTTATTAATTGTCATCATTATTCTAGTTATGGGAGAGGGGGGGTAGAGAAGAGGAGAATAAGGGGATAGGCGAGAGAACGAGCAGAATCGAATTGTCTCGCCAGCACGCATGTTAATGAGGAAATCATATGGGCTGATTGCATTATGTGGGGTTTGGTTATTCACAGGTAGCAAGTTTGGTGCAGTTTTGGACATGGTAACGGACAGGTAAGCTTAATAAGAAGGCTGGCTTAATGCCAGTGCTATTGTTCTTTTATAAAAATAACAAAACTGACATCTTGCTTACAAATCGTCTTTCGTATATAGATGTACTACGAGCTGTCTGCTTTGCTTTTTATCTTTACAATACACAGAATGGACTATTCTGTTTCAATTCTTGGTATCACTTGATTTTAGCTCGCATTATATGCACATGTACAGGTACGCGAGAAGAGGAAAGTGGATGGGATCAGTGAGAGGCAAGGGAGAGTCTGTCTAGAGGGAATACATATGTGTGTATGTATCTTGTGATATGTCTCATCTTACTGTCGTTATTAACAACAATATCAAATATATAGTTCCATGACTGCTGGATCTACCAGCCATAAAAAGTTATCCGAATCTGACTACAAGTTCCTCCATCTTTACTACAACAGCAGTGTAAGTGTCTTTGGGTAAACTGCATCTATAATTTGGCTTTACATTTATGCGAGTATGTATGGTATCTATTTGTTTTATCTAGACGGTTCTATTCATTATGTGTGCCGGCAACGAGCTCTTTTTTGTAACTCTCTATTTTCTAAAGTTCCTCAAGGAACCTGTGAGCAGTAAGTGTTCTATCCTTCTTGTTTGGAGAAAAGGGAAAGGGGTAAAAGTGTCGTACAAGAAAAGGTTTCTCTAATTTGGGATCTCATAGTTGCATGGTATATCCTACTTGTCGTCAGTGGCGTTATTTGCTTTGCTAAGCAGTTCATTAATGTGGTTCAAATTGTCAATGCAAGCAAGGTGTTGGCAAATGTTGATAAGGAGGAACGTCAAAAGGCGTTGAGCGCCAAGGAACAGTAAAAAAAGAAAACAGCAACAAAAATTATACATACATCATTTACATACATAGCTTGGTTTACTCTCCTTTCTTTCTTACTACTTTTCCCCGTCTCTCTTTCTCTCGTACATATATAAAGTAATAGAGACATATATCGAGTGTGTATGGATTGCAAGTGCGACGCTTCTAATATAGAGAGATGTTGACAGATAAAGATACTTTTCGTACAAATTGGGTGTACTTCTAACATATGCTATTTTTATCACCATATTGTGGTTTGTAACTGCTCTCCACACTATGTTCTCTACGAAAGATGTACGATTGACAGTCCCCGCTTCCACTTTCTGTCGCATTGACCTCTTGTCTTATAAGTACATTACACAGTGTATCTACGCTATTTCTGTCCCTGCATCTTTGTTGTTCCTGCCAAACCTTGTTTGTATTGATAGCAGTAGAAACGTGTGCGTCAGTGTTTCAATAGCGTACTCGTAACAACCTTAATGTAAAATCTGAGATATATATATTCTCGACTATAATTATAATACTACGTTATCAAGATCACACAAAGCACATTACACGAATGATATCGTTTCTTTTGCTGCAACCATTATGTTTTGTCAAAGTGTCGATTTGTTGCTATCCAGAATTACAGAGATGATGATGATCTATCCAAATCTTAACCGATTATTAGCTCATCGCCTTTTAGTGACCCTTACTTACATAGACGTTGTTTCCAATCAGATAGGAGGGAAGAAAGCATCACTCTACTGCATGAGGTATGATCCATAAGATTTAGCTCACAATAGGCCTGGTCAAAGGCCGTTGAAGCTTCAAATCTGAAGGTCGTACAATAAAAACATTCTAGCCAATTATCACACTGATTACTTAAAAAGGTAGCTTCAGCTGTGATCATTCACCTCCAAGGCTAAAGGACCTTCAGCCTCGCGCTCTTTACTTTTTTAAGTAAAGAAATATTTGTACGACCTTCAGATTTGAAGCTTCAGCGGCCTTTGACCAGGCCTATATGTATAAAACTGAGAATTGTCAAAGCACAAGTGCCTAATAGTAACAGTGGAGCAGCTTATAAAATTGTGCCCTGTCTTTTTCCCAGGTACAGTCAGTAATCATTTCTATACCAAATACCATGGGGTGACTAAAGTTCACTCTATACATACGTGCCTTTTGAAATAACCATGTACCAGGTAGCACTTGCCGCATTCAAATTTCCTCTTCCGCTTGGATTAAAGCCACCGTACCCTGGTCGAGCTTTTATTAACACTTTCACTGGATTTCCTCGAATCATGAAGGCAGTTATAGTCTTTACATATGTGAAAGGCGATGGTTTAGCTATATTGCAATTAGATATAAGAGCCAAAAAGGAAGCCATTACTTTAATCTCATCCCAGCGTTTTAGCATAGGATACTAAATCATCATACGAGAAATTATATCCCATGCGGGTACTAGATGGACTGTGGCAAACTATAATGGTCCACAATAGGGAATACGAAAGAAATATATAAAGAAAAACCAACAGAGCATGCTATGATTTGACACTTTTATGTGGTTGTAACAATATAGCTAATTGAAGGTGGACGCGGTTGTTGTTATTTCACTTGATTTGCTATCAGAGTGAAAATGGTCAATTCCTACTTGACGAAGTCATTTGTTCTCTTGGATGTTTTTTAGTCCATATAACTTTTTCTAACCCTACTCGCTGTCAACAACAATACTAAATCTGACAACTGATAATGTGTAGGTTGAAAACTTTGAATCTTTTACAAAAGGTAGTTTAGCTAATCAGCGTAAGAAATGATGAACATTGATAAGCATATGCGTTGTATGATAGAGAAAAGGTAATGAATTCGCGTGGAGAAGGCAATATAAATATATAATGCAGCAATAAAGCAGAGCAGGCTAAATGCTTGTACTCCCTCCTGACGGTGCCCCTGACATTCCGTAATTATTCATATTGTCCGTATGGTAGTAGCAATAGTAGTAGTGAGTATTATGTAATAATGGCAATGAAATAGCTTAGCGTGCAATAAGGTAAAAGGGCGGTTGCATAGGTATATGCATGCATATGCAGCGGCAATAGCAGAAGCAGTTTAAATTCAACTTTCATTGTTGAGCATCTGCATCATTTCCACTCCTCGGTAAAGATCCAAAACGATGACGACTGCTTCCCTAGGATACCTTTCATATCTACGATCGAGCACCCTTCCATTCAATCAGTAATTCTAATAGGTCGATATGTAAGATATAGATGCTATATCTCACTGGTCAAAGTATGCAGAAATGCAATTTACATGCGTGTTGGTGACGACGACGGCATTTGCAGAGAATGAGCACGTATTATAGTAATATGTTTTTCTATTCAACAAAGCTAATCGAAGACCGTATATACCTTGATTACTAGTGCTACCGCTTGTAGCACATTTTCAATGTGTTATATATGACTTAAAAGCAAGAAGAGATAAGAATGAGAAAAAGAACTTTCTTTTAATTAAGTGTGTGCTTATTCTTATACTATGAGCTTGAGAGTCGCTCTCGTTAAAAAGTTAAGTAGAAAGGAACCTTTGAACCGTCAAAATGCTGTACAAAAGTTCATTAAATTTGCAGAGTCTCTGGAACAAAGGCAGCAGATGTTGCCCATTATGTATGTAATACATCGTTTTCTTCGAAAATTGCGGGAATCTTCCCCCTCATCTCCTCCTCCGGTCCCCAGAGTTTCAATGTATAGGTGAGATCATAATTCATGTTACCCTGGACGATCCCCGGCCACAAACCTGTGCTACGTCGTACATTATATTCTACAGCCTCTCACATTTTAATTTCTCTTTGCAAAGAGCGGTTAGGCCTCCGTTCCCTAATGGCTTCCTACTCTACTTTGTATGGCTCTTTTGTGCATGCTATCATTTGCAGAAAGAGTGCATAAAATTGAAAAGAGGAGAGATATACTGAGTTAATGAACAAAAAGAATACGGAAAAGGAGGGAGGAATAATAGCAACCGTACACAGCCTTACATCCCATTCCCACGACCCTGCAGCGTCAAAAAGGTAAATTGGCATCATAGCAATGGGAGAGTAGTGGATTTCGTGTATACCAGGAGTTTGGTTGGTTCTACAACCCTCGGATGGGAGACAAGTCGGACCTTTGGCAAACATGTGATGAGCTGTGCTCTGTAGGCGACGAATACGCGTATATACATACACCTTTGTATATAGAATGATAGCTGAAGCGCCGACTCAAAAAGCAATGCAGCCTAAGCCTACTGCTAAGTTAGTAAGATATTAGTGGGACGATCATTTATAGCTCTGAACCCGTATAGTTTGAGAATCAATATAAAGAAAGCAGAAGAGCGTGTGTGGAATTTATATGAAAAGGCAATATCCGATGCATGTTAATGAGCGACGCTTCAAAATAGCGCGAACACAAAAAGAAATGACTTGATTTAATGAAATCTAACAGACTATCTCTTCCTTGTGACACCCAGCATCTCTATTTTAATATAATCGCGCGCGTGGCATATTTTGAAAGCTTTACCAAATGCAGATGCTTAGTGCAAAAGTTTAAAACAGCATTCTGCTTTACTGCAGAGTATAACCCAATTTATTATTAACCCACTACCGTTCCTTTTGTTTTATTGTCCCTCCTCTCACACACACACTCTCTCTTTACCTTTATACTCTATATCTCACATATACTTTCTCTCTTTCTTCCTTTCACCCAATTCTCTTGAACAGCAACAACGACCATGGCCACAGCAAGAGTGGTTCCGCCGTCAGCAGGAGCAGCAGCAGCAGGAGGAGGAGCACCCGATCTGGTTGCTCAGAACGAAGAGTTGTGGCGCATTGTCGAAAAGCAGCGCATCATAATCCAGAATTTACAAAAGAGTTTGGCTTTGATGACGGACGAGCGCGACAACCTTTTAGAACGTAACCAAGATCTCGAGCAAGAGCTTGTAATGACGACACAACTGGACATTCGACGTTCAGATCCCGCGTCACCCGAGAGCAATAGTCATCACAAACACCAACAGCAGCAACCTCGAGAACAGCAGCAGCAACCAGAACCAAACAAGGAGACACAGCATTTGTTGGCCGAGACAATCGAAGCAACTATGTTAGGACCTGTACCTCCTCCCCGATCACCCTATCGTCAGCAAAAGGACGGCACACCCTCCCCATCCAGTGCTAACTCAAGCTCAAGCAATCTGGGCGTCATGGCGAGCGTGCTGGAGCGATATGGTACACCCGATTCATCAGAAGCGCAGATGGGAGCCACTATTGTCGAGCCAAGCTTGCCGGCTACGTATGGCTATGAAAATAGATCTAGGGCGCCAAGCCCAGCCCCGCAGCAATACCGTCATGGGAGCAACAACAACAAAGAATGTCATAGCAACATCCCTAGATCACCGCACAGCGTGTCCTCGAACAACAACGATCACCATCACCTCGCAACAATTGACAATAACAGTAACACTGGCAGTAACATTAATCTCCCGGAGAGCTTCAGCGATACGACATTGGATCTTTCATTGCCGCCCGTCGTGGATACGATGGTTGATAAGGATGCTCAGATGTTTGCAAAGTACCAGGGTGCTGTGCACGGAAAGGATACATCTGATTACTGTCAGCAACAACAACAACGGCAACCGCAACGGCAGCATGATTATTATCAGCACTCTCAGCAGCAGCAGCAGAAGAAGCAACATCACAACGAAACCTCGTTGTCACCCCCACCGAGCCGAAAACCCGCAGTTGAATCTCATCATCCACTCTCGCCTGTAGAATATACCAATAACCAGCAACAAAATTACCAGTATAATCATCATCAGCAACAGCAACAGCAGCAACGCCATCACCATCACTACCAACAAGCCAGTCATCCTCCTCCACAGATCCAGGTCGACTATCACCAGCGTAGTAGCGACAATGACGGATACTTGAAGCGGTCGGATGAGGATCACGTGCAGCATCAACAACAGCATACGCACCGGCAGCAATCAGAAGGGGTGCGTCTTACAGGACCTGAACAAGAGCCCACCACATCACAATCCGTTGGTACACCCGCGGCACCATCGTACGTCCCACCACAACAGGAGTACCAGCAACAATTTCCGTCCTCTCCACAAGGAGGGTTTTCAAGCGGACCCATGGCAGGCATCAGTACTAAAGTTGTTGGTTCGGATACCACGCGAAATGAGAAGGGCAAGGAGGTCGTCACATTCACCATCTCGGTTCGCAAAGCAAAAGACATTGCGGATCCTAATTCACCACTTGAAGAGCTTTGGCAGATTCAGAAGCTCTATTCTGATTTCTTGGCACTTGATGCTCAGGTAAGAGATATAAAACGTCTTTATTTTTAGGAGAGGATAACTGAAACCCAAGTGTGCATGTGTTGTAGCTCAAATCGCAAGGAAAATCTGTGGCGAGTAAAATTGCAAAGTTACCCGACAGGGCACTATTTGTAACGCATTCTCAGAGCAAGGTCGATCAGCGAAAGGTAAGATTGTGTAACACCACCCGGTCCTTCTTCTCCTAATCAACAAGCTAATACTTTCCATGTTTTCTTCGTATAACTGTAGTTGGCCATTGATAGTTATCTTCAGCATGCAATCAGACTGCCTTTGGCCGACATCACTGATATCTGCGAATTCTTGAGCTCCAATGTGATGGAAAAGCAAGCACAGCAACCAAAAGTCTCCAAATACCGACAAGGTTACCTGGCCAAGCGTGGCAAGAATTTTGGTGGTTGGAAGAGAAGATACTTTCTGCTTGACGGCCCTGAACTCAAATACTTTGAGAGTGTAAGTGAGCTTAATATTACCTACATGAATAGCATTCTAAACCGCGTATATGTTTCATAGGAGGAGGGGCAATTCCTTGGCAAAATCAGTTTGACCGAGGCACAGATTGGCAAGCAAAAAGCTGCAGAGAACAGCAAGGAAGCACCCACCTTTAAGCATGGCTTTCTGATTCTTGAGCCCAAAAAATCGGCTCCTGGAGGTGTAGCACGCCATGTTTTATGCGCAGAATCGGATGAAGACCGTGATGCTTGGGTCGACGCCATGGGTCAACATATTGACCAAGATGCTGTTGCCAACCGCCAAGAGCAAAGCAGCAAAAAGAAGAAATCAGGCAAGTCTGGCTCGGACGGCCGCAGATCCAGTCTTGATCACACAACGACTTCAGCAGAGTCAGTCCCTGCTGCACAGCTGCGACGCAACTCGGTTAGCCATTTGGAGAGACTTTTGGCTGGCACTGAAGCACTTCAAAACCAACAGCAGCAGCATGACGATGACTCGGGCAAGAAGGATAAAGGACGCAAAGCATTTTGGGCTAAAAAAATGTTTGCTGGCTCTGGCAATGGGCAGCACGCAAACGGTGGTCAGCATGGCAAAGGCAAGGTTCCTAATGGCGACTGGCGTAATAAGGATGCCGATCCTCCAGGACCCAAACAAGTGTTTGGCATTCCACTTGAAGATGCCATTAAGGTTGCAAAGGTTTCTGATCAATACGAGCTCCCAGCCATTGTCTACCGCTGTATCGACTACCTGGAAGCCAAGAATGCTATCCAGGAAGAAGGCATCTACCGTCTCAGTGGAAGTGCGGTCAAAATTCGGAATCTCAAGAGTAAATTCAACGAAGGTATGTATGAACTCATCCCTCAAAATATTGAACTGGTGACAGGTTGATGTACCTTTTTACTCAACACGATTATTGTTTTACACTACTGTTTACAGAGGGCGATGTTGATCTATTGGCAGTTGGGGAACATCACGACATCCATGCTGTGTCAGGCCTGCTAAAACTTTGGCTACGTGAACTTCCAGGCAACGTCCTGACCACTGAGCTACTCAAGGAGTTCTTGAACGTCATGGATCTCGTTGATCGTCGCGAACGCATCAACGAGCTCGGCAGACTTGTTTCCATGCTCCCTCTCCAAAACTACACTCTCCTTCGCACATTGTCTGCCCACTTGATCCGAGTCGTGCAAAACGCAGGCACAAACAAGATGACAATACGTAATGTCGGCATTGTGTTTTCTGCAACCCTTGGTATCCCTACCGGTATCTTCAGTCTATTGCTGACCGAATTCGACTATATCTTTTGGACAAGCGATGGCAGTGGTTCAGGTCCTCCACCCATCAGCACCGACGATCCTGCATTCATGTTTCCTCCTCCTCCCACTTCGATACCTCCTCCTCCTCCAGTACAGAACATGAACCATCATCAACCTCATCCACATCATCATCAACAACAACAACAGCAGCAGCATAATGCATCATCCGGTCGAGTGCAGGCACTCCAAGAAGAACCTGGTCGGAGCAATCGCAACAGTGTTAGCTACATGTACGGTGCTCCACGTTCAATCGTCGGACTCGAAAAGAAGAGCGGCAGCCGCGGAACTATCATTGTAGCAGAAGATGATGAAGTCGATGACTTGGCTATTGACTTTAGTGATGAGGAAAATATCACTGCATACAGAACCGCTGAACGACAACCCTATGTCCAACCCCACCAATTCCATAATAATCAATCTTCCTCTAATTCCTCACATCCTACTGTAGACCACCACCATTATTACGCTTCCCACTACTATTGATCTGTTTTTGTTTGAATATATATATTTAATATCTCCGTTCTGACTTTGCCATCAATTTCTCTTCCTTAAATATCGCCTACATTATTTTCTCCTTGTTTTTGATAATATTATGAGGGAACGGACACGTGAGGAAGGAGAAGAGGGAGAAAAAGAAGACGAGGGCTATGATTACAACAGCAGTGACGACGATGACGACGACGACGACGATAGCTATGACTATCCTTTGAATGGACAAAACCAACATCAACAATATTTTGATCCCACCAAACTCACTGCATCGATTCCGTTGTTACCCTTTGACAATCAAGTCGGTGGTCATGCCTCGTTTTTCCGATTTTCGAAACGAGCGATTTGCAAAGCTGTTTCTAAAAAAGAGCAGGAATTCTATGAGCACTTGGAAAGCCATTATCCACAGCTTCTTCCATTCACGCCGCAATACTTGGGTGTACTCAACGTAACATACAGTAATCCGATCGACGCTCTTCCTCATGTGGTTCTTGAAAAGAATAAGCACCTGTTACGCGACTGGCGCGCTTGTCACGAGGAACGTCGATTACGGAGGCGTCACTCATCAGCCTCATCGCGTCCATCGGCCTCCTCTCGTCGATTGCAAGAACAAGTATTGCGTGAAGTGTTTTCGCCGCAAGCACTAAAAGAACGATTGCGGCAAGTACACAACTGGCAACAGCAGCAACAGCAGCAGCAAGTAGAATGTTCGATATCACTACCGTTATCACATAGTCTCTCAGATTTGGACAATGTATCGCCACTTTCGCCAACAACAGCAGCGACGCCAACAGCGACAGCAGCAACACCACCCACTATCACAATTGATCGGGTAACAGTCAAGCCTAGACGACCTTCAATCATCCAATGCACTACATCAGCACCACTTACACCAAAGATGTCCGATAAAAAACCCAGACGGAACAGCAGGCAGTTGTCGCATAGCAGTAGTCTTCCCCCTCGCAACAGTAACGACGGTAACAAAACTGATGACGATGATGATGTGATTTTCCAAATGGACGATGTAGGCCAGTCGTTGCCGATGGATACAAGGAGCGATACCGAACTCATAATCGATCATCTTGAAAAGGATAATCAAGAGGAGTCAGTACCGCCGTCTCCAGAGCCTCGGCCCCTTGCAGCATCCAACGGCTGGGAAAAGCGCGAGACACCGACGAATCCCTGGTCGCTGCAGGTGTACAATCGGGACATGCAAAAGATGCGACACCATCTAAGCGAGCCGACGGTGAAGCAGTATATCCTGATAGAAGACCTGACCGATGGTGTCAAATATCCGTGCGTGCTTGATTTGAAAATGGGCACACGGCAGTACGGTGTTCACGCAACCCCGGAAAAAATGAAAAGCCAGACGCTCAAGTGCGCTCGGTCAACAAGCCAGGCACTGGGTGTTCGCGTATGCGGAATGCAGGCAGGTCTCCCTTTTCTTTTTTGTTTCGATCTTAGCATTGGTGAAAGAGGTGTTGATGGGTTTTTGAGAGGTAAAAATCATTGACAGAAAAAGAGCATATATTTCCACACAAACGGTAACAGGTGTACAAGACCAACTTCGCCGAGTTCCTGTTTCAGGACAAATATTATGGCCGCAAACTGGATCCTTTAAAGTTCAGGACCACGCTGGGCGAATATCTTGATAACGGGCATGGCTGCCAGATACATCATATACCCATCATATTACGAAAACTAAGGCGACTGGCAGGCATCATCCGTTCGCTAGAGGACTATAGATTTTATGCATCATCTTTGCTCATGATATACGATGGCGATCCATCCAGTTCCAAGAGAATTGATGTTCGTATCATCGATTTTGCTCGATGCGTTACGCAGGAAGATGTTCGCCAGCACCGCGATGAATTTCCTTTTCCGCCTCGACACAGAGGACCCGATTATGGATATCTCCTTGGCCTTAAAAGCCTAGCAGCCTGTTTCGAGTGGATATACCAGAAGCATGGAGGAGATATTGGTGATTTAGATACCAAGGACGATCATGTGTTTGATGATATAGGAACTGACGAAAGTCGCAACGTCCATACATCAGCATTCGGTCGAGACCTGTAAAGCCCAGAGCTGTGCTCTACGCCACATCCCCACCCGCCCATCTTTACTTTTCCTTTCCACTATCTTTTAATTCCCCCCTTCATATTAAGGAACACCCTTTCTCTTGTACAAAGTTACACTAATCTTCCAATCTTTGTAATCATCCCGCTATATTTGCCAAGTAGAGGAAAGCAATTCTTTGTTGAATCATGAAATACATGTTGCATAGAAGTAATCGAGAGGGTGTGCGTGTGTGTCTGTTTTAATATGTTATTTACATTTCGTTAGAGTAGCCAATGACCTTGGTGAGCTGTTCGAATTTGATATTCTCACGGACCACCACGGTCTTTGCTTCGTTATCCTCGTTGATGGGAATCGATACGGTGTTACCATTCAATTGCCACTGGTGCTTTTCGCAAAACTGCTTGAACGCATCACCCGTCAAAGCAAAGTATGACTCAAGAACTGAGGTAGCGATCGTCTGATAAGACATGCTGACAACGAGAGCAATCACTTGACGAATGGTATCTTCGAATCCAACAATATCCTTGATCAATGCTTTATCGTTCTCCAACGTCTTCCAAAACTCGGCGTATCGCGACTGTTCGAGCAACTGTTGCAAGTGTGTCAATCGTTTCACCTCATCGACTTCCTAGTAATCACACGCACACACAGTCCAGACAGAACTTCAATTGTAAGCTACTCTCTTTTTCACATAAATCCTTGCTTTCGTTGTTGACGTTTTTGCGTTTTTGTAATATGAAACTTTACCACGTAGTCCGTCAAAAGGTACATGCATAAATTGTAGTCGGGTTTGGGAATAGCGGTCAAGGATTGGGCAAGAATGTTCACAATGACATGGACCTTGCTAAGCTGTGGGTTTAGTTGATATCTTTTGAAGTTTCGTTAGTACAAAAATATCAACTAATTTTCAGGGGGGAAGGACTAGATGCACGCGAGGTTCATGTACTCACAATTTAAGCAAGGCAAGATTGGCCGTTAAATCGTATTCACCGTTCTTGCATTGTTCAGCCAAATACTCCTCCAAAACTACAGCATTGTCTGGATTGTAGCGCTCGACGCCATCAATCATGGTCTGAATAGTTTGCGGTCGCTCGACGGAGGCTGCCATTCTTTGATCACTTGGAGGAAACGTGAAGAAAGAAGGTTATAAATGGGTGGCTTTGAAGGGAATTCAAAATGGAGCGGGCCTTTGACAGGTTGGGAATTTTAACATTTTAGCTTCCTTTAGTTGAAAAGATATCGACATCGGCTCTTTTCTGTGAGGAACACCGTTTAGATCTGCAGTATGGACTTACGGATTTCTGGGCAAAAGAGGTTGTACTTACAGGAATTATTTAGCTATATAATCTGCTAGTAAAGATTGATAAGTTAGTCTTACTCCCATAGTTATAAAAGCAGGCGTCCAAAGGCAAATTATCTAAGCGTTGCCTTTTGCTGGTTCATCTTTAAGGTTCTTATGTGCCGCAAAAGTATAAGTTTTTCTTCATTAAGTATAATAAAGTCTTAAACCACGCTGCGTTTCGGCAATCCGGCAACCTATCGCTTGCTGCGCTCGCTTGTTTAGTGCTAAAATGCCACTTGGGATACTTACTAAACCCTAACAACGGAATTGACCTAAGCCCGAGACATTACTAATGATTTATCATGTATCAGCATAAGAAGGATTTAGTAGTGGAAAAGAAAATGCTGTTGATGGGATAAATAGGCATGGCAAAGAGAAAGTACAAGAGACATAGGTTATCATATAACGTAGGATGCGAAACGGAAACTGAGGGAGACAAAAGGAAGACTAATTATACGTAAGTGGGGAATATCTTTGGGGATTGGCTTTTTAATGGATCCTGCAGCTGCAGAATACGACGTTGTAGTTGTCTTCGATATATCAGCCTTTTCAAGTCGACTACAAGAAGAACTTTAAACCAATTCGCCTAGCATAAAATGGTCGCTTTCCTGGCATAGTTTTGATCGAAAGGAGTTTCTCTAGAATTTTCGCCTCAACTCCGTGTATTCAGTCGCTTTTTCCCGCTTGAGCTTGCGCGGCGTTTGTTTTCGTCTTCTTATATCAAGGTGTATGTCGCCCGTTACGGCACACTCCATCAGTGGCATTGAGAATGGCTAACTTCGGATAGTTAGAGTGGTCTAACGGCTGACTTTGATTGAACGCTATAGGAGGAGAAAGTGAAGAGCGATTTGGACAAAAATACGTTGGATCGAAAATTTTTGTGAATGCATAAGTGATAGCGTCTCTTTAATTTACTTACCACGATTAGTTTATTAGATCGCTTTATCACACATAGCGTTTGTCAGCTTCTTTTCTTCTTTGCGAAAGAAATTAATCGTCGTTTCAGAAATTCTGGCTGCAATCTTTATTTGTTTATTCGAGTCTATGTCTATTAAAAGCATAACAAAGTAATTGTTGAGTATGTGGTTTATTACGTACTTTCTCGGTACAGATTCTAGATTTTTAAAGTGCGGAAATCAATGACGAGAACCTTGAAAAGTATTCGGCACGGTCTAATTGTTTGTGATATTTTATACCTTGGATTGATTCAAATCAATTCGTCGTTCTCTGTTTATGCATGAACACGAATCTTCCTTTTGGTACCATATGCCATATCGCTAAAGAAGTAGCAACTGCCACATATATACCGTGTGTCGATTATTATAGTCAGCAGGTGCCTTGCGACGTCTTCCTTTGGAAGTTTTTGGGATGCTTGCTGCTTTTTTTTTGGTGGTGCAATTGATATCGCCAACACACTTGGCTCCAGCAACCTTGCTTTTCGTTGCGATACATTGGTCACTGACAGGTTCTAGTTTCTCGACTATACATAATCACAGAATATGAAGGTGACCTTCCCAATTACGTTATGCCATTTCGTAGTTTGGTAAGTTTGTCAACATTGTTTAAAAGACCTACGATTGTTACATAACTGGCTATCGTTGTGTGTCGATCGCAAAATTGGTCATGGAACACGCCGCCATAGTGTAGTAGCTTGCATACTTTCGCTGTGCAATCTATGCCAAGTCTAGCGCTTTGACCCTTTGCAAAACAAGCACCTGGATCAATCGGTCATCATAGACATATATAAGTTAGTGTGGCTAATTCAAAGTCGTAGGGAGATCATAAAGCGATCCATGCAGCCAAGGCAGTACCATCGAGACTTTTTTGTCATTGCAGCTACCGCATTTTTGCTTCAATGCTATTGTCGTTAACCGTCGTCGCTGTCTTCTGTTGACTTGATATACCGTGTTGACTTTGATCCACGCATGGAAGAGGATTGACTCAGCTTATTGACTTGTTGTGTGTTTAATATTACGTCAGATTGTTTTATATGTGTATCGGCGAATAGGCCGACAATAAGCAAATTGTAAGATGTAGGTAGCTGATGACCGTTCATTTGCAGTACTATAGTAACCCAATTCAACTAATAGACAGACTGTGGGGTATCCACAAGAAGGGTCTTAATAGGATATATTTTATATTATCTTCACTCCTGTGTCGTAACTCTTCTACTACTGTAAGTTTTTTACAATCGGCTACAATAATAGTATATATGTGAGAATAAGGAAGAAAACTAATTACTGTTGCTGCTGCCTTCAGAGTTTATGCTAAATATATTTATTGCCTTATTGCTGTAGCTAGCTTTATTTATAAAAGCTACTGTAGCACTGTAGCTGGTATAAATATGGAACTTAAAACTTTATGGATATTAGCTGCTAGTTTTTTCTCACAACTCACAACTTTGTTAAAAACCAAAAATTAAGGAGATGAAGAACGACATTCACATAAAACCATCTAAGACTATAGTCTACCCATTATTAATTCGAACAGGTAAATAGTGAGTGAATTCACTTTATATTAATGACTTGCAGTATCCAAGCTTTTTCAACTTGGAGACATTCGTAATTATTATTCTTTAGAAGCAGCAAGTACTGCATAATATATTTTTCCAGTCCATCGGTGTGACACCTTTGTGGTCCGACACCGGCTAAATAATCGGGAAATCGGTTATGTTATTTTGCCGGCGCCGTTTTTTTAAGCAAAACCGATATATTAGTGTTTCAAATAACCTTTCTAAAAAAGGCGCGATGGTGTAGTTGGTTATCACATCTGCTTCACACGCAGGAGGTCCGCGGTTCGAGCCCGCGTCGCGTCACTTCAAAGTCTGGAAGACGTTGGAGTTGGACATTTTTTTAAATTCAATCTTCTTTTTTCTAATGCTTCGTTGTTGGTCTCTGTTAGGGTCACCAGCAGCAGCAATTTCTCTTTATAACCTAGCTGGTGGGATTTCATGTTATTTGGTATAGGTTTTTAAATTTGGAGAAAGCGAGAGACTAACAAAGGCGTTCTCCACCAGAAAAAAAGGAGCGAGAAAGGCTAATAAAACAATGGAACGTTTGCAGTAAACTTGTGGAAAAGTATATATTTAATGGGTAATCAAAAGAAGGCAAAAACCCTCCATGGATATATTGTACCAGGATCTGTCAAATTATTTGCAGCCTGTGTTTCTTTCCCGCTTTTCCTATTGCTTCAGCACGGCAGCTGGCCGATTACAATCAAACGATGTTAAAGAGTCAGGGACAGCGAACTCTTCTACAAACTACAACGCGATCTACGACTAATCGAGTACTGCCGAATCTGTCACATAAAGCGGCACTGAACGGTCGCTCGGTTCATGTAACTGCAGTTGCGTCAAACAAGGCGCGTCGTCTGGGTAACTCACGCAATGCTCAACAATCAATCGGTGGCATCTTTGAACCGTTTCTCGAATCAACAAGCAAGCAGTAAGCTTCGCAACTTGCGGTAGCCTAAATGCATTTGTAGATTGAAAACAAAAGGCTCATTGTGTGCATTGCTCAACGTGCCTAGATTGGATAATAACAAGATCTCAAATGAAACGTTTGAAAGTCTTCCTGCGAAGATTAAGGTGGAAGGTATGCTTTCTCTTTGTTATGCTTGAATAAAATCTGTTACCAACTGTCCTTTTTTTGCTCTAGACGTCCTTCCACAAGATAGCGAGTTGCAGATGCTTTTAGAGAACAAGCAAATAAGTCTATCAATAGAAAAACAAAAGGCTGCAGTGGATCATATACTTAAGCAGCTTCAAAATGATGAACCAGTTGATAGCGGCCAGTTATTAAGAAGTATGGACTGTAAAAATGAGAAAAACCCCATCAAGACTAGAGAAGAAAAATTCCAAGCTCATCTTTTATTTTCATTTAGTTGCAGACAACGAGACTTCCGAGTTAGCAGCGCTAGCCAACATTATCATCCGAACATCAACTTATGGCGCACCGATTGCACTGGAACTTTACCGAGCTGCAAAGGATAATGGTGATGATCGGGGAGCATTCAGTTTTGCGAGCATGGTTTATCGAGGCTACCGTGGTGTACCGAAAGATGAAGATACTGGTATCAAATTGTTTTCCGAACTGGCACGGAAGGGGCATCCACACGCACAAATGAATCTAGCATCCATTTTGATGCGTACACAGCCAGATCAAATCCCGGCCGCTATAAAGCTATATGAACTAGCTGCTAAAGGAGGTATTGACAATGCCCTAGTCGAACTTGGTAGAATGTATCGAATCGGTTATGGTGTGAATCAGGATCACAAGAAGGCCATGGATTATTTCCAACGGGGCGCACAGCAAGGTAATGCTCGATGTATGTTCATGCTTGGCGTATATTATTCATCGAGTCAAGTCATCAAGGAGGATCAGATAAAGGCATTTAAGCATTTTCAAAAAGCAGCCATGCGAGGTAATTACAATCTCATATCCTACAACTGTATTCCCCCAGCACCCCATTATTAAACGCTATTTTGATTAGGTATGCCGGAAGCACAGTATAATGTTGGGCTTCGCTTTTTAAAAGGACATGGTGTTGAAACAAACCTTTTCAATGCTGCTGAATTCTTTAAAATGGCAGCCTTACAAGGATTTCAGCTGGCTCAAGCAAATTTGGCAGCAATGTATATGGAGGGCCATGGTGTAAAGAGGGACTTGACACAAGCACAGCATTGGTTTCAAGAAGCTGCGAATAAAGGAGGGAGCATCGGTAAAGAAGCACAAAAAGCACTAGAGGGATTAGAAGGTAAACAAGCCGATGGTTCACGCTGTAGTATAATGTAATTGTATTTATTCCTTTGATTCAATATCGCTATCACAAAACGCAATCACAGAGTAGTTACTTGTCTGTAATTATCCTTTTATTATCAACTTCTGTTGCTGGTGTGTAAATGTGATTACATATAGAATTTTATAACTTCCTATTGCACATCGTCCCTGTCAGCGATACTGAAGGAGCAGCGTGACAATTTATTTATTTTTTTGGCACTCAAAAATAGCCCCAATATTTATACCTAACAAACCTTTTAAGATCCCCTTTGGAGGTGCTTTTATTACATGACTTAAGTGTTGATGATGGGATCTGCGAGATCCAGCTTTTACCTCTCTAGCACGCATCTTAATTCATGTAACACCTTATATAGTGCAGCGAAAATCTCATATATTGCCCCTGGATCAATAAATAATGTCCACGATACGATTTTACTGGTTATACTAAGCATGTATGGCACTTGATAAGCAAAGATGCTATGGACACATTTCATGATAAGTATTTCCAGGAAGGCAACATCTATCGCAATGTTTTGTATACAAGAGTACGCGTGGTTTTATTGCTATCACCCATACGCAGAGACGTATAATTGCACAGCTGTACTTTTAGCCTGGACGATTATTCAATGCTTTCACGTATTGCGCTACATCTGACCTGGTGACAAAAAATTCACAGTTGAACGCGGTATGACAACGATTTTACGTCTATGCCCTGGCAGAACTTATTGAAGCGGACTATTCCTTGTTTTCTACATGTTAAATGCCAAGACCCCTGAGTTTTTTTTTGTTTTCCCATCTTTTTCTTTCCTTTGCTTGTATCCAACCACCATGAGCGTATCAATCGTTACCTGTATAATGGCCCGTCTAATAAAAGTGAGCGCAAAAAGCGATATACAATTCTGAAAATATTTCGGCGGGAAGAGCTGTATGCTCGCTAGGGTTAAATATCACATTTTTAGACTGCCATAATTACAGGAGGGCGTGCGGCATCGTCGCTCTCTGCGAAAAGCAAACAATTTTTCGCTCCAGAACGATGTGATACTCATAATCCGGCTTGTCCCAACGAGGAGCAAGTGTACATATAACGCAACAGCTGTATGGCCAGTAGATCGCGGGAATACTCTGTTTTGTTCTGTACCAGAAGGAAAGAGCCCGCAATACTACTCAAATTGTCAGCAAGTTGCACTGCCAATTCGACTCTCAAGAAGGGTAAGCTGGGAACATTATCAAAAATTGAATTGAACTCCCACAAACATCAGTTGTACCGCTCGACTGTATATTTACTGCTGCTAGTGGTAGACAGTGAAACTTCAGACTGCTCACACTACGCAAACAAACGGCCGATGTTATCCTGTTGTTATTAGAGTTCCACCGTGGCTATATGTATCATGAATTCTCAAATGGTCCTCTTAGTTTAACATTGAAATTTTTGAGTGGTAAGTCCTATGTATATCTTGTCATCCAATGGTGCCGAATCTTATTCATTTTTTTTTAATAAAACCGCATAGCATGGCCGTTTAGACATACGCGAAGTACCGGCCAAAGTTTTCTTAGCCACTAGGAATTACCGGAACCTTACCCGGTTTTGGACGGCGACGATGGTCTGAGCACGGAGAAAGGTTTAAACAGGTTTTTTTTTTGCGTCCTAACGTGTTTGTATGCTGTCATTGGTATTAACAACGCTGATATATAATTTCATGTCCTATATTGATGATAGTGACCGTCTAAATCCATGTCAACACAGTTACAAGGGTGAGAAACTTATGGATTCCTATATCCAGATGCCAAAACTAGCCATCATGAACCATACGGCAACCCAGCTCCGTCCTAACTAATCTTGATGATGTTATCACCCCCCAAGTTTTCCAATTTGGAAATCCCGATAAAATTTACCCGCATTCCGAAACAAAAGAGTGATCGACGAGCGCCACGTAGGCCCACCCGCTAGAAGCTTACTTTTCGACACCGCTGTGCTGCCCTGGTTTCCGCAGCATAAAAAATAAGGTTAGATTCCATGCTACGTACAAAAATTAGAGCTATACTTTTACCCATCTGAATGTAGTGCGAACAGGGTCAGTGAAACGTTACTGTTTTAGTAAATGTGTACTCAAGCTAAGCGACAGGCTAGGTAAGGTAGATGAGGATGTACAACCTAACGCCACCCTTATATGTTATCAATACACAAGACTCACGTACACACACACGGGCGCGCACGCACGAGAGCGCGCACTCGCAGCCGTACGCTGCTCTAGCGTACCGTTACGTACCACATGATGTACTTGGGAAATAATATTTACATGACGAAAGGCAGGGGTTATCAGGCTAATAGGAAGGTAAATATTGTTACGGATAAAAGTGAGGATCGTCGGCCAAGTGCTGAAGGTGAGTCGACCATGGGTGCCACCAATGACAAAGCTGTGGACATTATATCGGCGAACTTATCGAGCGGAATGAGGTACGGTTCAAAGGTCAGACGATTGAGTAAACTAGTGACGCTAATCTGATTAGTTTGATCTAGAAATTGAGAAGAAAAAGGATTGAGAAGGCTGGATTTTGGCGTGCAGACGAATGCATAAACAATGAAATAAAGGAAAATAAGGAAACTGTTAACGGTGTGTCGCTTGTGTTTGTATCTTCGGGTGAGTGCATTGATGTTGTGTTTGAGTTTTTGTTTGCTTATCCTCAATGTCAGCCAGCAAAATCCAAAAAGCCATGCATGGATACATGCTAAGAAAAGTTTTGCCCGATCCACGGCGGTTATTTCTCCTGTTTTTGTCAACCAGGTTAAATACTTACCGCAAGCAGATTTACCCATCTTTTCTTTTCTTCTTCTTTATCTCTCTCAATAACCGCTTCAGATCGCTCCCCCTTTTTTCTCCTCCTACAACTATAAACAAACGATGGCCCTTGCCGTAGATAAGCAAACCGAAGAAGTCCGGTTGATGCGTGAACTTCATGGTGATCTTGTTCTTGAAGAAAGCGGATTTTTCAAGAAGGTGGCCCAGAAGAACTCCAAACTTAACAAGAAAGTCGCCGAAAACTACTATAGCAATTGGTCGCAGAAGAAGGAGGCCGAATTGGCGGATAACCAGACCTTTGTTGATGGTCGACGGGAGCAGGCCCAAAACATGACAAATGCCTTTTATGATCTTGTCACAGATTTCTATGAATATGGTAAACGACTGTCATTCTCTTATATTATAAGCACTGCTGTGCGTTTGATATTGACTTTCCAAGACTGACAACAAGACCGACGGTTGTATAGGTTGGGGCCAATCGTTCCATTTTGCAAAGTTATATAAAGGTAAGGGAAAGGGAAACTAAAAAAAGATACATACAGGTAGCAGCCTGGTAGTATGCAGGATATATTATAAGGTTTGTGTTCTGTGATGCAGGAATCTAACGGAAAAGCATGACCCATCTATGATATTATGGTAACCTAGGAGACTCATTTGAGGAGAACATAAAGCGACACGAAGCATTTCTTGCTTTGAAGCTTGGTTTGAAGAAGGGCGAACGGGTTTTGGTACGTCTGTACATATAGGAGAAGGTTGGGGTGAGAACATAAAAGACAATGGTAGATGAATATTGAACTCGTGTGATTATATGCTTTGGCTTTGTTCAGGACGTTGGTTGCGGCGTAGGTAAGTTGTTACACGGTTAATCCAAATCAAGCGAGCAATAGTTCTAGTCTCTCACGCATTGCAACATCGTCTAGGTGGTCCTTTGCGTGAGATTGTGAAGTCATCCGGCTATGCACATGTTACAGGGATCAACAACAACGCATATCAAATCGAACGCTGCTTTGCGTATGCCGCCAAGTACGGCTTGAGCGACTACACGGATTTTATCAAGGGCGACTTTACAGAGATGCCCCTGGGAAACGAAACATTTGATGCCGTGTTTTCGGTTGAGGCAACGGTCCATGCTCCACGCCTCGAAATGGTTTATAGTGAAATCTACCGAGTGCTGAAGCCAGGAGGACGATTTGCATGCTACGAATGGTGCACGACGGGCAAGTACGATCCAAACGACGTTTCACATCGTCGTGTGATTCACGGTATCGAGGAGGGTAACTCTATTTCTAAGCTATACTCTACGGAGGAGTGTTTAGCGGCTGCAAAATCAGTGGGCTTCAAGGTTATCGAGGAAGGCGATGTTGCGCCGGTCGATGTTGCCACTGTACCGTGGTACTACACACTCAAGAAACCCGAGGGCCTTCGTGGGATGCTTCGATCTCCCTGGGGTCGATTCTACACAAACAGCCTGTTAACATTTTTGAACAAGTTCAGCGTGGTGCCGCCGGGTGTCTTGGAAACGTCACAACTCTTAAACAGTGCGGCAGAAATGCTCGTTGCTGGCGGCGAGATGGGTATTTTCACGCCAATGTACCTCTTTGTCGTCGAAAAGCCTTTGAACTAATAGCTTACCACCTTATCATCTATGTATACTCTATATATAATTTTTGGTTTAATATATAAAGCTCTTTTGTCATCTTGTAATATCACTGTGCTAAACAGACCGCCACAATTTGGAGCGTATGGGGAGAGGTTATCCCTCATGGTATATCTCTTTTTCGCGGCTTATCCATATCATTCGTGTCTATACACCACACGGGACCTTTTACGCCATGTCGGCTACACCGGCCGCGTTTTTTGTTTTTTTGCATCCGGATGGATATGCAGCCAGGAGAACAGTGATTAATCAGTTTCTCAGCACGCTAAAAAACAGGTTGCGCTGTTCGCAAACTACTTGTGTACTCTTCGGCACTCTCTCCTTCTTGGACTAGACCCGGCACCATCTTCTTCTTTTTAAAAAGACGTTGGCTTTTTCTTTGTCACACCTGATTATCAAACTTACAATTTAAAACATTTTTCCCGCGGAAACACGAGCTTTCCCGATATTTACTGATGGGGCGAAGGGGTTACGTACATAATTTGCTAACTCGATGGGTAAACGTATGTAAATAGGCGTTATTTTTGACATTTCTCAGGCACACACAAATAAATGAGAAGCCATCAGGTCGTATGTGCACCATTTTCGACTCAATTTATCAATGCGTGCGTTCCATGAGAGTCATGCATATTTTTGTGCTTACAAAAGTAACCGTGTAAGTCACCAGAGAAATCGATTTGCTTGTATGTTTTTCGTGAAAGACGCTGGTTGAATCGAGGAAAGTAGGGAAGTACATTCATTTTGCATCTTTGAATTCGAGCAGTTGATGGTTGAAAATTCTTTATACTGAGTTACTCCACGTTTAAAGATTTCGTAATCCAACAATCAGCGACGCAGCAAAAGAGCACTGATTATATGCGAGCTACTTATTGAAATGGCTGGTGCGCCTCTTATGGTAATCGATTACAAAATCAGGCGTCGAGGTTTGTGCACCGTCCACTACTCTCACGCTCAAGGTTGCATGAACGAGACAACATATGCGGATTGCTGAGTTGGACTGACATCATTCAAATATCGAATCCGTCGCCCTGGCCTGCTAGTAACACCGTCATTAGCGTAGAATGCCGATATGCTTTTTAGGCACAATTTACATTGTAATGCTTTGTTTTAGCCGATACTTATGAAACCATAGGCGTATCTAATAGCGGTAAAGATACTTTTCCACCTTTCTCCGAGGCTGTCTATACATGCAGCTTCAAGAAAAAATTGCTCAATTTTTATATAGTTATTATCAAAGAGTTTAACAATATCTCTGAGAAAGCTGAGAGTATACTTAAGCTACGAGAGATGTGTTGTCAGAAGTTTAGGTTAATTTGGGTCATGCAAAGATGCGTGTGTAGTACTCTCAATTACCTGAAGACTTAGAATGTAGTATGGGCCTCTATAAATATCTCCTTAACAATAAATGATTGACTTTTGAATCTGCTCTTTTTACTGCTATAGTCACCTTAGTATTGGTGCTGAGAAAGAGCATTCTATTACTGCTACAATTACTGACTATGCCTTCGTATAAGGTTTATTTTGAAAAGATTGCCATTCTTAAACGTATAATACACATGTGCAAGAAGTATGAAACTAATTGATTTTGCGACAGACGGTGGTTGGTTCACTACACACCGCTTGGTTTTTCAAGGAGTCAATTTATCAGCCGCTGTGGGGTAGTACACATTCCTTTTTTTTCTATAATTTTCTCTGCTCGATTAAGTTCAATGTCGTCAAACTGGAAGAACGTCAACAATTGGTACTTAAAATAACAAAATCTCTCTTTCAAATGAAAAGAAACCTTGTTTCTAACCTTTTGATATGTTAGGCACTGGTAAGTAATATTACTTCACCATTCGAGAAAAGAAGTTAGATTTGGCAATCCAACTTATTCGTTGTTTTTGCTGCGATGAAAAAAAAACAACAACAAAAGGGTCAACAAGAACTGCTTGAACTGGGCACAAAAATATTTTGCCGAACAGCTTGAAGGTCTCAAAACTGAGAAGGATGGTCACACGGTGTCGATTATCAAGTTGGACGATTGCTCCGGTGATGTTGATTTGAACATGAGAAAGGGCAAGATTATCACCATCTATGATGTGTCCCTGAAATTGAGTTTTCAAGGTAACGCAAAGTGTTTTTTTCTCTATCTTGTTGGAAATTGAATGTTTTTGTTACTAAGGAATTGCTTATGCTGATATTCTCATATAACAGGTGAGTTGGTTGATGGCACCGAAGTATCCGGCAGTATCACGATTCCCGAAGTTGCGCATGATTCTGAGGCGGATGATTATGTGGTAAGCTGACAATCGAGTCATTTGTATGCAAAGTCCCGTCAAAAGTGAGAGCGCAACATTGATAGGTATTACAATTTTATGACAGTTTGACATCACTATCAATGAGGATTCGTCCGCTAAGCAGCCCATTAAGCCTGTTATCCGAAAACAATTGCAACCACTGATATGCGAAAAGCTCGGAAATTTTGCTGATGACATGATTGCCAGTAAGGATCTTGTTTACAAGCGCATAGCGATTTCTCATCGCATTGTATAGGATGCGATCTCCTTTTTTTAATGCTAAACCTTTTTATTATTATCATTAGCTCACCGCAACGACGTCTACATTGATCCTTCCAAGCTGAACAACCCCGCAGCAACTGCTTAATTACTATCAGTTCCAAATCCCAATTCACAAACCACACCACCACGGTGTTTAGACATTATCTCATTCCAAGTTACTTAATCACATACAACATTAGTAGTAACAAAAATCTGCATCATCTTCTTTATTATTACACGCGCAAGTCGTTTTTTTTGTTTCAAATTCATCCTTGAAATACATGTGATCTATATCACTTTCGTATCTTGATCCGTCGTTTTTTCGTCGCGATAGCACCAATACCATTTACACCAATGCTTCTTTCCAGATAAGGTACCTTGTTCCAAGGTTGCCGAGCGATTCCATTGCCATTGCCGTTGTGTTGATCCAGTAGAGTGGAGACAGGTAATGCAATGTTTCCTTTTACGATTGCCGTTACTTTCTTCAGCGTGGCAAGTGGTAAAGGCGTAACAATATGGAATGCATGGTTGGCTGGATCAATTGCTCGTATCACAGCTAAACCATAGCATTGAGTGCTGCCGGGTGCAGGTGGAGGGTTTTCTGAAGGACGAAAATAAATAGGAGGGATCTTTTGATAGGAGTAATCGGTTTGTAAGTGTCTTTTGTACAACATACAGTTACAGAGGGAAGAAAGAAACTTACGATCTGGTCGTTTGTGGATTCAGGTGCATTGGACTGTTGCCGGGATCGTTGTTCGTCTAGGGATGATCCAACCAGAGCAACGAGCGTCCCGTTCAATGCGTACAACATTTGGCTCTGAGGAACATCTTCGGTCAAGAACCAGACACCGTCCAGTAGACCCTTTCGCCAATCAAGAACCCACGGGAGTTTATCGACAATTCTTGCCTGAAAATTCCACCACGGTTGCCCAATATGTCCAACGTTATGTAAGTCTTGATGTAAATACGAGATCAAGGCGAGCTCTCGAGAACTCTGCGCAGAAAACTTGGGCGCCAGTGGATTAACCGCGCATTCTAAATAATGCATGGATGGCGACGGCCCTTGCTCAGGAGGAGGTGAAATAGCAACCGTGAAGGTCGGAGGCAAGTTCCTTGAAGCATCCATTTGCGAACTATGCATGACAAATACGTCTGTTGGTGCGGCCTGTTTAATAATGCTTATTAACAGATCGTATCCAAGGCCGCCAATCCATCCTTGTGTGTTGATGATAAGTGGAACGAGATCGGCATTATCGACATCGATCTGGTTGTCGTATTCTGTTTTGTATAGGTGTAAAAGGTGGCCGATTGAATCCAAATAATGACTTGGATTAATGGCCGGCGACAAGGCACCGATATAGTGGCTGTGAACGGGCGGAATATGCTGGTGTGTATAAGGTGGTCCCAAGACAGGTGATTCGATTATATGTAGTGACACCATCCCTGATGGCGTGAACTCGCTTTGTCCGACATCCGTTTCCAAATACGCGACCTTTTTGTGCCTGAGAAAACAGACATCTCGTGAGAAATGAGAAATAAAGAATTGCTCTCTAGATAGATCAGTAATCCCCTTCCTTACTTGTTCAGCAATGAGTTTGTTAGATATCGAGTGAATGTGGATTTGCCCATATCTTTGCTACCGCAAGTGATGCCTACGAACGGTGTTCGCCGTTCTGATTTTTCATATAAAAAAATGTGTGTAAGCGTATGTTTATGTTCATATGTAGACAGTAGCATGCGAGTGCACTGACTTGGCATTTTCTTACCTTGTTCACTTTCTAATGCTTTATGTAAACAAGTTTCCCAGACAGGTGGTATAACCATGGCTTTTACGTCGGGAACTATTGAAAAAAGCTAAAATTGCCATTAATTTCCAAATACATATGCCTAGTTACGTCCACACATCGCACACATGCTCAGACAGAGATGGCCGAACTTACGGGTTGAAAGCCGGGTATACTATCCAAAGCCGTCATTGTCGGATGTTCGCTATTCATCCGTAGCTCAAAGATACCCCGTGGTACTTCGGCCAAATCTTCGATATCGTCCAAACCGCACCATAGCATGTCCATGACGAGAAATACACTTTCGAATGTCTGAGCATCCATGTCTTCCAGCGCAGTTTTAACTGCGTCGTCCATTGGCACGCAGAGCGTTGACTTTCGTTGGACAACATTGCTTCCGTCCACGGGTCGAATGTCGAGCAATGAGTGCGTTTTGGGCGAAAATGCAGGATAAAAGCCAATGTGATCTGTCGAGGAAGGTTGTAAAGTAAAGCCCAAGATAGATACAGCACCTGATAATGGTGCCAGCAACGCTTTGCCGGCAAATACAATTTTCTAATCCCAATTTTAGTACGCATTAAAGCTACTGGTTCGCCCACTTTTTTCTGTGCTTCATAATGATCCATCAATACCTCATTCTTTTGAAGGCCGACCATTAAGCATGTTTCGTCGACGTTCTTTAAAGTGAATTTTCGCATGTTGGCTTCTGAAGGTGTAAAAGCGGACACAAGGTTGCTGTCTGTCAATGCACTTTATTATAGTGATTAGTTGGTCTCTTTTCTTATCTCTCAATTCATAACCATACAAATACACACATATATAGGCATACATGCGTATGAGTAAGGCACAACATCAAATCTGACTCACATTCTAGGATCTCTTCTGCGAAATGGTTTGTAAGCAAACGATGATTCATCATTGATAGGACTTGTACTGCTGGGTAGTTGTTGTTTGTGGCCTTTTGACGAGTTCAAGGAGGTTGAAGTAGATTCGCGATCAGGCGCAGCTTCCGGCGGTGTAATCGCGTTACGAATAACTTGTGTTGTAGTTGTGGTAACGGTGGCGGTAGTGTCTGTTTTTTCGACTATGTCTGTCGTTGGTGTTGCTGTAGAAGAGGAGGAGGTAGAAGACAATGAAGCTACTGCTGCTGCTTTACGTGCGGCGATCGCGCTCATCGGGCTCGGTGATCCTGCCGGCCTCTTTTTGATACTGTTTGTTTGCACGTCTGGAATCGTTTGTTCAACAATGTTTATTTTTTCTGAATGGACATTGACTGATCTTAACTGCTTAGCGAGAGTTGCTGCTAGTTTTTGTTGTTTGCACGCGCAAGTAAGGTTGTTAGAAATAGGACAATTGAGCTACGATCAAAGATTTCATTTCGTAGTTTTCTTGTGGTAAAACATTATACTATGTATACGTATGTACACGTATCAAAGAGTATTTAGCTTACTTATTGCCTGATTTTTTGCTTTTGAATCAGTTAAATCACTCTTGCCATTATTCGATCTTTTACGTTTGCCTGGCATAATCGACTTTTTTTTTATCTTTGTAAAAGTTGGTGTTACTGCAAAAATAGCCGCCGTTTTGTTGGCGTCTTACCGTGTCTCTCTCCGACTTCTCGTATGATGTGTAAACAGCCCTCTTCGACAACAAAGACTGCCGCGTGTAATGAACTGTGTAGTGGCACGTTGTCTCAATGGCAAAGCTTAACGCTGATTTGATATGCTGTAGTATATACCCAGAGCAGAAGAGTCTATGTAGAACCGAACCAGTGCTATATTATGAAAGATTAACAGGCAAGTGGTGTCACGCAAGCAATGGGAAAAATCCAATAACGGTAGTTTAATGCACTAATAATAGAAGAGGAAAAGTTTAACTTATAATAAGATTCGACGAAAAATGAGAAAACTGTATTAATAATACTGGATATATGTTGCTGCTGATTCAACATCCCTCTCTCGGAAAGTAATAATTAGGGAGAAAATAAGAAAAAGAACAAAATCGAAAATTCAAAAGGAAAAAGAAGAATTGGAAAGGACAAGTCGGGAGGGTTTAACCAAATGCTGGCACAGATCTACACAAACAAAACACGGACGGAGAAGAGGAGAGAGAAATATCAATGACTATGCCCTGGTGAATGAATCTTTAGAAAAGGAACAAGGAAAATAAAGCAAAAGGAAACAATCTTCTCGTTTCTTAACTTACTTGTTGGATTGGGCAGGGCTTCCAATGGTGGTAGGACTGACACCCAAAGCTGGGCTGTTGGGCAAAGTTTCTTGAGGACTGGTAGCAGCTGAAGATTGAGTGCCTGTACTGGAGCCAGAAGGATGTGTAGATTCCTTGATAGCCAAAAGCTGCTTGGCGCGGAAAGCTTCGTAGTGGATCTGGGCCGTGGTTTCAATCAGATCCTGCAGGTGTGTGCGCGTCAAAAAGTTGCGCAAGTAAATGAACTCGCAATGTTCCTCGTTTTCAACTATTTCAGAATGAGTAGAATGAGCGTATCAGACATTTGGATTTTTACAGCCCTTAACATCCAGCTATCTGTTTAATGAGTTGGCTGCTGAATGAAATATATATCTTTCTTACCATTGATTACACCGTATCGGTTCTTTCTTCCCCGAACTGGCTTGCCATCGATTGTAACATTACGCTCCGAGCCCACGATGGCAAAAGGAAGAAGTTCCTATTGATAGCGACAATGATAAGTCAGTCATGAACAATAGGTAATCTGTACACACAGTTAGTGGCAAATGGAAAACATACGCGAATGCTTTCATTCAATGCCTGTTCTTGCTCATCATCCTCATCGCTCTCATAAGGATACAGCTTGATGTTGTGGAATACAAGCTCGGCCTTGATCTAATACAATCCTTGTGGTAAGTAAAAAGGAAGCACAACGTATATCTCATAACAGATATTGTATCCTTTCATACCCTTTGCTTGAACGCGTGACGCTCCTCAATAGTGAGTGAATCAGATTTAGCAATCACAGGAACGACGTTGACAACCTCCGAAAGTTTCTTCAAAACGACGATATCGATCGGCTTGAGCCTAATATTTTTATATCAGGGTGTTCATAAGTGAATTGGGAGAAGGGTAGGAGTGCAGAGAACAAGTAGGCAAATACACTTACGCATGGCCTGTAGGAGTGATAAAGAACAAGCAGCAGTGAACTCTGCTATCTTGAATATAGCGATCTCGAGTAGCGGTGAGTTCTTTGCGCAAGTAAGCCGAGTGCTGGTCCTTGATGTATTTGATGATTGGCTCCCAGCTAATGGAGATGATGATGACGATTGGTAGAGCTTAGCATTGGGAATCAACTATTTCCAAAGTGTTGTAGCGGATATAGTAAGTCGTACATACCAGTTCTCGTTGTTCACTTGGTCTCCATACCCAGGGGTATCTACAATATTGAGTCTCAGACGCACCCCATTCTCCTCAATCACTGTGCAGCCAGCAAGCAGGAAGAAGCAAGCAGACAGTTAACGCAAAGCAACGGATAAGTTAAAAAATGCAGAACAGAGTAAGAATACACGGGATAAGGCAGAATGAACAGAGGCAATACTTGCAGTGAGAAACAGTCTGGATTTCAGTAGTTTGTCTTGGAGGTTCGTCCGACGCCAAACGTGCCTTGCTTTCAATCAAGTGCGAAGCAAATATGGTGTTGACCAAGGTGGACTTGCCCAAACCAGATTGACCTGAGTAACAGCAGTGATACGTGTATGTTGATCATCTTTCGTTAATAACGTAGGCTCTCGCAAATTCCTGGTATCTATGCTGTTTGATAGTATAGATCGATCAATGGAGCAAAGGAAGTCATACTGACCAACAACCATGACATTGAAATGGAAGCCTCTCTTCAAGAGCTTCTTTTCAATTTGCTGAGTGATGGTGTCGAAACCAACGTATCCTTCAAGTGATGTCTAAAGCAAGTTGAGAGGCTGTTATTTAGTCTGTATCCACCATCGGCCATTGTAGAACGAAGTATCAGGACCTACCGATGATGGTTCAACGATAAGCGATGTTGATGACATTGAAAGTGTGCAAAAATACGAAAATAGAGGGAAAAGAGAGAAAAGAGAGAGAGAGTGGAAAAAGAAAGAGCAAGTACGAAGGGAGAGCAGAGAGGAGGAGAGGGGGGGGAAGAAGAAACGGGTCAAGAGAAAAAGGGAAGCGCAACTAGGAAAGAAAAGGGACAAGCAAGGATCTAGGGCGCATGCGGGGTAAAAGACGAGTTGGAATGGGTGGAATTTGCCTCGACCAAAGAACTTTACGATGACAACGGTTGCTGTCGTTACCCGTCGCCTTGCTTGGTGACGACATTTAATTAGTACCCATTGCAGCTGACTCATTATAGTCTATATATCTCTTTTTCTACGACGTTATTCGCCGCAAAGATTGGCAAAGAAAAGAAAACGGACGTCCTTGTTCCTTCAACTCCCTGCATACGCCTTCTTCCCATGGTCGCCTTTTGGTCAAAGGGGGTAACAAAATAGAGTAAAAAAAGTGCGTACCTCCGATTCGCCTAGATTGTTGGCACCTGTTCCTCATGACTCAATTCCTAGAGACTACCTTGCCAAAAGAAAGGGCTTATATTGCTCTGGAAACCACATCGAGCTATCACCGCCATGTAATAAGAATGGTGGTACGCTGATGATGTTCGCGGTTGTTTATAATACGAAGAGCGTCCCATTATAACTATTCTATGAAAACCGATTTGTATTAACATATATTGCGAACAGCATAAAGTGAGCTAACAAACATAAGCTCTATATGAAATAGGGCTGTATCGGTATTGCTATACAACAGCAAGAGAAAATGAAGATAGAAATCTTGACTGTTTTCTGCTGTAAGACAAATCAAGATGGATGTGGCCAAGGTAAAAAAACGTTACATTGATTTAATACACGTAATTTGAGCCGATCATTGTAACACACACGCATGTAAAGCTGTCTTCAGCCAATTAGATCGAGATCCCGCAAATAGCATAGTAGCAAATGCATCTAAAAATCCCGAAACGCAATGCCGTATCGCACGGAAGCGCGAAACCCGACACATACCTTTCCGCTCTGTCTAACAACTTGTCCTCTATTACACGCACATGGATAGCCAGCTCATAAAAACCGGTATATAGCCTTCTCATCTCAACTTTTGCATGCCAGACCTGTCATGTATAAAAAGAGTGTCTGAGCTTCTTCTACGCGCTGTTGCTCAAATATATATACATATACAACCTTCCTGTTACTATTATATATTTAGTCAACAAGCTTCAAGATGCATTTGCAACCGTTGGCGTGCATAATCCTGTCGATCTGCCACAAATCACTGTCATCGGCTCACAGTCGAGTGGCAAAAGCTCCGTCTTGGAAAACATTGTCGGACGCGACTTTTTGCCAAGAGGTACCGGCATTGTCACTCGCCGTCCTCTGGTAATATAAAATACAAAAAAAAAGAAGTTCCGTTACTGTTTTGCCAAAGAGCTTTTACCTTTTACTGAGCTGCTTTTTATGATTATTGTTTTTAGATTCTGCAACTCATCAACAGACCTGCTAGTACGGATAAGTCAAACTCTTCTGACAAGGAGGGTGACGAGTGGGGTGAATTCCTCCATCTTCCTGGACAAAAGTTTTATGACTTTGACAAGATCCGCGACGAGATTGTAAGAGACACAGAGCTAAAGACGGGCAAGAACCAAGGTACCCGCTATTGTTAAGAGTCTCTTTCACACTTTATGTAGAAATAGTTAGCTGACGAGTATCGTTCATGTTAGGTATCTCGCCTCAGCCAATCAACCTCAGAGTATTTTCGCCCAACGTTTTGACCCTGACGATGGTAGATTTGCCTGGTTTGACAAAGGTAAGGCAAATGGGGGTTAAAGAATAAGCGCAAAGAGAACTACCTGTGTCCCTATCCGCTAACGATGGCGTCACTGTTTCTTTTTGTCTTTTTATATGTGAAAGGTTCCTATTGGTGACCAGCCTAAAGATATCGAGAAACAAATCCGTGAAATGATTCTGAAATATATCACCAAGCCCAACGCCATCATTCTAGCCGTTACAGCCGCTAATACCGATCTTGCCAATTCGGATGGTTTAAAACTGGCTCGTGAAGTCGATCCAGAAGGATTGCGGACAATCGGTGTCTTAACAAAAGTTGATTTGATGGATCAGGGAACCGACGTCATTGATATATTGGCAGGGCGTATGATTCCACTCAGATTAGGTAATTGCTTCATATCCACTTGATCACTCAGCAACAACACCAGCTGGAAAACCTATTGATGGTTTTCTTTTGTTTGCATAGGCTATGTCCCCGTAATCAATCGTGGCCAGCGAGACATTGAAGCCAAGAAATCAATCTCCAAAGCTCTGGAGGCCGAAAGAGACTTTTTCGAGAACCACCCTTCATACCGAAGCAAGGCTCAATACTGCGGTACTCCCTTTTTGGCACGCAAATTGAACATGGCAAGTATACCAATGAAGAATAAAAAAAAGCTCTCGGAAAGTGTGCCTAATGAACAAAAGAATGCTTTACACATATATTTATAGATTCTGATGCATCATATCAAAAACACTTTGCCAGAGATCAAGGCTAAAATCCAGAATGCACTTGCCAAATATCAGCAAGAGCTGGCGCAGCTTGGTGATCCTTTGAGTGACAATCAGGCCAGCATGGTTCTCAACATCATCACCGAGTTTTGCACCGAGTTCCGTACCATCATTGACGGTAATTCAAACGAGTTGTCCAGTTTCGAGCTTTCGGGCGGTGCACGCATTAGTTTTGTGTTTCATGAGCTATATGCCAACGGTGTAAAGTCAATCGATCCATTGGATGAAAGCAAGGACTCTGAAATTCGAACGATATTGTATAACTCTTCTGTAAGTTGCATCGAACAATGCTTTTGTATCGATTCTCGTTAGGGCAACAAGGATGAGTCTCTAGATTGTCATCATGCTCTCTGTTTTTGCCTTCTTGTTACCGGTAGGGCTCGTCACCAGCTTTATTCGTAGCAACAACCGCTTTTGAAGTTATTGTCAAAAAGCAGATTAAGCGTTTGGAGGACCCAAGCATGAAATGTATTACCATGGTGTATGAAGAACTGGTCCGAATTTTGGGTCAGCTGTTGAACAAGCAGGTAAAATTTCTGTTAAAACTACTCGATTTGAATAACTTTGTACAGCATGTAGAAAAGTACTAATTGGAAGGATACTGGTGTTGATATTTATATCAGTTCTTTAAGCGATTTCCAGCCTTAAAAGACAAGTTCTACCAGGTAGTGCTTGCCTTTTTCAAAAAGGCAACTGCGCCTACTAACAAGTTGGTCTCGGATTTGGTTGCGTAAGTTGTTTAATCTTTTTTATGATGAAGCTGTTTTTTTGGCACTTTGGCGACGATATTAACATCCATGTTTTACGGAATGATAACAGCATGGAAGCCTGCTATATCAATACGGCCCATCCAGATTTCTTAAACGGCCATCAAGCAATCGCTATCGTGAACGAGCAACTTCATCCTAAACCAACCCAACCTACTGGTCCAGAAAGCACGGGTAAAGGCGGTCGACATCAACACCAACAACAGCTCCAGCCAAATCACTTGTCTGCGTTACAAACCAAGAACTCAAGCTCGACCAGTTTGGATAGCTCGGGCGACCAAAGCGGATCCTTCTTTGGAAGCTTCTTTGCTGGACCAAAAAAGGCCAAGAAACCCAATGCACCGATGGAAACTGTAAGTGGGCTGGAATTGTTTATCGACTTTTTTTTTCCTACTTGTATCTGAATCTCATGACGTTATAGCCACCATCTTCGCTTAAAGCAACGGGTGCATTATCTGAGCGTGAATATATGGAGACAGAAGTTATTAGTAAGTGAATAGTACAATTTTCTTTCTCGCTATGTGTATGAAACATGAGGACGCGTCTTTCTCAAGGTCATGCTTTCTATAGAGCTCCTCATCCAATCCTACTACAACATTGTAAAGCGAACAATGATCGATATGGTTCCTAAGGCAATCATGTTGAACCTTGTGACACATGCCAAGGAAGAGCTCCAGCGGGAGTTGTTATCCGAACTGTACAAAGCTGAAGTGCTGGATGATCTTTTACAAGAATCCGAATATACTCAAGAACGCCGCAAGGAATGCAAGAAGATGATTGAGGTAAGAACAATAGCTTAAAGGACCATATTTAGAGTCTTTCTTATGGTGTTTCTCCCTGGTTACCAATACTATGAATTTGTTATAGGCATTGCAAAAGGCTGATGAAATTGTCGCATCTGTTTGATGATACCCTTTATTTTAAAAATTTGTCGTTCCTCCTCTTGTTGTGTTTGATAACGGATGATTCAATAAAAAGACATGGTATGTTTGTATGTATACAAGTGATAATAGACAATGAGTTAAAGTTCTAGCAGAGCTTGCCCCAGTGGAGCAAATAACCGTAAGTTGAATGCTGCACAATTTGTTTTATGGATTATTTATTCATGAGAACACGTATGTGTGCAATGCTTGATATTGTGGCAAAAAAGTTTATGTGCAAAGGTATCTTCTATTGTAATGTATTGTATTGCGTTTCAGGATTCGCTGTCGTTCTTTATACATTGGTATTCGTTATGATTTGTTCGTGGAGGAGTAGTTAAATTGTATAAGGTGACACCGCAAATGACAAGGATGTAAGCTAATGGGTAAAAAGGTGGCATCTATTTTGTTGTTGTTTCATCGTAGAATTAAAGTTTAATACAACGGACAGCGAGCTTTTCCACTTTTAAAGTACATTTACCTTGGCATCCAAAAAAAGTAGGCCTGCTAACAAGGAGTAGAAATTAGCAGTGATTAAGCTCATGCTGATGAATGTTGCGTTTGATATTCGATAGAGCGTGGGGCCAAGCGAATACATGGATGACAAGCATACTATATAGACCAAAATCAAACCGACTGATGTGATTCGGTCGACACATGTTAATAATATGTTCATCATCTGTTTTACTTTTTTTTCTTTCTTTCTTCTCTATGCACATACCAGCATTCCATTGCCAATCGATTGAAAGCCATTCAGCATGTTCAAATGTTAAGCTAAAATGCAAAAGCAAGGTGTGATTTTTGTGTTATTTTTTAAGACTTGTTTTATAAAAGAAAACGCATGTTGTTATTATACGTACGCTTGAATCCCACTCAAGATAGAGCCCCAGAAACCTGCTCGCGATAAGAATTCTTCTGTAGAGCAACGGTTCACTAGATATTCTTCAGTAACATTGCTAATAGCATATAAGGTCGCACTAATCAACTGTCAAACGAAATTGTGCGTTGAGTTAGGAGCACGTGGTTAGTGATAAGTGCATCTCACTTTTTACAGTGTAACATGAGATACTTTACGCAAATCAGATCACCGATCCAGCTATGGTTATCTAGAGATGGTGTATAAAGAGACATAGGAGAGAAACAGTGTTTGTGTAAGTATAAGAGTGTCCATTTCCTGTTGTTTAAACCATCTATGACTCCATACTTGTTGAAGCTTCATCAGACATGGTATCAGCCCAAATAAGCATAAAAAGTCCCAAGAGACACAAGACAACACCGCCGAAATGACCGATCTGGTACCGGTACCCGAGGCATAAAGTTGAAAGAAGCATAATGCATGGTAGAGTCCAAGACGAGACAATAAGTGCTGAAAGAACCGAAGTGCTTTTGAACGCAAGAACAGCCAGGATATTTGCTAATTTCATACATTATTGAATATATTTTGTTGCTGCTGCCAATATTTCATGACTTAAAATTACCTTGGACGTCTGCAAAAGAGAAGCCAAAGACTATACAAAAAAATGAAAGCTGCGGTCAATGGCACAGATATTTTCACATAAGCGATCAAGAGAACTCTATTTTACAATACACTTACAATACCAAGGATTGTTGCGTGATTGTTGTTCATGTTCTTGATCGTCGAGATCGTTGCCATGGCTGCTCCTCTTTTTGTTCTTGCGATGAAAGCGCAAAGTATGCACGACGAACAAAACCAAATATGTACAAAAATTCTGAGTGTAAGGTATGCTGATGGAATAGCGTGTCCATAATGCCGAGGATGCAACACTGGTACCAGTAATGCAAAGAGATAAGATCTGTCCGAGACAAAGTGGCAATAACCATTGCCCTCGATCACGTAATAACGACATGAGAACGAGCAATGTCATTTCGAGCCTCCAACTTTTTCCCCCTGCCTTAATAAAACTCGACCTTATGAGGGCTTTTTGGGGGGTGTCGGTCGGTCGGTCGGTCGGACGGACGGGTGACAGTCACCTGAGGCCTAACGCATGAATTTTAAGTTAACACACGGTGCAGTGGTTATAGTACGATGGTGATATTCTAAAACTACCGGGAACCCATTGGAAGGGAGACAATGACCGGAATAACGATGATGATGTCGACCAGTATTATAAGCGGCACGTGTCCTCTCTTTTTCTTATTTTCTTTTGCGACTGTAGTACAGCATTGTCAGAATGAAAACAAAGACACAAGCTTATTGGTTTACATCAAGTGTATATTGTAGCACATTTGAATTGTTTACAATTCTCCCTTATCCGCAACGGAATGATCCATACGGTATTAATCATGAGAGTCCCTGTAGTTCTAGGCCTCTTCATGAGCACTCCTTCCTCCCAATATAATTCACAGCAGAAAAGAATGAGAATTTTATTATGTCCATTTTACACCAACTATGCTACCCGCAGAATACCAGCGTTCATCAGCTTGCGAATGTTGCTAGCCACCTGTGGGTTCTTCAAGTGTTCCTGTGCAGCCTTGGGATCCTGCTGCATTTGCTGAAGAATTTGTTGCATGACGGGGTCACCAAGGATACGCTATTATACGACACAGTAAAGATGGTCAGCATACAGGCAAAAGGAACGTCTCTGTCTGCAAATTCTTTTTGTGGTTACCTGGACCTCAGGATCCTGAGCTGCTCGCTTCAACACTTCTTCTTGAGACTCCTCGCCACCTGCGCCCCCGCCAGTAGCCATGGGGTTCATGGCGGTATAGGCCTTTTGCAGTTGTTGCTGGATTTCGCGAGCACTCTTGCCCTCCTTATCATGTTCTTGGGCCAGTTGGAGCGCATCGATCGACTTTTGGTATTCCTTCTTTGCAAATTCGACAGCGGCTTTGCGGATATAACCTCGAACTAGAGAAAAGAAAAAGTGACCCCACGTTTTAGTTACACGGGCCCGGTTCTCTCTTCCCTTTCCATCTTTGTTTTGATACGCGCGATATCATATCCACATAATCGACATTAGAGATCAAGGAATGTCGAAAAAGCTTACCAAAGGAAGGATCCAGTTCAATGCACTTGTCTGCATCCTTTTCGGCCTCATAGACAGCCATCAATTTGAGGTAGCATACAGCTCTGTTGGAGTAAGGGCGCACATCTTTATCATTACGCTTGATGGCTTCAGTGTACTGTTCAATAGCACCGGGCCAATCTTGTTGCTTGAACAGCTTGTTGCCTTCTTCACGGGCCTTGTCAGCCAATTCAGGGTTGTGGTAGGCGGCCTTTTCGCGTTCCTTCTGGAGCTTTTGAGCATCACGGAGCTTCTGCAAAGTGTCTGGCGTACGGTGTTCCGTCAAGGATTTTTCGTAGTATTCGACAGCGTTGTCAAGTTGATCCAGCTTGACGGATGCGTTACCGGCACGTTGAAGGGCACTAAGCAATCAAATACACACAAACACACACACAGAGAGAGAGAGAGAGAGAGAAAGAGCGAGAAATATTTAGTAGGGAGAAACAGAAAGCTCCTATGGATTAAGTATGATAAATTACCGTGCAATAAGTTTGTAATCAGCGCGAACACCACGGCCAGTCTCAACAGCTTCCTCACAAACCTTGAGACATTCCTCAAACTTTTCTTGTTCAAACAAAACAGCTGTTGGCAGAAGAAAAAATAGTGTCAGTTTCGTAACTCACAATTGACTGTTGATTTTTCTTTTTTTTTTTTTTACCTGCTTTGTTGGTCAAAATGGAAATGTTGGTGTTGTCCAAAGACCAGGCCTTTTCGTAATGGGACAAGGCCTCATCGAATTGACGCTTTTTGTAAGCTTGATTACCGAGATCCTTTTCGGCAAGGGCTTGTTGCTTGTTGTCGTCGGCCATGGGAAAATGTGTTGGTGAATGAGTTGTAAGAATAGACAAGTGAAAGAGAAGAAGAGAGGGAGCAACGGCTCTTTTTGTCGCACTTATTTTTCCTCTCGCCAACGCGTACCCAAAAGCTTCTGGAAAACTCCACCCACACCTCCGCAGCTCTTTTATTTCAACGAAGGGAGACTTACACTTTCCCAAGAAACCTTTCTAATCTACATCACAGAGCGCTAGATTTGCTGATAAAATAAGTGAACACTATAGTCTGGATGTCGAATAACAAGCTTTTCTTATGTATCGATAGATTACGTGTCGAGCGTCTTCTTCACTCGTCGTGCACCTTTGTATGGGACAATGCATACTACTTAGAGCCGCTCGTCAACAACTGTTGATTCATCAGATCAAATAATACAGCAAACGCGGTCAAAAGATGTGTCTTCGTTGACGATCTTTTACTGTGACCTTTGTACTATTGCATAGTAGCCTTCGCCCCACTCACAAATTGATTCCTCTTCTTTTCTCGAGTGCTTGTATCTTTGCCCATCATATATATCGATACAGCAAGAATTCAAATAAAAATACGGATCTCTATAAGCACAAGAGCAGCACATACAAGTGTGGGGTGTCATTTATTGGTGACCTTTCTTTTTATGTTGTTGAATAATATATGGAAATGAGTAGCGAGTTATTAACGGGAAAAGAGACATGATATTCGGAAGAGGTGATTTTTTTAGAGTGTCAATGCTTCTTTTAAGCCGAACCGACGAGAATATTGTTGATGGGGATGTGAATGAGCTACAACGGTGATGAATAAAAAGAATTTAGATTAGTTTCATACCCTCCTCTCTTTTTTTTTTCCCACCAAATAATATCTTATTGCGCTTTCTCCTCCAAAACAACAACGAGAATCGCCCTTACTTTGACAAAGTAACCAAGAGCACCAAGAGCAGCAAAGCCCATGGCAACGGCTTGGGTAATTCTCAGAAATTCTAAAGAAAAAAAAAGAAACGGGTTACAACGTATGTTAGTTTTTTTTTTTCTTTGCTGATGAGGGTGCTCATAGTAGCAAGTCGGGAAACCACACGCGTGTTGTCGTCTTCGTCTGCTTCGTGGTTGATCGCTGGTTTAAAAATATACCTTTCTGATCAGGCTTGCGACACCGGTTGACAAACTGAATGCCGTCCTTGAAGAATTGCTTGGGCATCTCTACGACCTCTTGAACTTGGTCCTTTACGTTGTCAGCGGATGTGGCGTTCATGTTTCAAAGAAGGTGTGTTGTAGATGGTGGGGGGAAAGGAAGAGAGAAAAATACAACGGAGAGGGAGTTTATTGCTGAGATGTCTGAACAATGTGGAATTGGACTTTTTTACATTCTCCGTCCAATCACAATGCGCGCCGTGTCTTTCTTATTCTGGATGGTGTGTGTGGAGAGCAGCGGGCACTGTCTTGGTCGTGCGTAATGCATAAATTGGTTGCTGTATCCATTCTTTTACACCAGTCTTGCTTGTGTGCCACAGTCTTGTCTAAACCAATGCTCGATATGCACGATGATCGATAGAGGCAACAGGCCTCGAAAAACAAATGCTTCATCAATGCGTATATGTCAGAATTCGTCTTTTTCTATATGTGCTCGCTGTAACATAGGGTCATCAAGCAGCTATAACAGCCACACGAGAACAATAAGTTCTCTATCGCTCAAAGGCAGTGATACATATTACAGATTTCTCTTTACTATGCAGTTACGCTATCTTGTTTCTTCCTGGCTTTACCCATATCCAGAGACCGGCATTTGAAAAACAAATAGGCTTCAATAAAAACAGCCCCTCTCTCCCACCGGCAAAAAGAAAAACACGCGCTTTTCGACTGCAACATGAGTGCTCGCAATTTCCTCACAACTGGTAAAAAGATCGTTGCCATTGGTCGCAACTTCAGGTACTGTAATAAACCCTACGACGCGTTGGCATGTCCAGCCGTGGCTTGCTCGAGTTGTTTTGGCTGACAGTTCTTTTTTTTACCCGCTTGTATGCGAATACAGTGAACACGCCAAGGAGCTCGGTAACGCTGTTCCCAAGGCACCGTTTTTCTTCCTCAAGCCAACTTCGTCGTACGTTGCCAATGGTGGAACTGTAGAAATTCCTACAGGCTGTGAGGTGCATCACGAAGGTAAATGACAACTTGGACAAAGTATAGCTTGAACATAGAGCGGGTCTTATTATGTCAGCACTAAACTGGTTTTTATCTATAGTCGAACTTGCTGTCGTTATCGGAAAGGACGGCCGTGACTACAAAGCTGCCGAGGCAATGGATTATGTTGCTGGTAGTTACAATATCAATAAGGATACCGCTTTGTCATTCTGCAGATCTCTAACAATCATATACACTATATCCGTAGGTTATGCATTGGCCATTGATATGACCGCAAGAAACTTGCAGGTAATGGATCGAATAATTGGTCGTACGAGCCCCAACTTGATCCAGCCCTCATGATGCTAACTGAGAAACTTTCACACACACATATACACACGGCCATAGACTGAGGCTAAGAACAAGGGTCTTCCATGGAGTGCTTCGAAAGGCTTTGATACGTTCACTCCCATCAGGTAATAGACCAGTAGCTAGTAGTAAGAAGGGTCCGCAGGTATTACTATCATTTCAGACCTTACCATTCTCCTCTTACTGATGATGTTACCTGTTTAGCGATTTTATTCCCAAGGAACGGATCGCTGATACTTCTAACGTTGACCTGTGGCTCAAGGTAACAAATTGATTTGCAAAGTATGGCACGACAAACAAGTACTGTAAACGGTATTTCTCACCTCTCCATTGGGTCGAACCTTAATACAGGTCAACGATGCATTCCGCCAAAATGGAAACACAAAAGATATGATCTTTGGGTAAGTACGCTCCCTCCTCTCATCGACACAACTGTTCCTCTATCTCCTTCTCTCCTTTGAGTTTACTGATAAGGTTGTATCTCTATCTTTGCTGAACAGAATCCCAATGCTGCTTTCTTACGTTTCCTCTATTATGAAACTTGAAGTGGGTGACGTGATCTTGACTGGCACACCCAAGGGCGTTGGCCCCATCCAGGCCGGCGATGTGATTCAAGCGGGCCTCAAGGTTGGCGGCTCTTCGGATGACTTGCTTACTGTCAAGTACAACGTAGCAAACCGAAACGGTCTTTTCCAAGCCTAAAGAGGCCATGTAGCTTAGCCTACTTTTCTAGTTCAACTCGTCATTTGTTGTAATGCAGTTTGTGTAGTACAGCAGTACGCATCCTTGTTTTTGTGTATAAAAGTAAAAAAAAAATGTACGCTCCGAGCCTTTCTTGCTGAGAAATTCTCTTTTTTTCTTTTATCTTATTTTCTCTACTTTTAACGCAAAGGATCCCATTTCAACATGGCTGTAAGTAGTCTGTATATAACTTTAACCAGTATTTTGTCTGTAAAGGCTACTAGGCGCCGGTACTAACAAGCGGCAGGAGCAGCCTAAGTTATCCCCCCTGCACACGCGTATGTTCAAGGCAAAAGCCGCCAGCAAGCTGAGGTATGCTGCTAACAGAATATTATGCCGCACAGCGTGTCACTCCTTCCAGCGACGTGTTTATTGTTACTGCAACTGAGCTAATGGACTTTTTATGTTTTCAGCTTTGAAGACATTGGCAAAAGGATTGGACGCGATGAGGTTTATGTTGCCTCCATCTTTTATGGCCAGGTACATTCCTATGAACTGACGTGCAATTCTTTGTCACGACTCTTTTGGCGTCAATTGTACGCTCTTGCTCAAGCTATTCTGTACCTAATTTTATTGTTTTTGTACTAGGCCAAAGCGAGCGCAGGAGAATTGCAAAAATTATCAGCAGTGCTTAATCTTCCAGAAGCCCATCTCAAAGAAGAATTAGGAGACCATTTCTATCCGGATAGAGGAGGGTAAGAGTAATGCTATCGGTCATACATGGAGGCGGCACAAGTGCGTGTGTATTCGTGGGAGAAGGAAAATGGCCTAGAATCTTATTTTAGATCGCATTGTTCTCTACTATTAGCCTCATGTCCGTTCCACCTACGGATCCGGTGCTCTATCGACTCTATGAAATCTTACAAGTATATGGCTATCCGTTGAAGGCTATCATCCATGAAAAGGTAAAGTGGAGAGGGGACATATTAATAGGCTTAGGATTAAAGCCTTCCGTGCGTTGTTATCAACTAAATCTTCTGTTTCTATCATGCAGTTCGGAGATGGTAAGTTTTTCTACAGAAGCAAGCACCAGAGGATCTGGGATAACGTCTGAATGAGAAATATGGTTTTTGCATAGGTATCATGTCTGCCATTGATTTCACGGCAAAGGTGGAAAAGGTTGGTTGTAAATACAGAGATATTGTCACGATTATGGAAACGGACATTGGATTAACCATTGGTCATGTTGAAATCTTATAGGAGGAGAACCCGAAGGGTGATCGGGTCAAGATTACGTTGGATGGAAAGTTCTTGCCATACAATAAGTGGTAGTTTCCTCTTTAATCTGCTTACTGCTACTTGGTTATTGCTTCGCTTAATGACACATATAATTGTCTCTCTCTTTTCTCTCTTGCATAATAAACCGATCATAATCTTAATCATCTTGGTTGCAATTACTCGTTGTTTGTTTGCTGGATATGTTGGTATGTACACCACATACAAAGTTGAAAGTGGTTTTGGTAGAGCGCCAAGTGTTCATCCAACTATCTTTGATTACCATGTCGTCGCCATATTTGACATGTCTGTAAGAGCAGATGCCTCCTCAATGACTCTATTGCTCGTCACGACGTCAAATAAGTGATGATTATCAGACTTTAAACTGTGCTTTCTCATTCTCTCCTTCATTATTATCCTCCTTTCTTCTCCATCTTCTCCTTCTGATTTCTGATTTCACAAACTTAAGATGAATTTAAACGGTAAGTCGCCCGTGCCCGCGAGTTTCTTTGCCATTTTTTTTAGTGTCATGGGTGAAAAACCATGCGAATATAGGTCGCATTATGGGACTGACAACAACGGAGACCTCGACAGAAATACGGCGCGGTTTGATTGTGCAGCACGAACCACAATTATAAACTTGGCTTAACTCAAATCGACCGTTCTCTACATGTGTATGAACATGCATCTTCCTTTTAGTATATATAGTTGGAAGAAAGCATACTTTCTACTTTAAGTTGATGAGTGTCACCAACATCTTCATAATGGATGTGAGTACTTGATGATGATCACTGCTGTTTTCCGATCATGCGATTAGATATCGCGAATGAGAACTTAAGCTCCAGCAACTTGTGTTGCGATACATCAGACACTGACTGCCTGGTACCGGAGTGCGACCGGCCCAGCCATACATTATACAATTTCTCAATTTGATGATCTCGTCGACATCCTCCTCCTTAGGGTGTCCTTTACTGGTACCATCTGGTCTATCCACGGCAATTAAAGCTCTCGATACCATCGTACATGACTAATAACATCATTATCTTCATGTTTAGATGAGGTTGCTCGTTGGGTACTTCTCTCCTCTGGCATTCAACTTACTAATCTGTTTTTTATATTCGAGAATCACATCTACAGCAAGATATTCCTTAGTCACATTATCAGTCGGCCCCAACGCCAGAGCCTAACATTATTCTTTATTATCGAGCATAATGAATTGACGATATCCATTCAAAGCTAGACAGCAGCATTTACTTCAGTGTCTTTATGATCGTGTCAATATTAGTCGGTTGTGCCGTAATCGTTTTGATCTTTGAAATTTAAGAGGTCTAGACGATGTTTCTGAATAAATCAGACCGATCTGAATTGGAAATCGTCTGTATTGAAGCTCTTCACTTGGTGCCGAGTAATGGATCTCCTCACAAGCCTGGAACAAGTGTCGGCTTATCCCAATAGTCAAATCAACTAAAATGTCACCCTAACTTCCGAATGATTATACAGTAGTTCAAATAAAGATGGTAGCTGCTACAATAACCAAATGGGACTTGCTGATGTTAACGATTGCTGTTGCTCCTGTCGTGACCACTTATCCGTGGCGTTGTAATGCTTTTACACTTGTATTACGCAGAATTCGCGCTGTGGTAAAATTGTTCAGCATTGCATAATGGTGTTTGTTAGCATTGAAGTGGATTGGCCAGCATTGGGTACTATAAATGGAAAAAAGTCGAATTCGAGAATGCTCGACTAACAGCTGCAACAATTCTTTTAGTGATTGTATCATACCACTGTATTATCTTGTTTGCAGTGACGCTCTTCGCCAGCTCAAATGAGATGACCGTGCGCCAACAGGTCAGCGATACTTCATTTCAGAGTAAAATTGTTAGAATGGCAATAAAACAAAAGGACATACAGTACGTTGTCTTAGCGTCTAGGCTCCATCAATTTCTTTTTTGATATCGATGCTATGCATGTACCATGCATGAAACACCAACTGTATCCCGTTCCATTAATACCTTCTTGCTGCAGGTGGAGCCTTGACTTGTTAGAATCGTTACTCAGTGATGTGTTCATCACAATATGATTTCTCTTCAGTTTTTATTGTCGTATATGACGGTAAAGATGTCGATTGATGATGATACTGATAATGCATGAGCAAAAAGTCCTATAGCAAGGGCAAGTAAAAAGTTTTTAACACAAAGGTCAGCGAGCTCTTAAACTTCTTTCTTGCTCGTATTTGAAAAAGCCTTACAAGATCATAAAAGAGAATCAGCATATACATGACTACTGAGTACATATGCTGCTGTTCTTCGGTTGAACCGATGGGTATATAAGTCGCAAAAGCATAACAGGTCATGGGAAGCTCGAGCACGCCAAAAGCTGCTTCTTGTGTTGATAATTCAGAACTACTCTTACTGAGCATTACGTCGAGTTCACCAGGAACGCCACAATCAAAAATCAGCGTCAGGCCTGTCATCCAGGTCACGGAAAACTCACGCTGCAACAGCGGCTCCTCGTACTACTACGCTCCCTTTCCGAGCTTCTAGCCGAGGCATGCGTCACCCGTGATTCCGATTGCTTCAAGTTCGTTTGCTTATTCAACCTCCTGCATGTGTCCTTCAAGTTGCGTGCGCGTTCATCTACTTATATATATACTGCCTCTAAACCGATAAAAACAGGTCTTACGAGAAGGTAAAAGGACAAAACTGCATTCTTCTTCAGAGAGAGTGTGTGTGGTAAAAGACACTAACGAGTAACAACGCTGACAGACCAGATATATAAACCATGGCTTTATTAGCACACGGCAGGATTATCTATCTTTGTTGTGGCGCGTATATGTTGTATACGCGATATCTTTTATGCGTTTTATCTGTATGGCGTTGCATATGAAACACAGCGCAATGCAGGAGTATGTACCCTAACAATAAAATGTCACAATAAGGGGAAGAAGGACAACCACCTTTTTTCCCTTGCCTCCTACGGGACCCGTAGTATCCTCTTCTTGACCGTGGCGTCGCGGCTCAATTCTTATATTGTAAGCGTGCACAATCAACTTACTGCTATAGCTGAAGAATATTGACATCGTCGAGGCCTTTGGAAGTCTACCTAACCAGTAAAGCTACTTGCGTTGCTTAGAAGAAGGTCAACGCGTCAAGTGGATTGCCCGAACTTATATGCATGCCGACATTCAAGGGCAACGGCGGCGACATCCCTTTTCAACGGTATATGCCCCGACACGTAGCAAAATCCATCATCAAAAATGTCAACGCTCAATACAGATTGTACCGTCCCACAAGCTTTATAAAGTTTACAGAAATCAACTCTGTTATCATTGAACCGGGAAAGAAAAATCTAGAGAATTGGTTGCATTATTTCGCAAAGGGCAGCACAGCATTATTTTATTTTATGTATATACACGATCATATGCTCCTCTTTTCTACTCTCGAGCAAATCTCTCTTATTCTTGCAATACCACTTTGCTGATGTCGATATTCTGCATCTTTCCCTAAAACAGACACAGCGACACGCCTTTATTTCATCACTTGCCGCTAATCCTCCCTTTCTTGGTGCTCTTTATACCCCCTACCCCTATTGCCAATGATTGGCAGAACAATAAAACAATGTAAGCAACTAGTTAAATTCGCTATTGTAATATGTCTTTCTCTGTTATCGGTTGCTCTACTGCAATTACTACTGCTATAGATCAATATGATTGCGTACATGTTCAACAAAAAGAGGAATGTTTCGTTTTACGGTAGATCATGATACTTTTTTTCCGCTTCTTGAAGTGTCTACGACGAAGTGCTTGCTTCTTTTCCTTTATCCTTTTTTTCTACTTCTTCTTTCGTTGTCGACGACGAAGTTGCTTCTTCTTTGTCCTTCTCCTCTTTTTCTTCTTCTGTTGTCGACGATGAACTTGCTTCTTCTTTATCCTTCTCCTCCTTTTCTTCTTCCGTTGTCGACGATGAACTTGCTTCTTCTTGATCCTTCTCTTCTGTTTCTTCTTCCGTTGTCGACGACGAAGTTGCTTCTTCTTTGTCCTTCTCTGTTTCTTCTTTTTCTTCTTCCGTGTAATTGTCGTCACTTCTGATTTCTCCCGCTTCATCTTCTTGTATCTGTCGCTAAAAAAGAATCCAAACTGTTGGTCCATATAGTCTCACCAGAAACTCAAAATGTTATAGATTACATACTTGATTTAGATGATATTCAGCCTGTCGGGTTTCGAGAGCGATTAATGCTTGACGCATTCCCTATACGTTTGAGTAACAGATACACGAAATATAGTTAGAATGAAAAAGAATAGTGACTTTGGTATCATTGACCCTGTCTGCTGAAAAACAACTGATCGCCACTCATTCCCCCCTCCACCAATAGCAGCCAATAATTTAGACATTCACATATATTGCGATCGCTTCTGATGAGAAATGCTTACCTGAAGTTCGACAGTGAGTGTGTTCCGCAGGTCCCTAACCATTTCATCGGTGTGCTCTCGCTGGTTGCCGAGAGTTGTGACAATTGCATCGATGCGCACTCGCTGGTCGCCGAGAGCTGTGAGAATTGCATCGGTATGCTCTCGCTGATTGCCGAGAGTTTTGATAATGATTTCAAGCTAGCAGTAGTAAAAAGAAGGGACAATGACGAATTCCCGGGCTTGCATTAGTCATACACTACTATACTGTCTATTCCAAAAGATTTCTCCACATCATGAAACCAATGCCAGCGCAAAAAGGGGAGCTTCTTTTTTTACCTCTTCCGTTATTGTTAACGGTTCAATTCCTTCTATTGTATTATTTTGAGCCCCGGCCGCTGAAGACGGTCCAGGAGCTGCTGCTGATGATGTGTCAATAGCGGTACCAGGCGTAGTAGAGGAGGTTGCGGGAATGAGTGATGGCATTGTTGTTCGTATTGTTTCTACTGTGCGTTGAAAAGCCGATAAAGCGTAAGAAATGGAGACATGGAACACGGCGAGAAAGAGGACGGACAAGGCAAAACAAGAAGCCAGGATGATGCACAGGATGAGAATGATGGACAGGATGTGAAATAAATGTTCGTGTTCTTGCATCTGGCGCTCTACCCACATCATAGGGTTGGAGAAAAAACTGGGTGAGGGTAAGGTGGGCAGTAACCACCCGAGAAGGCGATCCCAAAAGGCGGATAGCGACCACACCGACGACGTTTTCATATCACTGAAGGCAAGAATACTCGTGAAGCTGACGATAATGTTGATGATGATGTTGATGTAGTTCTTGGTGAGAGGGTAGACTTTACTTTTCAGATTTTGATTTGAACAGATCTCTTTATATAGTCTTCTTCCTACATGGAATTGCTCGAGAACAAGCGCGTAAATCATGCCGCTCATTGATTTTGTGGCGGTCCTAAAATAGGAAGTTGTTATCCTTTCATTCATTGTTCCTCTTCTTCCCTAGGACCTATCTTTTCGACCGCTATTGTTAGTGAGCAAAGAAACCCATCAACCTCCTTTGGGATTTAAATGAACAAATATAAAGTGGTCTCCTTCTTTATGCACATCTATTCTTTGTATGTTATAGAAAAATAACAATAAATGTATTACAACAAAGAGCAAGAATCAGCAGTACATAGCGGAGCTAGCAGCCGAATCTATTTTTGTTTGTTTAACGATGCCGTTCAGAACCATGACGGAGTGTGCTGCTGTCTTCACACCATATGTTTTGACGCTCAATTTCGAAATACGTGCATGTGGTGGGAAAGCCCCATTATGCAGCAGCCAACGTTTCCATGCTCCGCTTTCCTTGTATAAAAATAAAATGGAGATAGTAGGTGGCGAAGAAGCATATGAATTTTATTTTGCTAGAAAGGTAGAATATAGAAGCACCTTTTTTTATAAAAGATAAGAGTGTGCAGTGATTGGGTCAGGGGGGGTTTTTTTTTGGATATTTTTTTTGGCAGGCTCTCTGGCTCATCCGCTGTGGTTGCATTTACGGCAGGGTAAAATAGCAATCACTTTGACATTGGATCAGGAAGAAAATTACAAATGATTTCCCGGGAGTTGTTCTCGTCGTTGTTAACGTCACAGAGATAATGTATCAGCTTAAATCCGTTGACGGTAACGTGCGTCAGTGAGGGTAGCTGAATAAAGAGATGTTATCGTTGGTGGCATACTGTAGAAGCATGAAAAAGGGAGATAAAGACAATTTCGAGATCGTTGATCTGGCATCCAAACTGCGTGCTGATATGCTGGATTGTAGTATCACTTCACGTAGTTTGCTTGCATTTGCTTCGATTACGCTTTGGTCATGCTACAGGAAGCTTGTCGTAACAGTATCTCAACTTTTGCTCAGCTTGCCCGTTGATCCAACCAATGCAGTCATAAAGGAAGCCGAGTTGATCACGGGATACTTAATGCCAGCTTTGAAAACGCTCTTTGACGACGATGGAAAGCATATTCGTATGCGTTGGATGGCGACGGAACCCCTTGACGGAAGCAAAAGCACAATTGCCAGCAGATGGCCGGATTGTCTTATAACCATGTACCCTGAAGACACAGACGATGGCGTGAACATCGGATATGGGGAGGCCAAGCGAGAAAGCGAACGACGAAACCATTACCTGATCAACCAGGATCTGATTCGCCTTGCATTGTTCACGAAAAAAACCGTCGACGATACAAGCTTTGATACCAGCGCTTCACTAGCCATCCATGCTATTGGTGCCACTTTGACCTTCTATTTGCTCAAGATTCAAGCGGATGGCCTATATATCATGACCGAATTGGCCCATCTGGATGTTCCCATGGCTGTGTCCGAGATCCCTTCTTTCCTTACCAAGTTCACAACCTTGAAAAATGTCATCCATGCCTTTCTCAATGAATGCATTCCAAAGGCAACTGATACCGCTGCCTACCCTCAATCTTGGACTCGTCCTTTCTTGTCACCAAGTGATGAAGCGTTAATTTTGACCAAGAAAAACAGAAAACGCAGGAATCACTCTGGCTACGATCCCTAAAGCTTGATTTCTTTATATTCTCTTTTGTCGTGCTTATGTATTTTCATACAATTGAACATACATTACTTGTGGTTTCTGGTGTAATTTTGGTTATTTTGTTTCAAGCTGATTACGGTTAAGTTTACTTTGATTGGCTGGAGAAAAATCAAAAGAAAGTAATCACCGGACATTTTTGTGGTCTTTCTTCTTTGTTCATTAACATCATTATCTGCAAATGGGTACCCGGGACTAGAGTGGGCGGGCTTCTTTGTCTGTCTCCTGACAATAGCCGTAGTTTGCTGCAAGGCAAGCTACCGTGGTCGAGGAATCATTCTGAGTTGACTTGATTGCCCACCTTTGTGGGTGATGACAATAGCCTGATCTTCACACTTTGTGGAGTGACCGTGGTCGCCAGTTTGATAGTGTCTCCATTTGTATAGTGAGAACCAGGACTAGAGCGGACGGGCATCTTTACCTGTCTCCTGACAATAGCCGTAGCTTGCTGCAAGGCAAGCTACCGTGGTCGAGGAATCATTCTGAGTTGACTTGATTGCCCACCTTTGTGGGTGATGACAATAGCCTGATCTTCACACTTTGTGGAGTGACCGTGGTCGCCAGTTTGATAGTGTCTTGCTTTTGTTGATGGTGTATTGAACATTGCTGGTTAATCTCACTTTTTTAAGTTTTTTGACTATGTCCCTCGTTTCTTCCGAACCGTTTCAACAATCCAGTTGCTTGCGGCAAGTAATCTTTGGATGAACGTCCTCGACGCCAACTATTGCAGTTGATTGTCTGTCTATCATGTTCTTGGGTTTTTGGAAATAGTATTGTACTTACAGTATTTACTTCCTTTTTTCAGGTAAATATATGCTATGACCGTTCACAAGATATATCCCAAATACCTGCTACTGTATTTTGTTATTTTGTCATTTCGCTTTCCAACCCTGTGTATGGTTTGTCCACTGCCCTGCTTACCTACAATCTGTGGTTTCTTATCACACAAGTGTGCCAATGATTTTGACATAAATTTTTGCTTATGACAACTTGAACTTTTTTTCTAAACGGTGTAGACGGTGTAAACGGTGTAAACGGTGTAAACGGTGCATACGGTGTAAACGGTGTAGACGGTGTAAACGGTGTAAACGGTGTAAACGGTGTAAACGGTGTAGACGGTGTAAACGGTGTAGACGGTGTAAACGGTGTAAACGGTGTAAACGGTGTAGACGGTGTAAACGGTGTAAACGGTGTAAACGGTGTAAACGGTGTAGACGGTGTAAACGGTGTAAACGGTGTAAACGGAGTCAACCTCTGATTGGCTGACCCAAGTACCGGTTTGTCCGTCTGTCCGAAACGCTTCTCGTTGCCATAGCAACCGTGCAAACCACTACAGCATTGTTCATTATATCACACCCCCTCTCAATTTACGTTTATAAATTAAAGTATACTTTGACGCTTCTGCCCCATAAAGAGTCTCACTTATAAAAACATGACACCAAGATACAGAAAGGAAGCATAAGGAAAGGGACACGCCATCCAATATAAAGATAATTTTTTTTATTCAAAGCCGAGATGATATGCAACTTGAAGGAGGTATGCGGCATACTTGATATCAGAGGTAGATTCATTTTTTTATTGAATTGCGATAGAAATATCGAATGCTTTCATCTGTTGAAAAACGCTTGCAAAGATTTTTTTCATGGGCCAATTCCAAACAGCGCACCCAATTCATTTTGCCCACCAGCTTCTTGCGGAAGCTGATGATGAATTGCAGATCGTCATGCTTGTCAGAATCTTCTGCTGCGGTTTTCTTGACGCTGCAGCTTGGTAAAGGCTCAAGCGAGCTGTCACTGTCGTCATCATCCACATATTTTCGTTTGGCCGCATGGTTGAATTCCAGTGCACGTGACACGATTCTTTTTGCCTTGAGCGAGCCAGAGACGTTTTCAAGGGAAGCAGCCACCTTATGCAACAACTTTTCATTGTTACTGCAAATCGCATCAACAACATGTACCAAATCTTCTTTTTGTACAGTTTCCATATCAATGCACTCCATGGCCAGCCGATACAACGTTCGTACTGTCGAATGTTCAGGATGAGAATGACCATACAAGGTGGGCGATTGTTCAATCAGAAACATCGACAATGCCTGTAAAGATGATACGTTGGCATCGACTTCTCAGCACGATAGGCTTGGCTTTGACACAAGATAACAGCTCTTCGCCCAGAAATCAGAGCACAGAATACGCTGCATCTATGGTTTACCATCGACAGGTGTGAACTTGGTGATAAACGTCAACGGAGAGAGTTTATCAATGCAAAATACCATCACCAACGGATAGGATTTGTACACTTGTTTGGCGTTTTGACTGTATTTGAACAATCGTTCCATAGAAGCTTCATTCACGATGGCTTGTACCTCGATCAGAATTGGTGGCAATGAGTTTTGAATGCCCAGACAAGGGACATACAGAATATCGCTACGGGAGCCATTGTCCCATTCAGTGGTTGCGGTAGTATAAGTTCCTTTTGGGACATTCAACAGATCCGAGGTGATAATGTCTATGGCCGTTGATGTTTTTAGGATTGCTTTGCTCAATAGATCCGCTCCAGGCAACTGATCCGGTGGCAAGGGCGATGTATAGCTTTACTTCGTCAGGAACCAAATTGCGCTCTCGTCGACGTATATTGCCATCATTGCTATCAACAGGCACATGGTCTTGATGCCGGATTGCAAGTTCGACATAGCCTTGCTGCCTAACGATCGTTCCTTTTACGCGTCCGCCGCAATCGAACGTTGGCATTCGTACAGTGATCCTCTGGCGTTGCGCGGCGAGAACGGTGTTTTGATAGACATGGGAGCGCGAGCAGTAGGCAGTGAATGATACCTTGAATGCTTGCTCAGGGGCCCCCTCGTTCTTCAGCATATATCGATGCCCGTCGCAATTGATCACCTCATCCAAGATTCGCCCGATCAATTGATCATTCGATATCGATTCCATGTACGGTTCAACCATTACATAACAATAGAAATGATCGTTCTGCATACCATGTAGTAAATGATCAAGAATTTAGTGGAAAAAATCCAAAATGCATATATGTACTTACCGTATCATCTGCAGCAGGATAATAATCATTTAAAGAGTCCAACATCACCATGCCATCCAATAGAACAATCTCGGGTGGAGTGTCTCTGGTTCAGCATGCCACACAGGTTCTATGCGGTCTAGTATTACCACTGAAATCCGTTCCAGGCTTCTCACAGTGGCATCTCTTGCAAAGATAGTTGTTGTTGTAGTCAAAATTACCAGCACTAAGTGCTTCAGAGACAGTTGGTAAAGTAGAGTTCGGTTGGTTACGATGTTCAGAATTCATTCTGCAGTTAATAAAAAAAACAGTTGGAGAAAGAGCAGGGAAGAGGAAGAAAACACCCAAGCCCCTTCTTTCCAGGGTCAAAAAAATTCAGACTCCATGCGCTCTTTCGCGTTTGTTAATCATCTAATGATGGTTCTAGAGCAACTACTTTCTTTTACTATACACATCATCTTTCTGCTATCTCATACTTTATGTCAGCTAAATTTTAATTCCTATAGGACCATATATAAATATGAAAAAAGTGATGTTTGTTGGTGTATACATCTGGATGTGTCCAGTTGAGTATTTATCCCAGGTTGATAATGGGTGTTCGCGTTTCTGATGTGGGACAATGTGAAACCCGAAATTCCTCAACGCGAATTTTCAGCAGCTCCTATGATTCCTCTGCATACGGTGTAAACGGTGCATACGGTGTAAACGGTGTAAACGGTGTAGACGGTGTAGACGGTGTAAACGGTGTAGACGGTGTAAACGGTGTAGACGGTGTAAATGGTGTTAGTGGTGTAAACGGTGTAAACGGTGTAGATGGTGTAAACGGTGTAAACGGTGTAGACGGTGTAAACGGTGTAGACGGTGTAGACGGTGTAAACGGTGTAGACGGTGTAGACGGTGTAAATGGTGTTAGTGGTGTAAACGGTGTAAACGGTGTAAACGGTGTAAACGGTGTAAACGGTGTAAATGGTGTAGACGGTGTAAACGGTGTAAACGATGTTAGCGGTGTAAACGGTGTGAACAGTGTAGACGATGTTAGCGGTGTAGACGGTGTAAACGGAAACGGTGTAGACGGTGTTAGCGGTCGGTGTAAAAGGAGTCAACCTCTGATTGGCTGACCCAAGTACCGGTTTGTCCGTCTGTCCGAAACACTTCTCGTTGCTATAGCAACCGTGCAAACCACTACAGCATTGTTCATTATATCACACCCCTCTCAATTTACGTTTATAAGTTAAAGTATACTTTGACGCTTCTGCTATATAAAGAGTTTCACTGAAACTCTTCCCTAGATTTTTTTTGTGTTTCAGGCTACCTTTCCAACGCGGTTCCTTTGATTTTGCCATGACAACCACTGAAGAAAACACCCAGGATGAAAATGACAGTAAATGGATGTTTTGAATTTATATCTATCTAATATTTTGTTTTGTTAAAGGCCTGACTTATTTCGTAGTGCTTGATGACCTTCTTACGTTCAAGTTGCCACTGGATCAGTTGCCTGGAACGGATCTATTGAGCAAAGCAATCCTAAAAACATCAACAACCATAGACATTATCACCTCGGATCTGTTGAATGTCCCAAAAGGAACTTATACTACCGCAACCACTGAATGGGACAATGGCTCCCGTAGCGATATTCTGTATGTCCCTTGTCTGGGCATTCAAAACTCATTGCCACCAATTCTGATCGAGGTACAAGCCATCGTGAATGAAGCTTTTATGGAACGATTGGTCAAATACAGTCAAAACGCCAAACAAGTGTACAAATCCTATCCGTTGGTGATGGTATTTTGCATTGATAAACTCTCTCCGTTGACGTTTATCACCAAGTTCACACCTGTCGATGGTAAACCATAGATGCAGCGTATTCTGTGCTCTCATTTCTGGGCGAAGAGCTGTTATCTTGTGTCAAAGCCAAGCCTATCGTACGGAGAAGTCGATGCCAACGTATCATCTTTACAGGCATTGTCGATGTTTCTGATTGAACAATCGCCCACCTTGTATGGTCATTCTCATCCTGAACATTCGACAGTACGAACATTGTATCGGCTGGCCATGGAGTGCATTGATATGGAAACTGTACAAAAAGAAGATTTGGTACATGTTGTTGATGCGATTTACAGTAATAATGAAAAGTTGTTGCATAAGGTGGCTGCTTCCCTTGAAAACGTCCCTGGCTCGCTCAAGGCAAAAAGAATCGTGTCGCATGCACTGGAATTCAACCATACGGCCAAACGAAAATATGTGGATGATGACGACAGTGACAATCTGCAATTCATCATCAGCTTCCACAAGAACCTGGTGGGCAAAATGAAAAGATATATTAAAAAATATGCTAATCATCAAAACTAATTAATAATTAATATAAATTAATTTGAGATACTCTACCTATTAGAAAAATTGATATAATATATATTATGCTTTTTTTTACTTATTCATTAAGTAATTTTTCTATTATTTCTCTAAAATTTATATTTCCATTATTGCCTATATAATTTTTTTTTAGTTTTAACTGTTTTATATTTTTTTATTTTTTTTCTTTTTTTTTCATTAAACATATATATACAATATTACTGGTTCGTTGAATTTGATTTTCAAATAATTCTTATATATTCATTTTATTTATATTTGTTTTTTTAATGCGTTTCTTGGTAATATGTTATTTAGAATGTTTAGAGCATAAGTAATCAGGTTCACTATTAAGGAGATTAATTCTAATTTTTTTATGACATATATGTCCTTTCTTTTTTCTTTTTTTATAATTAAATGTACATATAGTTAGACTAGTATTTATAATCCAAAAGTAATTTTTTTTGTATTTTTTAATTCCTCTTTTATAATATTTTCCATTAAATTTATTTTATTTTCTTGTATTTTGTATAAGCTTTCATTTTCAAAATAATTATTTATAACTTGATATATGATATTTTTTATAGATAATTGCATAGATTCCTTACATATAAGAATTTCTTCATTTAACAAGACTATATTGAAAATTTTTGTCAATATATTTAGAAGTTATCTTTTTTATAAAATAAAAATATAACTTTTATTTTATTGACAAAAAAATTATTAGTTACTACTTTTTTCATAGTTTTTCATATAGCAACCAGTCTCCCATGTGACTTAACAGAATCCGAAACAATATACATGCATTATTCAATCTGGACATTCTTATGACTTGCTGCTGTACAGTATCTAGATTGTTATGTAACTTTAGTGTTAGCGAAACAGGTCTCAATGCAATGCCCAACTATGTTCGATATAATGCTGATAGCACCATATATATCAAATCATCAAAATTAGACTTGCTATTACTAGAAGCCTCTGGACCTTATTGTACTGGTGGCAGAAGTAGACATGTATTTGATGAACAATCAATGATGGTAAAATATCCAAATAAATTATATATGAAAAATAAAGTATAATATAAAAAATATTATAGAAATTTTAATAAAATTTACTTATGTTTTAATATATGTAAAAATACTTTAAGAGGAAAAATTAAATTTATTTGTTTTTACTATTAGCTTATTTTCAAAACGGTTTTAAAATTACTTAACATTTAAGGGAAAATCTAAAAACATATTATAAAAAAATATAAAATAAAAAGAAAAAACTTTTATTGAATAATCCCGGTGCAACAGTAGTGAGCATATCCCTCCTTTAGATGAGGAACTTGTGACGAAATCTAACTTGTCAATGAAATTTAAAGGTGGAAGGTTGCAGGAGGCGGCAAGCCTTTCATGAGTATATTAACAATAACAAGCTTTTCCATTAAATTAGAATTAAAATTATGTTTAGGGTTTATTGTTTATTCATCTTTGATCACATCAAAGCAGCATTTGGATGTTATATAATGCTTCTTAGTATCTTTAAGAGAAATCACAATATGAAACCATCATTGATCTATGAAGTACGAGTGTTTATTTATACACCAGTGCCAAAGGTAATATAGTAGTTTTTATTAAAATTGGGGTGATTATTACAATAGTTGACAGATTTTAAATTACCCTTTTCATAATTTAGATGATAACTATTATTATTTAAACATTTTTTATATACTTTGATAATATTCTTTTGTATTATTTTATTAGAATAAGGATTAGATAGATAATAAGGAGTTATCTTCGGGGATTGGCTTGGGTCACAAAACTGAGTCACCAGCCAAATTGTGACCTTACACACAATAATCGCATTGTAGAAAAAAATTGAGTACCTGCTAGGTAGGGATCCGTATCAGAACCGTAGAACCGGAACCGAACCGAACCGAAACCGAGAAAATACGGTTCGGTTCCTGTCAAGAACCGAACCGGAACCGAACCGGTTCTGTATAAGTAGAACCGAAGAACCGAGAGGCAGAAGATTGCAATCAGCGATTTTGGTAATTAGTATAAAGTAGGCTATAATGGAAGTTACGAACAATGTTATTCCGAAAAGACCACGAAGTAGTGTATTTGCAAGCCATACTTTATTGAAAAATTTAACAAAACCTGCAAAAGCAGAAGGGAGTAAAAAATAGTAAAGAAGATAAGAGAAAAAAATAAAAAAAACACTTCTTCTGACGGCAGCTTGCTTTCTCCGCCCATGACGCACATCATTACTTGTTCCTCTACTTTGCTACCCACAATGCATTTTTCTCCATGACGTACTACTTAACTAGATTTATCATGGCTTCTCGATCAGTTTTATCAAGTTTGTGCATTCCGTTCGAGATTGCGCATTCTGGGGCTCATAACAGAATTATCTTACCCATTCACCCTTTGCCTTTTATGAGACACTATACACTATACACACGTAGAGACACAGCAGCTGTATGTACTGCCGGTTGTGGTTCAATTCCTCCAATGTTACGATAACATATTGTACTAGTAATACTAAGTCGCTCTAAGTAAGTACTATAAGCTCCACTTTTTTTTGTAAAAACTGTGCTTCAATCTTTTAACCATGCAATGACCCACATCGTATGAGAATGTTTACATTCTGTTTCTCTTATTCATTTTGAGATCGCTGTTCAATGTACAATAATAAATTATTCTTTTTTACTGCAGTATTCAAGTATACCGCGACATTTGAACACACACATCAGCTTTCATTTAAAGATACCGAATCTTGCCTTTTTTATATACATGATGGGTTCGGTTCTTCGGTTCGATTCTTCGGTTCTACGGTTCTCGTCGGTTCTAGTCGGTTCGGTTCTTGCTTTAGACGGTTCGGTTCGGTTCCCTTTAAGAACCGAACCGAACCGAACCGTGCGGATCCCTACCGCTAGGTCACTGCTATGAATCATTTATGACACATCTTGCATATGCCTTTGACATGACACACATCCTTAGACTCAACGAGCGTAGCAGTAACAATGCAATAACACGTACATTGACTCATTCTCAATTAGATGAGCATCAGTGTTTTCTTTGCTATCACAAATGATATAAATAAAAGACCGTTTACTATTCTCAAAAATGTTGCCTTTATTTATTTGCAATACATTTCCAACTTTTCAAGCTCTACACTTTTTTCTAACACATCTTTGTCAATTATGTCTCTCAACACCACCGCCAGCTCCTCTACGTATCAGGCCTCGCAAATGGCTATGCGTGAATCTATGAATGAAACGCACCGTGAAGCACTCGAAGCACGCCCAGCCAACACGAAGAAAACCTATGTCAACAAGCAAACGGAATACCGTCAATGGTGCAATAGAATGATGCCACATTTGCCTACAGAAACTCGTTATATTGTTTATGGCGACAAGCTCCATTTGTTTCTCAAAGAAGAGGTATGTACAATAATTATGAAATGTGCGACTTCAAATTCATAGTTTTGCTGTACTGCTTCTTAGCTTATACAATCTCAATTAACAGGTCATGAACCGTGATGCTCGTCGCAAGGGCAAAGGATCGACCCAGCTCAAGAAAATCAAAGCTTCCACTTTCATGAGCTACGTTGCCGCCATCGTCGATTTATATCAGCAACAAGTTCGTTCGTTTGCCAATAGTCATCCTCATCCACGTAGCGCTGTCAAGGAACTTATCGACCTCGTCCAAATCCGCGAAGAAAGCCAACGACGTGAAAATTACGACGAACGTGCACTTGGAACATTGATCGATGGATATACGACCACCGATCAGATTGCCGACGTTGTCGATTACTACATGGCCAAGAATGAAGGGTCTCACTTGCGCAATGCTCTCGCATTTTTGCTTTCTCACTATTGTTTGTTGCGAAGCGAGTCGGCACGGAAGGCTACCTTACCCAATATGCACAGTGTCGAATTGGAGCGTGAAGGCCCGTCCGAATGCCATTCCCTCATGATGATTATCAAGCAAGGAAAGACAAACAAGCACGGTCGTCTGGAACTTGTCGCCTGCATCTGGAACACTCGCGTCGAGATATGCCCCTTCATGGCTCTTTCTTTTTATTTTTTCTGGCGTTGGCATGTCGAAAACGAACCATTCCCCGTCTTCACTCATAACCAAGATTGGTATGATATCCGCTTGCTCAAGAGCACCTCTCCTTCCGCCACCAACACCACCGAAATCTCATATCAGCAGCAACTTCGAGCAATCGACGAGGCGTTTGCCAAATGTAACATTGTCTCCTCCAAGAAGACACATGCCGCCCGTGGATCCTCATGCAAGATGGCAGATTTGGATGGTGCCGACGAGGCGCAGATAAGAAGATTAGGCAGATGGAACAACACTACGATGAATGGTGCTTACTTGACAAGTCTTCCTCGTGAAGTCATGCGTGTCTTGGCCGGCTTTCCTGCTCAACAGGGTCACTTCTTTCTGCCTCGTGCTGCCGTTGACCCTCCTCAAGAATTATGCAAAAAGATTTTTCCTCGTGTCGAATACTGGCTGGAAACAATTCGACCTGATCAAGTGGCTGCCGCCGGGTTTCTGCGTCTCTTAGGTGTTCTGCGCGTTACGTTTCTTCAAGACGCTGTGCTTATGCAAGAAAAGTATCCGCATCATCCAATTTTTCTCAATCATATATTCAGAGAGCCGCTATACATCCAGTTCAAAGAGTAAGTATTGATTTTAAAAAATGCACAAGATGATCATTAATATGGTACTTATTGTTGTTACTATTTTGACTATTAGAGATCTTCAACGATCCATTCAAGAAGATGCCACCCCTCAAGATCTGCTCTTGCAACGTGCCGTACCTCACCTTGAGCAATGCATGAGCACGATGAACAATGAAATGGTTTCGCGGTTAGATGCAATGCAAATGCAGATGGAAAATATGACGAAGAACCTTTCTGACCTCGTATCTGGCCGTGCGACGGTAAACCTAAGCATCAATTGGCCATCATCATCATCATCAGTAGCAGCAGCACCAATGCCAACACAGCAGCACCATCCAGAGCAGCAGCCAACAACAGCAACAGTTACATCTATCCCGAGTTCAGCACCTTCTGAAACATTGGGTCTTGATGCAACGAGTGAGTCACCGTTTTATATGATGAGCCGGGGAATCAAGACTGTCACTGACCTTTGGGCAGAGTGGTCGGTTGGGCTTGCTGGAGGCTATGCAGTGAAAACACTGGAACAACGTTGGGGTGCAAAATGGAGAAACGGCGATTGGAAGTTCTTCAGTCGCAGAATCAAGATCATTAAGGAGGTCGAGCGATTTGCCTCTGCCAAAGGGATTTCGGAAACGACAGCAGCAGCAATGGGCGAAGAAAGGCGCAATGCTCTTGGACTTAGCTTAAACGAGCTTAACAAACAGGCGACAACGATTTTCCAAAATATTTAGGTGTTTATGATAGCTCTTTTCTCCCTTTGCTACTTGTTCAGCAGACCCACTTAAACTATTTACTTGAAATAAATGAAACATATTTTGTTTGAAGAAGATAAGAAGCGTCGCTTATTGTAAAATATCTTTCCGTCATATGTTTTAGATTTACTATTGTAATGGCGAAATCGCAAGTATAATATAATGAATTTGAAAATGGAACACATGACAATGACAGGTAGTAGCATAGCAACAGTGTCAGAAACAAAAGGACAGAGAGTAATATTATTATTTTGTGACCCGCACGGCAATAACTCCAGTTATTTCTCATGTAGATGGCAGAAAACAAGTGTTATTTCTTGCGGGTCCCAAATTTTGCAGGTGACCTGCTGTGACATGTCGAGACATTGAGGTTGTATAATAACATTTACTAGAGTGAAAATAAAAACAATAAATCATCTATCATAGAAAACATACGATTTACATCCTTTATGTAACATTAATGGGTAATACTTGAGCTTTAAACAGCATTCTACAGTAAGGGCTAGTAAGTTTGTACTAAGAGAATCATATTGGTAACTAAAAGAAAACTCCATGTGGGAAGAAAACAGGCACAAGCAAGTTTAACTAATGAGAAGAGAGAAAATCATTTTGTGATTGGTACATTTAACTACTATTTACTGATAGAGTGTCGATGTCTTAGCTTCCCCGCTCTTGGGCAGGTACTGACAGGAGCAACCACGGGAAGGCGCATCGACATCTGCTCCCCCAGTAACCCACTCCCCACAAAGCTAGGGCCTTGTCTTGGTCGCTTACGGATCCTTGAAGGTCGAATGGTATTGAGACGCCCACTTCATCTCACCAAACGCGGAGCTACAGAAAAAACACACCTTAGAAATCGATGCGAATTGACTATGTACCAAAAGAACAGCGCGTGTTTTTCGTTCGTGTTTCTGTTCGTTTGCGCTCGTAGCTGTTTCTATGGTCTTCTTTACATCTCTTCGATTGTTTCATATGGTTCGTTTACGTTCGTCTCCTAATCTAACCTTTGGAGAGAAGCCATCTGTGTTAGCAATCAAATGTAATTTGACAACGTACCAGAAGATCAGCGGGTGCTTTTGGTTCGTGTCAAAGAAAGAAAAAAGAAAAAGCGAGGAAACAACATGCTGTGGAAAATGGGTGCTAAAGTAGGTAAAAATACCCCCGCCCTCATTTACAGGTCCGTGCTAAACAATGCTGGGAACCATGACAGATGTTCCGTATCGTAGCTGACGGTAACACGATCACAACGTACTTTATCACACTTTGGTACGCGTTTTTCACCTTTCTTTTTTTTTAACTTTCTGTGGTCGCGTAGTTCTGCTCGCGAAAATTATCGAAAGGAAAAAAAATTGTTCGGAGGGAACGTGTCGATCATCCTGTTATTTTTATTTCTCACATGTAAGTATCATACACCACCTGCACATACGCCAAGGAAGTAACACAACGTCTGATTGGATCTATGGCAGGCCCGTGTGTCCGTTACACTGGCCTTTGGACTTTTGACATTGAGCTGTTCCTCCCCTTGACGCTATCAGATAACATCGGTTGCTGCTACTTTTATAATGCTTTTCCCGGAGACTCGTTCGCAAAGGTTCACCATGCATGAGTGCGTACTGAATCAGTAACTTTAAAAAAGAAACCGACCTTGTTAGTGCTTTAGGCTTGAATAGCGATCATTTTCTTGCTGTTACAGTGTACATGTCGACAACGGCTAGATACCCACATGCAGAAGGTTGATGGCTGCGCGTCAGCAAAGGTTTGTTTTTTTAGGGACAAGTGAATATGCCTTTTTTGTCTTTGTTAATTAATATTGAACTTTTACAGGGTAACAGTGAATGCCTCAAAGATGGGCGAAACCTTGGTTCGATCGTCATGATCACGATAAATGATAGTATAGCCATTTATGGTCTTGTGCATCTATTATATCAGGAGTTGTTTTGAATAAGAAGGATTTATATTTTCATGGGACGCTTGGTAGTTGCAGCCATTGACTAACATGTCTATACTATTCCGCAAATAGCAATCACATGATGACATAATTAAGCTGCATTCGATGGCGAGTTGCTACTGTTATTGTCACGCAGAAATCGCATCCACAGCGGCTAGAACGCGTATCTTTCGTTTTTCAGTTTGGCATGAGAAAGATTTAAAATGTTTCGTAGAACCACCATGATCGCTGGGCGCACAATAGCTCATCAAATGGTTGGCGAATAGCAAAAAATAGACAATCATGTTATCACACGGGCTCATTAAGAAGGGTATAGCCATTCCTACTATGCGGCAAATTACCGCTGCTTCTTATGTACGTATCTAACAAACTAAAAGGTACCCCCATCATCTTTATCGCTTACTGTATCCAACTTCATGCTAGGATATGTTTGAACCATGCTCCTTGTAATATATTTATCATAACAGCATCTCCAACAACAATATTACAAGTAGACTACTGAATTTACACGTTGAAGCTCATGACCAAGTCCCGGACATGCAATTTGACACAGCGGGAAGACGTCCATTCAAAGTGAACTTGATGCATAATTTGATAGTGCTCGGTGATACCTAAAATGGGGGGCAAAGCGAAAAAGATCAGAAAGCGCAAAAAAAAAAAAAAAACAAGCTTCTCAGCACAACAACAACAACACTTACCACCGTGGGGCAAAGCAAATGAAAACACTTTATACGCCTTTTGAGATCCGGATTCTTTGTGATCACCAGAACCAAAACCACTGCTCGCACTGCTGATACCGCCATGATGGCTGTTACTACTATCAATATTGCGTCCTAATCCATGGGAGAAGCTACTTGTGAGTACGCCTAAGAGACTCAAGTTCGAATACCACACTCGAACAGTTTGATCTTGTAAAGAGCTCGTTGCAACGAATTTGGCATCAGGAGAGAATGCAAGCGCACTGATGCCGCCCTGATGCCCTTCAAGCACGACAGATCGTGTTGCTGTACGCAAGTCATAAATGACAGATGCGCCTTCCAAGGTACCGACAGAGAGCTTTTGAGCACTGCTATTAAAGTCGACAAATGGGTATGTTTTCACCAAGTCGTGAAGTACGGCTGTGGCTGTTGGTAAAACGGTCTCTCGAAGATGAGGTACATTAGGATCAAGCGTCTTGACTACAGATTCTACAACTCGATGCACATGGGAATAGAGTAGAACTGGTTTCTACAGGAAGGAAGGAAATCAAATGGACGTGCGTACCACAAGAGAAATGTGGTCAGTTTATAGCTTGAAAAAAGCATTGCATGGCATGTGCTTTTTTAAAAACAAGTGAGAAGGTTTTACCTTGCGTATAAATGAATTGATAATCCAAAGACATTGGACACGATCGTCCGTCCGCTTTGTATGCGTCGCATCGTACGTGAGCGTGCCGATGACAAGGGGCATGTTCGTTTTCGCAATCTCAAATATGGCGTTTTTGGCACCTCGGCTCACTGCCGGTTGGGTATTGTTTGCATAGGCGAACATGGTCCGCAGGACCTCTGCAGCATTGATGTAAGATTCCCATGTACTGAAACCTTGACTGAGCAGTTCCATGGATGCTAGTGTACGAGCCACTGAAGCATGTGAAGGATCCGTGTGTTGGGTCTTTGGGTCATCCAAATCAGAATCCGATAGCAATAGTGCTAGACTGAGAGCTGTATATTTGCGGACACTTTAGTGTGTGTGTGTGTGTGTGTGATAGGGATCATGTAAGAAAAAGAAAACCATTTAGAAATCGTTTACATGACAGAAAAAATGTAAGCAGACGAAAAAAAATTTACCTGGTATCCAGCATTTGCGGTTGATCACAGCCCATAATGCCGAGTACAATGGTTGCGCGAGCCATCATATAGGGACTATGACTTTCAGGTGAGCTTGATGTGGGAACTGTTGAATATAACATGTTAGCGCGTTGATAAATATTTACAAGTTTTTGTTTTGTTATGGAAATACTTGCGATAATTATCCCAATAGCTTATTAACGACAAAATCTCCTCTTCATTAAGCCCTATCAAAGCACTCGAGAATAGCGAGCGTGCTATATAGATAGAGAGTTTAGGCCGGAAACTATTCTCTCTACGCCTTTTTTTTTTTTTGTGTTATACGTTACCTGAGGGGTCCTGCCAGTATTTGCCAAGTAAAGACAGGGACGGGAAACAGTATTGTTTGCCAACAACAGCAGGTAAAGCCATGGCATATCCAGCAATCAAATCAGAGCTTTTGCTTTCTTGTCCTAAAATGATATTGCCCGTTTTGTTAATGGATTTTACTCGGCTGCTACTAAAGAGATAATGCATGGCAAATAAATCACGGTATGTATATACCTGCAATAAATATAATGGCTTTTGCAAGTAATGCCACTGACAATAACCTCGAAGCCGTCATTTCTGGAGAAACCGTCCAAGCACTCTTTTCTTCATCTAGTGGTGCTAATATGGAGAGATAGCCGTTGGCACTATATATACACATGTATTTATGCGTAGAGAAACTCAATATTTAAAAGCATTTAAAACAAAAAGAGAAAATGTTTTACCCTTTTAGACCATAACTGATGTTACTATGGCTTGAGTTTCTTTGCAACGTCAAGGTCCTACTGCAAATGTTTTCAAAAGCCTCGCTCACATTCCATGATACGCTGGCAGCAACAATAGCAGAGACAAGCTCGAGACGTTTTCGCAGATCGGTACTGCGTTTGTCCGTGAAAAGCTTCTTGTTGGCGTTGTCTACTTCATCCTCTGGCTGACTCACAACGTCGAGAGGATCATCCTTGTCTGGCCTAAAGGCGGTGATATCAGGTACAACGGCATCGTAAGATGTGGATGAAGTCGACTGTTGAGGTGTAGGTGGTACTGCAAGATCGCCTAGATCCTGACCACGCGTTCGTTCGTACTTTGCATATAAATCATGAACGACGCGTCGAATGTTGAATGTGAACACGTGGCTGAAAAGTGTTGACATTTGAAGTGCTGTATATGCGAAAACAAGATGCATCAGTTGTGCCGCCTTGCCTTTAAAAAAGTAGAGCGCCCTTACCTGGATTGTACGACGCAATCGACCGGATATTCACATTTTGTTTGGTGCTACTGGTTGGTTTACCCGCAAAGGACGTTGACGCTGACACTTGGTTAGTCGGCCATCGATCGTCATCGAATACTTCTTTTGCTGTTTTGCCATGAAGAACACGATCCAAATAACCTGAAGTCAACTGGTTGGCAGAAACAAAAAAAAAAAAGAAAAAAAATCAAAGTACTGCTTTTTTTTTCCCTCCGTATCTGCTGCCAGTTTCCCTCTCTCCCCCGCTTATTCTCTTCAAAATGATCCAGTGGGTTAAGCGCTTACCTGCCAAACATAAGTTGTCTCGTCACTGTAACCAAGGACCAAGTAATCTTCTGCTGTGCGCCATTGAATAGCAGACAGCGGGTATGGGTGACTTGGGAATATAAATAAACTATGATATGTGCGTGTGTAAGTCTGAAGGATTTATAAAACATATACGCTAGCATTGATTTACACTCTCTTTGCTTGACCACAAAAAAAAAAAGTGTTCGATTCTACTTACCAGCTCATTGAATCCACAGATATAAGTGCGACTGAGTTATCGCTAGCCACGGATACAACGCAGCCTCGTATCCGGGTCTCTGACTGCTCTGCTGGATCAATAAATGACTGTACTGGCAGCGCATGGACCGTAAAGGATACAATGTACTTTCCATCGCTACAATCCAATCAAGAAGTATCTTCTTTTAGCTGTTTGAAAAGAAAAAAAAAAAGTAAATTAAAGCCACACACGCTTACATGAGATTCCATATCTTGACAGCACCATCACGGCCACCCGAAAGTAGGTACTGGTGTTGGTGTGATTCATGCACAATCAAGCAAGTGACTGGACCCTTGTGAGCTCGCTCAAATACACGCACGCTCGAACGATGCTCCACATACTGCGATAGATCTGACAGATGCAACAACGCCAACGATAGCGGTATCACGCATATGGTTCCGTTCTCTACACACAGATTTTTAGTTTTGACTATCGTATTCCCTCACAGGTTCTATAGCTCTATTTATGTTTTTTTTTTTTTACCATAGCCTATAGCTAAATGGTTACTGCTGACGGGGATCGTTGCCGTAATACTTCCAAACTTGGGATCTTTTTTCTCCTTGATGGGCCAAATCGCATCGAACCTATTTACTTTTTTTTTTTTTCGTGTGTATCACGCACACACGCACACACACATATTACATCAAAATCATATCAAAAAAAAGAGAGAAAAGGGATGTCCCGACAATAATATACTTACAGGATATCATGTTCGCGTCTTCTTGTTCCGTTTTTGCATCCTCAAGGAGGGTATGGATCGTAAACGTAGAATGATCTGCATCGTTACAAAACGATACGACCGAATATCCTTCTTCCTCTACTGCTACCAAAGTATCATCGTTTTGCGTATTCCTGCGTACAATCGTGCTATGACATGCTCCTGGCATCATACAAGACGCTCTTTCTTTAAAGTCAAGTATTTATTAGCAAAGGAAACCATTCCTTGATCCCACCCCCCCCTCTTTTCTTTAGGAAAAAAGACGTGGCAATCGAATCATTGGAGAGTTATAGTATTTGACACTTACTGGTATCATGGAGTTTATAGCTTTGTAGCAGCGTTGCACTGAAAAAGTGTGAGTTTCCAAAGCAAGAAGAGAAAGAAAGATTTATGTTCTTGTCAGCCACCGGGAGCGAGGAACAACAGGTTTTTTCCTTTTTGAGCAAAATACCTGTAATACAATTGGGCTTCTTGTTCAGCCATGGCACCCGGCCGAACGCCTTCGGGTGGCTTTATAGAGTATTCAAAATAATCACCGTTCTATACCGACCCACCAACCCAGGAACCGACCGATGATTCAGCAAATGGAATTTTTCTTTTGTAAAAAAGCCAAAAAGTTACTTGACCATACAACTCACCTGCGCATAAAGTACAAGTTTATGTTTCCCACAAAACTCTGCTCCGATCCAACTCGTGTTTGCTTTGGCTGGTAACGTGATTTCAGGCACAAACCGATCATTACGCAGCACAAATATCTTTTTGTGGATAATAAACAATGGAAAGTTTTATCAGCGATCCAATGGTTTGAAAAGTGTAATAGGCAAGGTTATTTTAAAAAGGGAGAAAACAATCACCTACCACGACATTTCGACGTGTCACAGCCATGCATAATCCAGGAAACCAAGGACTACTCGCAATATCAATGACACTATCGGGTGTTTTCTCATGTTCTTTGACAAGTTGGGGTTGATTGACTTGCGTCCGATCCTTGTAGATGGCTTGTCGAGTGGGATCAAAGTCCCAGATATCCAATTTCCCATCCATTGTTATCGTAACCAGTCTTCCTCTTTGCGCAGCTTATTCATACATAGTTGAGAGTCAGCCACATGTATGAAGATGTTTTAAGGTAGTAGTGTACCTCTACCTGAGTCATAGAAATCCGAACACACGACCCAACTCGAATGCCCTCCCCATATCCTAACCACCTAATAAGAGGCAGAATAGTAGTAGTAGTAATAGTAGTAGTAATAGTAATAGTAATAGTAGTAGTAATAGTAGGGGGAGGACACGTCAGTATACACATTTGAACAAGAGCAGCGGCTTTGAGGGGGGCGGATATTACCTCCAATGTTGTTGAGTTCAATATGCATATTTCATTCGACTGCCCACTGCAAAAAAGATATCGATCCTTGAACTTGTTAAATAACAAAAGTCATGCGTTAAAAGACAATGTATCGCCGGAGGGGTTAAACAAAGTTGTTGGGATGAGATGTACCTGGCTAAAGATCTTTAGTTGCCGTGGTACACCGAGAAACCCCTTTGCATTGACGCCAAGACAACGGCCATCCGCGATATTCCATCGTGCAACTTCACTATAACAATGAACATCTCAGGGTTTTTTTTTTAAAAGAAGAAATAGACGCAGTGTTTTTTTTTTATAAAATAGACCCATCCATTGATTTTTTTTACCCGTCTTCAGACGCGCTTATAAGAATATCATTGTCCGTTTTAGTTTCTGCAGTAATAACACATAGTGCAGCAATAGGTGTCTTGTGACCAACAAGTAAAAGCTTGTGCTATAAAAGACAAAAGTAAAAAGCATAATGACGCGCAACCCCAATGAGCAAAAAACTTTGGGAACGAGAAGGAAAGCTGTGTGTGTTCGTCGTGTGTTTTATGCCAATCCCACCCCCCCCCCCTTTTTTTTGTCCCCGCCCCCTTGTCCGGGTCTCCCACTCACTTTTAAAAGATCGTTATGCATGGTATAAACCCAAATGTGTCCATCTTTTTGACCGGCAAAAACATGAGGGTAGCTTGATGTCAAGCATGTCGTGATTGGATTGCTGAAATTGTGCCATACTACGAGTGGCCAAGATATGGTTGATGTCATTGGCGAATTCAAAAGGTGGGTTCGGATGCCCCCCACGTTTACACACACACACACAAGAGGGAAGGGAATAAAAAAAAAAAAAAGAGTTAGCGTGTGTGGATTTCCCTCTATACCCCATTGACAATCCTATCCCGGGAACCCGTGTCGGACATTTGTGCTTTGTAGGAAAGCAGCAACAGCACTGTGTTTTTTCTTTTTCTTTTTATTAAGCTATACTTTTAAAAAAAGTTGTGCGTCTACAACGAGTGCGATATGTACAAAATGATGGTTATGTGAGTAGTATAAGTGAATGTAGTAAGGAGTGCTATGTGGCAGTAGTAGTAGTAGTAGTTGGTGATGGTGTTGGTATGACATGATACTAACTAGGTCCAATCATGATCTATGTTCGTCTTTTACAAGGCAGCATATGAAGCATGCGAGTATACTACAGGATCCTAAGTAAGAAAAAATAAACACTTCCAACAACAATGATAGTCATCATGAGTAATTGTCACTGTACCATCCTAGAAAACATGGATCCTTTGGAGAAGCAGAGACAGTGTTCTGGACAGTAACCGTCGCAGGAGGCGGCGTAGGATGGTAGTCCAGATCTGTTTTGTGGTATGTTAAAAGAAGAAGCGAATGGATCCATTCAGAGTGTAAACGTGTGTGCCTTGCCTTGGAGTGTCTTGCTCTTGCCGTTTGGTTTTGTGGGCTGAGGTGTGAGGAAACGATCGGGTTGCTGGATGGGTTTCTCGTCTGTCACCCGTGTTTCGTCTTTCATTGTAGGATTCTCGGCCTTGGGTTGAGCAGTGAGCACAGGTGAGAGGAGTTGGGGGGGGGGTTATATAAGAGACAAACAAAGAACCAAGAAAAAGAAAGAGAGAGAGAAAGAGAGGCTTATGTCTTTAGGGAAAAAGAGCACTGTTATATACGTGCTGATTGACGACAACATCAACCACAAAGGGCATCAAGACCTTTTATAGAGTGATGCATTAAACACATAAACATGTACTGTACACACGCCTTTCACGGGAGGACAACAGGACGGGGTGGTCCGTTGTCGGATCGGGATTTTCCGTTTCATCATTCTGTTCCTGTTTGGGGGCTATTGTAGCCTTACCGAAGCGTGTGTGTCTTACACAAAACAGCAACATTTGGGACATATCCAGCTGTTTATTATTGTAGTACGTACTCACCCTCGCTCTTTTGACTTATAGTAGTGAGAAACCCTCCCACCCATTTCTGTGCCCTGTGCCCGGGAGATATTGCAAAGCCACCGACCGTGTTTTCAAAGGTGCCTTTTCTAATATGCAGCCAGTCGATCCGAATGAGCCGGATGGATGTAATATGTGTCTCTCTGCTGTTGTAATGGGTCTCTTTTTGATTTAGAGTACAAAATAACCTGTTACCTCCCCAACCTATGTAATTTAGCGTTCAAACAGTAAAGGTTTCCCACAAATTCAGGGTTTTTGTTGTTGTTGTACGTACTCCTCATATATACACAAAACATGAGATCCGAGACGTCGTTCCCACCAGTGATTGTTAGTAAGAAAAAAATATACGTTTCGAAAAGTAAAACCTCCCCCCCCCCTTTCTGCAACAGAAAGAAAGTGGTCATGATCGTCATCACCACCCATCACAGATCCTCAACGCCGCCGTATAACATTTTAGTTTCTCACATGTGGAACGTGCATCATGTGGCGGTTTGCAATCCAAGTTATATAGATCGATGCTGTCAAAAAAAAAAAACAGTTTACATGTGAGAGTAAAGGGCGTAGTTTCAAAGATGATTGCCCCGTCAGTCCACAGTATTTACCAGTGTTAATTTTCGTTATTATTAAGAGAAATAAACTATGGTGAAAGTAAGGTGGTTTCGGAATGTAAAAGTACGATTATAGATTATTTTCAAAGGTAGAAAGAGAAGGTTATGCAAGAATATATATAGTAATAGCAATAGTAATAGTAATAATAATGATAATAGTAGTAAAAGTAAAAAGTAGTAGTAAAGAATAGTGATGATGATGGTGATAAAAAGAAGGAAAGACCCCGCTCATTTGGCCCTTCCAAGCTTATGGGTATGTGTATGATGAGCACGACCAGGAAGTGCTCCACCGGCACCACCTATTGCGCCTGCTCCACTCACGCCAGAGATATGGCTTGTGTTTTCAAACGAGTCAAAGGAGGAGCCGGTAGCCAGTCTCTGGAGGTGGTTGTTGTAGTTGCAGGATGGAGATGTCGGCGAGGCAACGAGTGGAGACGGAGGTGCCACCATGGAAGGACTCGTCCCGGCGGCAGGGTGATCGTTGCCATTCTTCTTGGCTCTTCGCACACCCACACTCAGTGCGTTTAGCCATGATTCAAGCTCCATTTCACTGCTTGCGCAGAGCACGTAGCTTCGTTTGGGAATAACAATCTTGAAGCAGTACTTTTTGTTTTTGCTGATAGGTTCGATCTCGAGCGAGTCAATAATGTGTGTGAGCGGGATAATGCGATGAGGAGCGTATTCCTATGGGGGGGGGGTTTTCTCCAGTTAGCAACAAAGAACCAAGTCTCCTCTTCAATTACCCTCCCTTCCTTCCCCAGCGTAATAGACATTATTATACCTTGTCATCCTCATAATAGGCTAGCGTGTCAGTTCGCAGCACAAACCACCGCTTTCTCCATCCCTGCGTATTTAAAAGAAAAAAAGGAGGGGAAGAGAGAGAGAAAATCGATTTTGGTGAGTAGGGAGTGCGAAAGAAAGGAGCCGGAGAAACTATTACAAGTACCTTATTTCGACCCAATTTCAGTAGATAGCCATCAATAAGCACTCTGTTTCGATTCTCTTCCTGCTGCACATTGGCCATGTCATCGGTCCAGCTGTATTCGTCGTCGTCTTCTGAACTTGCAAGGGCGTCGGCAACATGCATCTGGGCTTGGTGGTCAGAAACGGGGGACAGTGGATATGTCTGGCCCGTCGAGTAGGAGCCTAGCCCTTGTTCCAGACTACTGCTAGCCCCACCCGCGCTGATGCTTGTGTTGAGGTGGAAGGGTTCAGGGCGCTGGTGGTGGTGAAGATGGTTGTTGTTGTTGTTGTTGTTGTGCGTGGATGGTTTTGGAATGTCGACCGGAGGCACGTGCGCATGGCTAATCATATGTGTGGTATTACCACCACCACCAGCACCCACGCCAGATGGTCTTTGGTCCAGTTGAGAAGACAAGGAAGCAGGGCCACCGCCTGTTGTTGTTGATGATGGCCGTCGTCGCATCATACCCGATGACGAGTCTGCGCCTGAAGATCTTCGTCGTTGATGTTTTTGCTGCTGTTGCTGTTGCTGTTGCTGAGAGTGTTGTGATTTGTATGACGATATCACATCCTTGGCAAAGGCCTGATCACGCCCGACGGAGCTGGCATCGTCGTCGTCTGCACCGTACAGAGCAAGCTCCGCCTTGGCATGCTCAATAGCTGCAATCCAGCCATCCAATTCATGCTGGTTGTCCGCCTGCAGATAATACATGCGCTTCGGAGTGCTGATAGCAAACATGTACTTGTACTTGTTCCTTGATGTGACATGGACGACGCTGTGGATCTCGTGTAGGTCGATGATTCGTAAAAGCTTATATTCCTGAAAGGATTGGTTGGTTGTTGGGGGTTGACCAAACAAAGAAAGGGGAGTTGGATCAGGTGATATGCTCATGGGGGTTTTCCTTTCCCCTACCAAGCCGCGCGCCTTTTTTCTACTCTGTCTCTTGCACACACGCACACACACACACGCTCTGATTTTTCTACCTTGCTGTCTTTGTACATTGCCAACTTTGTCGTCCGCAGGACAAACCAACGCTTTTTCCAAGTCTATAGAAACAACCATTTTTTTTTTTTAGTTTTTCCTTGTCTGCTTTGCGTGGGGTGTAATACATCATAGGTAGTACAAGTATTGAAAAATTACCCTTCGCTTTTCGCCTTTCTTCAAAAGATAGCCAGACTGGATGGCCTTTTCAGTCTGTAAAAGCTCGAGCGCTTGACCCGAAATGGGTATTGCTGCAGGATCGTCGTCTTCTCCGTCCGAAAGATACTTGTTGAGTGAGTCTGGAGCATAATCGTCGTCTTCTTCGTCTTCGCTTAGCACAATGCGTGTGGCCTTTCCCATGGACACGGACATGGTTTCAGATGGAGGACTTTGCGAACGAGCCTAATGAGAGTCATTGAAAGAGAAAAGAGGGGGAAATGCAAGTTTTTTTTTTTTTTTTTTGTAGTGTGTTTGTGACAATTGAAAGAAAGTTGGAATGCGATGAGTGAACAATGTCCCCAACGTGCTCAGTTGGAATAGAACGAAAAACGTTCTTTCCGCTCCAACAAAGTATACAAAAGCAGCTGCTACTCACACTGGACTTGAGTATAGAGACAGGTTCGGTTCTTTGCTGGTGCTGTTGTTGTGGTGGTGGTAAAGTTGCCATTGTTTTGCCGTTATGAAATAATGAAATAAAAAAAAAAGAAGAGAAAGACAAAGGCTCTCTCTCTCTTGTGTGGTGTCCTAAAAAAAAAAAAGAGCATGTCATTACCAAATTCGATCCCCGCTTTGTGCGTGTGTAACCATGTTAGCAGAGGCCGATCACTTGTTGATGGTTGTGACATAATAAAAGACGAAACAGACGAGAGTTCCAGGGCGAGAACGCAGTATATAGATAGGTTCTTATTATTACCGCTGCTGAATTAAAAACTCACATATTGGATATATCCTCCAATGTTACTCGAGGCTATAGTCCGTACTATACGTTCCCCCCCCCCTCCACAATGGTTGGAAAGCATTGTCATGGGCATTTTGTTGGGTGGGGGGGTTGTTTACCAATGAAATAGCCAGTCGGGTTTCCCAGCCAATATAGTTGGGATCAACACAAACAAAAACGTGTCACTGTTTGTGCAAATAATAGAACATTCTTCTAATTACGATACAGCATCTCGCTTCTTTACAGCAGTAATAGCGAGTGCTGCTCGCAGCTGTTGCGGTTACACGAGGTTGGCAGTGCCATGGATCACTCTCTCTCTCTCTCTCTCTCTTTCATGTGGCTGGCCCTTGTGTAATGGACACAACACACAGCACGCCTTTTCCCCGTCCATACTCAGCTGAGAGGGATCATTGACTGCTATACATACCGAGTAGAAATATATCAGATCGAGTATGCTGTATGTGCTGGAAGTGTGGCGACTAGACGTGTGTATATAGCGTTGTACAGTAATAGCAGCAAGTCATAAGGCATCTTGAATTTAAACCATGGCTCCCTTATATGTCATGAAGATCACTTTTCAGACGTCATGTGGTATTCACCAGTCAAGAAAAGGCTAAAATCCCCTTCCAACGTGTGTATACAGACTCTTTTTTTCCCACTCCCAGCCCCGTTTTCATGCAGCAATATGGTACAAACAATTGCCAGGTGGCGAAAAGACGATGAAAATCGTCATTTATGTGAATTTCCTTAAAGAGTGTCGTCTTGCTTTTACAGCATAGCTTTTTTAGCGTAGATAAAAAAAAAAAGAGGCATACTATCTTGTATACACAGCTCACTTTTCCATAATGTATTACTATGTGTACAATCTATTCTTTTTTTTTTCGCTAATATCATAAGATACCTTTTACCCTCCAAGATCAAGTATAATCCGAACTTCTTATGGTACGGCCGCTCATTTAACCCACTCGTCGGCAACCACATTCGTGTGCTTATTTTTTTTTTCGTTGCGCCGCACTACTATCATAGAATCAACCAGTGCCGTCAAGGGCCTTTTGTCGTCGCTCGATTTTCTCCTTGAGCTCTTTTACAAACGTTTTTGTCGGTTCGAAAGCACGCTACCCTGTAACCTACTAAGGAGACTCTGGTCAATGCTATTGAGTACTTTTAAATCTACTAATATCGTTTACTTACTACATCTAGGCTTTTCTACACAAGTCAATGAAAGGCGGCATATCCACTTTTCTCTGTTGCCAAGCTCGACAGGAAACTCTTGTCCGCTGCTTCTTGTTCATCATGATAAAGACACGTGGCGCCTGTGTTGACATATCCCATGTCCAACTATTAGAGCAACTGTTGCAGTATATATACATGTATTGAATCACAGAAACACTCACCGAGACCGAGCGAAAAATGGACGTTGTTTAAAGGAGCTGAGAACCAGCTTATGATAAGTAAATTACGTCTGAATCAACGTGACGAAGCATACTTAAGGTGCCAAACATGATTTAGTGTTGATCTACTGTAAATTAAGCTTATGTTTTTTTCCGGCATTGAGGCTGCCGAACCCGTCTGAGACTTGGCAACAAGAGAAATATTAAGGCCAGAGTACAACTTGTGCTCACGTACATAATGCCATTGGCATTGTACTTGGTCGACCGACCCGTCTGCTTCTATTAAACTCGTATTTATACTTTCTTTGTCGCAGACAAGTAATTTACAACCCTGTACCTTTCGGCGTCGGCCGCCTGTGATATACATACTCAACGAGCTCAGCTGATTGTATGATTTGGCTGGCCAGAAAATTCGAACGACGTACACATTTGAACACTCCAAATCGCCACCAAAATATTCTAGATAATGGGCTTTTGTAATTCAAGTGCTGTCATAACAACAAGTAGTTATTAAGCATTTTAAAACGTTCTACAACATGGTGAATAGTACACAGGTCCATCCATGGTCATGTTGGAGAGCGACTCAAGGGGGTTGAATGGCATTTTGAATCACATTGAATGTTGTAGGTACTTTTTGTTATTGGACGTGTCGCCATCAGAGTGCTTAAAAGCCGGGACATGGCACCGTATACTTCTCTACTGGACTATATACTTAACTGATACTTCAATCAACACTATCATGATAGGATACATGGAGGATCAAAATTTACCAAAGCTGCATTAAATGTCGGGCGTTTCTTTTTGTCGGCCAGAAATCTCAATCCACAACGTCCAGACCCCGTAGGTTTCGTTGATCCTGTGCTTCTCCACTTTCCTCATCTTACTCATTGCTAGAACTTTTCTGTACCTTGTTTCCCATATCGCTTGACTTTTGCCCGTTCCTGAAGAAGGTTCGCCACCTTGACAAGCATTTTAAAAGAAAATTAGGTGACAACGCTCTAACAGTCCTCCGTTATGCAAAGATCTACAAGCAGATGTGCGTAAGGATCTGAAGTTTGATCTGGAGAAACACGCCCTTAGTTGTACATATAAGAAGCACTTTGCTCAAGAATAGTGTCATCACTTGACAAGGAAGAGTAATAACCAAGGATAATCTGTGATTCGCAGCATCAGTGTGGTAGATAACATTACTATTCTTTTTAGCTGACTTAAAGAAGATTTCTATCTATCACTACATGAGGTAAGGTAAGTGGACTATGGAACCCCTCCTTTCTCTTCTCTTCCATTCCTTCGGTTCAAAAAAACACTACCGTCATGCAATTTGCAATATAAGATCTGTTATTGCATTCTAGCTACGACTAAGCTGATTATTTAAATGGCATTTTCTTCAAAATCTAATGCAAGAAAAGCGTATCATAGTGACATCCTGCACTTGATCTCTGCCCTTCGCGGAAAAGTTTCTGGCTACCGTTGGCTTATCAACCAGCCGGGAGTGGGGAGCAAAACCTTCTTCCTCTTGGGCAATAGCAAGCATTGATAAATTTAATAAAACAAAGCCTAATGTAGCTTTTAAAGGTTTGATTCAAAGGTCAAAAGAAGAAAATGCTATCCGTTTAGTATCATCCGGGTATTTTCTGTTATTGTCACTCTAAATACATCATTTCGTCTATGGCCTTAAGAGAGATAAATGTTTTCATTTGAATTATTATAAATGCGTTATATCGAGCGATGACCTTGGTTCAAGTACTGCTTGCCATATACATGCATGAATCAATTCTGTTCTAACCACGGCTGCCTCGACAACAAGACCGAGGTGTTACCCTTTCAATTTATTTGCATGACTTTTTTTTATCAGGTTATTTGTTCGGGTTGCATTTATCCTTTCTTCTCAAGCACAACATCTCATGTTAGGCAATTATGTGGAATTTGGACTAGTATGTAATATGTGGTAGGGAGGAAGAGTGTAAGGATGGCACATTTGTTATTAAATCAAAGTACATAGTAAAGCTATAAAAAATGCGAAACATTGCTCACAAAATACCGGGAGGCTAGCTTGCCAGCGTCATCGCTGCCTTACATACTCGTTAAATACGGTGTAAATTTCCACTCCAGCATAATATTTGTTGGCAATCAGAGCATCATCAATACTTTACCTGAAAGCGGCTGTCTTTTGACCCCACTCACTCTTTCGGCTATTATATTGCTGTTGTGTCGATGTTGATCTTCCGTCGAGGATAATCCGACACATCGTACTCCCAGTGTACTTCATGTTGTCGCGCAGTCACTTGAATGCATATTTCAAGCATTTGTAAAAATACTTGATGAATGCAATGTCACGTCTCTGGTCCTTGCAACATCGTTTCACTGTAACTATTATACATAATAGCAAATCTGCTCCTGATACACAACGTCAGTGTTATTTTGCCTCGCAAAAGATGGCTAATAATTGCATTGCATAAAAAAGCAGTCTCACTTTGTGTCCACTATTGTTCAGTTATTATGAATTTATGCCATTGTTAAAGCCGATGAGCACAATAAGGATACTATAGAGTCTGTGTTCAGTATTCGTCTGTCGTTGAGCTTTACAATGCATGTTTTCATGTGTTGTATTCTAATTAGCAAAAGTGTGTATAGGCGCTGACATGTCTTTAAGTTTTCACTGTGTATACATGATTGTTTATGCAGGTCGCCTGAGAGCTCATTTTACCATTTGCGGTACGATGCATGCTTCAGCATAGGTAGCACCAAAGACTGTTACACAGTGTAGAAATTCACATTTGGGTTATCGATTATCGTGTAGATACTGAACTTTAATCATCACAACCGAACTATAAGAATCAAATCGCTACCTGCTTAACGGCAATGGCTAACGGGAAGAAGAGGAAGTAGTCCTGGCATAATACACATAGTCACCTTATCAACAAACAGGGCGTAAAAACGAAAAGGCTAGAGCGAAAAAATAATGCATTAAACGTGGGAAGGTTCAACGGATTTATATTTTTGCATTCTCTTGTTCTCTTCCCACCTGCGTTTTTCTTTTTTCTCTTCTTCTTTGGCACTTTATTACACCTTTCTTTTTTTGTTTTTTTGGAAACCACAGATCCAATTTCGCTATGGCTACACCAGCAGTTGATAATACACCTCGTGTACCGAGTGACATTGCGCGATCGCGCGTCGCCAACTTTTTGTCGGCCGGTAGCAACTTTTATACAATGGGCATCCATCGTGGGCTGTGGGTACACCGACACTCAGGTGCACCACATGTTGAGCTGAGCGTATATAGCGTCCCTGATCTCAAGGTAGTATTACTCTTGAAATAAAATCATTAGCGTCCACTTTAGAGTGGCGCAAAGAGAGTGACGAGGATTTGTCCAACTAACTTTTTGTTTTTTATAAAAAAATCTATTAGCGAGTCCCTTTCAAGGTACATACATATAGAAACAGTGTTTAATCAAATCAATATGAGTGTAAAAAGCACCCAAAGGGTTAGTCACATGCACCGATATTAAATCGGATGTGTAGGATGCAGTGTCACAAACATTTAAAAAAGTGGACCAACATGAACGCAATTATGGTCCGAGTTGGGCGACTCACTGGTTCAAAATCGCAACGACAATTCCCAATATTATGAACGGAAAAACTGTAGTATTTCAATGGGATATGGGTTGTGAAGGAATGGTATGGACGACCGATGGGATCCCTATGCAAGGTTTGACAGGAGGAGGTATGCAAAAAATAAAGCATTTTGTTTATTAACAAGTGTGGCGGTCCAATGATAAGATGATTAAAAAAAACTGTATGAAATAAAAATATTGTTAGATGGACAAGAACGACACGAGTACATTGTGACAAAGAAAGCCAAGGCGGGTGAACGCCATACATTTTACATTGAAGCAGCATGCAATGGAATGTTTGGTGTCGGAGATAGTGCCATGGTACCCGATCCGAATCGTTATTTCTCAATCAAAACAGCCGATCTTGTTGTCCCAGACTACGAAGTGCAGGATTTGTATTATGACCTGGAGTAAGTATCATGTGCTTAAGCCTTGCATGAATTTTATAGGAAAAAGGCATAGTTGCTGACTAGTCATTGTATAAAATAGCATTATCAAAGGCATTGCCTATGACACGCAGAACGAAAGTCCACGTGCTCGTGAAGCCGTGTGGGTGATCAACGAAGTGATCAATCAGTTTATTCTCAAAGACCGTGGGTCAATCAAGCGTTGCAAAGCCCTCACATCTGAATTTCTATCTGTTCGTAACGGTCAGCCAAAGGGTCAGCATCAAATCACGGCAATTGGCAATTGCCATATAGGTCAGTTGCTATTTCAATAATGTACCCTCTTTTGTGTTGTGCGTACCTAGTATAACAAGTAGGCGAATGATGATTGATTAGACACGGCTTGGCTCTGGCCTTATGACGAAACAAAACGCAAAATTGCAAGATCGTGGTCTACACAAGTCGACTTGATGGATCGCTATCCGGGATACATTTTTACAGGTTCGCAGGTAATGGACTACCATGGTGACTTAGGCGTCTTTGGGCAATTCATGCATTGCAACCTCGTGTGATCACAATCCCTGGATCTCTAATTGGATCGAACTGTCTTTTGCTTTTTTAGACCCAACAATACGAATGGTTGAGCGAACTTTATCCATCCGTTTTTGAAAAGATCAAAGAAAAGGAAAAAGTCGGCCAATGGGAAATTATAGGAGGAGTAAGTTGGATAATATAGATACTTTTTCAAGGGCTGTTATCTAATCGTTATATTAAACCTGATTATGTTACTATTATAGAGCTGGGTTGAGCATGGTATGTCTTGAATATATTTGGTAGACATGAATCATCACACATCTGCTGTTGCTAAGGAGTTTATTCAGACACAAACATGCCTAGTGGTGAGTCGCTGTGTCGACAAATGGTTCTCGGGTAAGTACCAAGTCACGTTCTCAATACTATGTGTTAAAAAACGAGCGCTATGACATATCCTTGACAATTACTATATCTAAATTAGACAACGTTATTTTGAGAAACATTTTGGAAAACGCGCCAAAATTTTCTGGCTTCCAGATTCATTCGGTAGGATTGAAAATTTAAAGAGACCACTCAATGATGCTCTTGTCTTACTGATACTTTCTTGTTTATTGTATCGCCACAGGCTATTCCTCGCAGGTACCTACATAATACTGGAATTAATACTATTTATACTGTCAGAAAAATATGCTTATATATCGTTACACTTGGAATACGGACAATAGCTTCCTCAAGTCCTCAAGCTCTCCGGTTGTGATTACTTTTTTACCCAAAAGCTATCATGGAATAACATCAACAAGTTTCCACTCACCACATTTTGGTGGACTGGTATTGATGGAACAAACATCTTATCTCATTTGACACCAGCAGACACGTATGTAGTTATTAATTTGGTTCGAGACGTTATGTCAGTTAAAAGTTCATTCATTCATATGAATTTTTATTAGGTATGGCGCTTCTGTTACTGTTGCTGAGCTGACAAAATGGTAAACAAAGCAGCACATAGCTTGAAGAAAATTGAAATCGTATTTAAGGAAAAAGAGAAAGGAGAGAGATTCCGTATAACGCATTGTGGTTTTTTTCTATCTAGCACGAAAAATAACCATGACCTTGAATACTCGAATGAAAGCTTGCTCTGTTATGGGTAAGTATAGCATTGGTGTTTTTGTATTCCTCTTGAATACTGCAAAGATAACTGAGAGCTCGACTTTATCAAATGCTAGACATGGCGATGGTGGTGGTGGACCTACTCCAGAAATGCTTGAGCGATTGTCTCGCTTGAAGGATGTGGTGAGTGATTTAAAATAAAAGTATGCATGAGCAAATAAGGGAGCTACACCCACCCTAACATTGCTTTATGAAATCTAGGATGGGCTTCCGATGGTTAAATCCGGCAAGGTGCTCGACTTTTTCCAAGGGATTGAAAAGCATTCTCGTGGTCTGCAATCATACAATGGAGAACTGGTAATGATACACAGTAAAAATTTTGCATAAGAGGCTTTTCACAGCAAGGGCTGACTGATAGCATTTTTTCATTTCTGTCACTATAAAAAGTATCTCGAATTCCATCGTGGAACGTACACCACTCAAGCACTTGTGAAACGTGGTAACCGTATATCTGAATTTTTGATTCGAGACGTCGAGATCTTGAGTACCATGGCAACAATATTAGCAAAATCTAGCAATAAGAAGGCGGAGGACAGTTATGCGTAAGTGATCCTCATGATATAGCACTTTGAAAAGCTGTACTAATGACAGATCCGGTTGTAAAATAACGATAGCTATCCGATCAACGATTTGGAGTGGATGTGGAAACTTTTATGTTTGAATCAATTCCACGACTGTTTGCCAGGATCGGCCATTGGTCTTGCCTTTAAGGACGTTCACAAGGTACTAAAATATATAAGAAGACAAACAACTACTACGACAGTTATTTAGTGGGTGAATATGATTCTTTTATTTTTTTAAAAAAAACAATCTATATGTATACAGCATCATCGCGAAATCATATCCGCATCACTGTCGTTGCGCCACAAAGCCCAGTCTGCTATTATTGATCTTCGAGCTCTTTCTGATGACGATAAAATACAAGAAGGTAAATCATTCAAAAGACGTTTTTTCTTTTTGATATTTATTAGTCATGACACGTAGGTTTGGTTGCGTTCAACACGGTACCTTGGGAAAGAACTGAGGTAATCGAAGTACCTCGTGGTAAGACAAGTTGGACCGGACAACAATGGAGTCGTGATGATCATGAATACGTGCTAGGTATTTGCTCTTCGCTATATCTCCTTTACAAAAAAAAAACCATCAAAACTTACCTTTTGGTAGTGCGAAGCGTTCCAGGCCTTGGTGCAGCGGGATATGTGGCACACACACCAGACATTCCTACCATCGATGCGGAAATTGGTGCAAAAGGTAGCTATTTCGTGTCGTTTGAAATATGGAAAAGAGAAACTCACCACTCTTGGTTATTTTAATAAGCTTACAAGGACGATGATGGTGGTTATTTTATCCTGGAAAACCAAAATTTGAAGGCAACCTTTAATCATGATGGACAGCTTGTACACTTGGTGGATAAGAAGGAGCCAGAAAGGTAATGTGATTTGTTCGATTAATTGATGAGGATCATGTATAAAAAATAGCTAAATGCCGTCAATATATGATAGACAACTTATTCCCAATGGAGCCAGGGGAAATGTTCTCAAGCTTTACGAGGATGTGGTAAGTTACATTTACGGGGCTATATACAAAGATGAAGGTATCCAATATTAACCAACTTTGCTTATAATGCTCACCAATAGCCCATTTACTGGGATGCATGGGATGGTATGTATTCACGATAACCAGCGAGTCCCGCATAACGAGAAACACTGGACTAATAGCCACCGTTATATTTGCTTCTTATTATTTTTTCACAGTTGAGATTTACCACTTGCAAAAGTGGAAACCTATCGAAGGTGAAGCCAGTATCAAGGTACGGTTCATACAGCAGTCGATTGTATCAAACGGAACTTCTAACACATGTTTGGGGCACATAGATTGTTTCCGAGGGTCCATTGAAAGCCGAGCTTCACTTCCGTCAAACAATATCTGACAAGTCGTGGATCGAGCAAACGATTAGCCTGACCTGTTTGTCTGAGCGCCTAGAGTTCAGCAATTTTGTTGACTGGCACGAAGCACATCAATTTCTGGTAATCATTCTTACAAAAAAAGAAAGAAGAATCAATGCCTATTCACTCATGATGAACTGCTATTAGAAAGTGGAATTTGTTTGGGACCTAGTGAGCGATTATGTAAGTGTTAATTTCTTGCATATAGAGATTTTATGGAGAATGGAGAGTTTTATATTGATTTCATCATTTGCTATTATTCGTAGGCCACCTATGAGATTCAATACGGCGTTTTGCGACGACCCACTCATTACAACACAACCGTGGATTCAGCAAAGTTCGAAGTGTGTGGACACAAGTTTGCCGATTTATCTGAAGCCAACTATGGTGTCGCATTGATGAACAATTGCAAATACGGATACGCGACCCATGGAAACACACAGCGACTTTCGCTCTTGCGTTCACCAAAAGGGCCAGATGAAAACGCCGATATGGGTGAGCACAAGTTCAAGTACGCAATCTATCCGCACCAAGGACACTTTAACGCTTCCAATGTCGTTCGCGAGGCTATTGATTTTAACGTCCCTCTGTCGCTTCGGTAATATTTATGCTACATGATGCCGTACCTTTCGACAAAAATTGCTGCTGCAAATTCTAAAATTCTGGCTTTTCTTCGTTCGTAGTTATGCGGAAGATCAGAGAGTTAGATCTGGCACAGTCTTGCGGCCTTTGTTCCAAGTGGATCCTCCCACTCAAATCATTCTCGATACCATTAAACCCGCAGAAGACGATCAGGGCAAAGGCAAAGTGCTGGTGCTACGCTTGTATGAAGCATATGGTGGAAAGGCCACTGCACTACTTAAGAGGTAACGTAATCACTGGAAAAAGTGTGCTCAGAAGAAAACATGATACTAATTGAGCTGGAAATAGCCGTTTGAGTATCAAACGTATCCTTGTGACAAACGTGCTCGAAGATGATTCGGACCAGGAACTACCCCGCGCTGATGAAGCTGGTTCGTTTAAGCTCGCTTTGCGTCCTTTCCAAATTTTAACCTTGAAGGTGCAATTGTCGGCGTAAAGTCTAGTATGGATTATGTGACGATCCAAAAATAGCCGCATCATCTTATTTCAACTGAAGAGCTAGGATACTTTACTATTATGAAGTAAAAGTTGCATTGCTCATCATGCTGTGTCTTTCTGATGTAATATATGGTGGTGTATATGTCAGTTTTTTGCTTACGTAAATGTTAGTTTTTTGGTGCTCAAGAGACTCATTAGTAACGGGAGCTTGGGGTTTATGAAGCGCCCTTTGCATCCAATAACAGACTGCAGCAACATTGATGACAAAGAGCTTCTTTTCGAAAGCCATGGAAAACCCGCACGAATTTATACATTTAAGGGATGATAACGTAATCCATTTTAATCTCTTTTTTTTTCATACTACTTAGTTCCCATTATATTGTATTACCATGTCTACTACCGAAGAACCAGTCGTCAATTTCAAAGTACAGTTCAAGACGCAATCGCTCGATATCCAACAGTGGAGCCCTGATATCACCGTCCGAGAACTCAAATCACACCTTCAAAACGTAACTGGCATACCGATCGATCATCAAAAACTAGTGCATAACGGCAAAATCTTGAGAAATGACGACGATACGATTGCACAATTCAACGAGGTCAAATTAATGTTGATTGGTACTCCCACCGAGCAAGTTAAAGAAATTGCCAAGCTCGATGACCGCTTAAATCGTCGACAAGTGATCAAGCCGAGTCGACCAGTGAAACGATCTGTCCAAAGCACGACGTCGAGTCAGTATACCTTTCATCGCATCACAGTCATTGACGAATTCCCACAGCCAGAGCAGGCACGGAAGTTGCTCGAGCGATTGAGAGATGACCGAGGGGTGAGTAGACAAAATTGAAGAGAGAGAGACAAAGGAGACGGATAAACTAATACTACAGCCTCGTATCAAGATTAGAGCTATTATGCAGCAACGCAAATGGTCAGTTGGAGAACTGACTGAATTAACGCCGTTCGAGGCAACGATTCTCGGATACAACAGAAATGCAGGTCAATTAATAGCCATCCGTCTTCGCACCGACGATTTATCAGGTTTTCGGCATTATGACAGTATACGAAAAGTCTTACTGCATGAACTCACGCATAATGTATGGAGCGACCACGACGACAATTTTCGTGCCCTGAACCGCCAGCTCAATAAGGATGTCATAGCACTCGACTGGACAGCACATGGCGCACAAGCATTATCCTCCGGATCCAAATTCCATCAACCTGTTGATGAGGATTATGATGATGAGATAACGGGGGTATCATGGGAAGGTGGAAGCTATCGACTCGGTGGTGGAGGTGGCAAGAGCGTACAGAATAGTGATGTTGCATTACAAAGGGAGCTACGAGCTAGAGCTGCTGCAACACGTTTGACGAAACAAGAAGAGCAAGAGCTTGACGAAGGATGTGGTAGCAGTAAATAGTCTCAATTCATTGATCTTCTTCACTATCTCCTCCACGACTATATTTACCCTTGACTCGATCCGTTGACCCGTTGTGACCCGTTTATACATATAATATGTATGAGGTACTTGTATTCAAGTAGTCAATATTCTTGTTGGGAAGCATCATTATATTATAGGATGTAGTTGTCAATATGTCTGCTATAGAACTATAACATATAACGTACTTATATTCTTTTTATTGTGGGATTATCTTTATATTCAAGAGTAAAGGATAAGTAAGCTATAGCAATATATGTAAAAGGAGTAAAGAAGCAGCAATAGTACAATGAGAACGGACAATAGAGGGTGGCAATAAGAGACGAGGTTTGACAAAAGACTGAAAAGGAATTGAGAAAAGAAAAACGAAGGAAGAAGGAATAAGCGATAAGAAAAGGAAAAAGGAAAAGGATTAGGGGCATATGGGGAAGTCGATTTTCAACCACACTTAAACCATTCTGCTTTCTTTAATACATGTGAGCCCAAGCCGACTCTTCTTTGATGGCACAAAACCCTTTGCCTTTAAGAATAATCACACAAAACGTAGATGTTGCTAGCACTGCTGACAATTGGTTTGTCAAAGTTGACAGACTCTGATAGACTCGCTGAGATTATATGTGAGTCCGCTAGCAAAAGCTGGTCCGCTTGCAAAAGTTGGACTCGCCCAAAAAAAAATAATTGGGGAAAATTTAGCGAGTAAGCTGGACTTGCTTCAGATGCTATATTATTGTCATTTTCTTTTTTTTGTGTAAAAAGTGGGGAACGAATGGGAAAAGAAACTGATCATTCTTAAAAGAACTTTCAGCTCCCCACTCCTACTTCGAAAAGTAGAAGCACGATGTCAACCCGGCGATAGCTCGAAGGCCCCCGACACAGCTGGAATACCACTGCTGGCTTTATTCACCGCATCCAATTCGTTGAGAAACTTTTTTTTCGCAGCGAATGGCACAATTTATGGGCAACGTCCGCTATTGAAGCGACTTGTGGGTCAATTTTCAAATTTCGCTTGCATCGCTTTAACCCCAATAGAGGCCCTTCCTGTCATGACTATTCGTTGACCTCTACTCAATCCCTCAACAACTTTATCGTCAATCATCACCCAACTTATCAACCTTCATAAATATAAATGTAATCACTCGACTTGTTCCTTGTTCCTTTCTCATCATCTGGTCTCCTTGACCTTCCGATATTCTTCTTGCCTTGACCTAGATTCATCTCTCCTCTGTCTTTGGCTTGTCTTGTTTTGTCGTCGCTTCCGGCTCACTTTATGACGCATGCCCGTAACACTAATTCAAGTGCCCGTGTATGATCCAGCCTTCGGATAAAGCTCTTCCAAGTGCATGTCAACTGCAAGATTGTGTGAGAAACAATGAGTCTGTTTGTAAGGGATTCTCTCACTCTGTAACCTTTAACTACCAAGAATAACTTTACCACAATACAAGCCTTTTTTTATTAGTATATGTACAATATCAAAACTGACAATTACGTTAAACACACAATCTGAAACCTGGTTGAAAAACTAGGGCACATCGGTGTGCTTCTATGGGTAAATCTATCATAAGCGTTGGCTATCCAATTTGTCACTGGGGATTCTGCGAGATCATTGTTCTTCATAGGCAAGAAGTTTTTACCAGACAGCAGTGAGAGGTCGAACCTACGACCGTTTGAGCATGCTCAGAAAGGCTTCCCGAAATGGTGTGGAAATTCTTTCACAGTTTTGCGCTAGCCTTGTTAGGGTCGTCCATCGTCTCTTCATTTGGTGTATCTTTATCTATTATGTATGTGAAGAAAAGGTTAATCCGGCCCGGTAAATGTATTTGACAGCAGGCAATGTACAATGTGAATTATGTGATTCAACATCAGAATCAAGTAGTGTAGAATATGTCGATACGGCCAGGTATATGTATCGGACAATAGGCTACATAAAGTACATGACCGTTAGAGTGACAATTTTCTTGAGTGTTGGTTAATCCGTGTAACATCAAGATCTGTTTGGATAAAGAATCTGTACATGGCAGTTTGACCTAGCTTTCGTTAACTTTCACAATCCCTGGTTTCCATGAATTTGAAGAATGAAATTTTAGGGGAACCACTGTATAAATGTATGGGACAACAAACGATTCAACAGTAAAAATGCATAAAAGGTTATGCTGCTGCTGCATGGAAAATTTTATTATAATATGTTATACAGTATCACCGACGATTACATTGCTCAGAGAAACATTCGCATAATAATACTTCACTTTTTCTCAAAAGCTTCACTCAGTTGATTGGTAATCATGGCCATGGTTTGTTCATACGCCGGTGTATCAACAGGAACAGTAGCATATCCATGAACTGTTTTTAAGCACATACAAGAAGGAACCATGAGTAATCACAATCCACCACTGTAGTAGTAAGGTAACAAAGAGAAGAAGCATGCTTCAACATAGAGTATAATACGTACTTGCGCCAATGACCCGAACAGTGGCATTAGGTACTCCAGCATTGGTCAATCGACGAGCATAGTCTTCACCTTCATCACGCAAAATGTCTGCTTCTGCGGTGAAAATTAGAGCTGGTGGGAGTCCTTGAAGCTCCTCGGTGGTCGCCAACATTGGGAATCCGATCTTTGTCTTCTCACAGTCATTCCAATACGCCTTATCAAAGAATATAGCGTCTTCGTTTTTCAAATAGTAGTCGCCGCCGCCAAAAAGCTTTGCAGATTCGTACTTGTCGCGCGAAGCTGCTGTCGCGGGATAAAGTAATATCTGAGCTTTGATAGCGCTTGGTAGACCACGTTCTTTGGCCATCACTAAGAACGGTAAAAGTGTCCTTCTTTAGCTTTGCATTTTGTCACTTTTGTCTTTTCAATCTTTCGTATCCTTAATATACATAGTAATGCATACATGGAATGACTGCAGATAGATTGCCTCCTGCTGAGTCGTCGCAGACAGCAAGACGGCTTACGTCAACATTTATGGAGTCGCCATTTTCAACAACCCAAGAGAGCGCTGCAAATGCGTTTTCATGAGCTGCGGGATACTTGGACTCTGGAGCGAGTGGGTAGTCAACGAATACAACCGCTACATTGTTCCTCACACAAATCTGGTTGTAGGAGCCAGCCATTAGTATTCCTCTTGTGATATCCAATAGAAGCGGTGTGTAATCATACATGTGAATTTTCCATTTCTTTAAAGTACGAACTTACATCTTTAACTAGTTTGCCATGAGTATATTTGCTACCGAAAACCCAACCGCCGCCGTGACTTTTGAATTGATGTCAAAAAGAAACAGGTTTAGTATTGTTAAACCTCCCTAAGAAGAGGATATTGAAGGTCAATAAGAATGTATGAACTCACTAGAATACGACAGCAGGGAGAATAACTACATACCGTCATCCTATCTAATTTGCACGCTAAGATTTCAAAAGTGCTGTCGGGTCTGACTGGGGATCTAACATTGGCAACTGGATGGCTAGAAACTGCTCGGACCGCTGCAAGGAATTCCATAGCGTTATGCCGCTTTGTTTACCACCCTCACCAACAAACACGCTATCGCTTTTATGGACGCACCCGCTTCACGTAATTAAGTATTATGCAAGCATAATATTGGGCATCGAAGCCGTATATGGCAATGGGTTTGAAGCCGAAGAACTGGCATTTGCCGGTGTGCAAAGCGATCCTGAATCAGGTTACCGTGCTATCCACGGCACCCGTCCTTATTCATTAGCGTATGGCCTAGTGATAGCCCTGTAGGTCTCTTGGGTATGTTAAAATCTGTATTATACTACCGCTGTTGGTTAATGTTGTAAAACTGCATATTCTAACTTGTCACCCCTAACTCATTTTGCTAACATAGCATGGATGCTTGAAAAGTTCATAATTGGACTGATCATGGCGGTATACATGACATCGAGTCGTTACCAGATACCATTTCTGTTGATGAATTCTTGACGATGGTGACCATTTATTGGCTACAAATTCCATGTCTTCATCCATACGTGTATACTATGAGGCCTTCCACGAGGATGAGACCATGTCAACATGCATGGGTCGCGTCAATATCCCTACTGCGATCATCCAATTTCCTGCTGAGCTTGCAAAGGTACATATAGCTATTAGTATTAAATCATTCCCAAATGCACCACGATCTTTGTGCTAATGGGTCAATTCTTTTCATGTGCTAAAACACAGTTTCCCAGAGACTGGCGGAAACGAGTGTAAACTTACAACAGTATAATGAACCGGATGTGGTAACAACTTGTGCTTTTTCTTATACTTCATTCATTATACATATACGGAATCCTAACGACTGGATCGTGTGTTTTTTGTAGGGAGGCCACTTTCCGGCCTTGGAGACAGATCAATTACTATTGGATGATCTTCAGCGCTTTGGGAAACTGTTAAGAACCAAAAAGTGGATCAACTGATATGCATGGTGAACTATCATAATACTCGCTTGTATACCTGCTCAATGGGCACGCATCGACCAAATTATATCATATCATTGTACGCAATGAGCTTAACTATTGCCAATATATCTTCAAAAAATGTGATTTGTTATTTCGCTCAATTATAATGATACGGAGTGTAGGAACGAAGGGATTGAATAGAGTCCTTATCCAAACTCACATTGTTATTTCTATTACCCACTACCACCGAACCGGTTATTCATATCATAATACAACCTTTAATCCACAACAATGCGAGCTTCCAATTCAGCAAATTCCTCAAAGAAGACCTGGATGGAATATTATCGACGAATTAGCTCTTGAATCCGAGATCTTTAAATCTATTTGATAACATCCAGCAAAACAAAAAGAAGGCAATACCTGCAACAGATCGATTCCGTGCTTGACATCGTCGGTACCACCGACTTCACGGATCGAATGCATGCTGAGTTGAGGGTTACCCACATCTATCGAACCGCGACAACCAGCAAAAGCATAGTCAATATCAAGATACGTATATCCAACCCATTGATTGTCTGACTTACCAACTGTGCGAAGTCCAAGCTTTGCACTAAGCATTGGGCCGATTGTCGAGCCACAAGGGCTATCATTACGAACAACAAATTCCTTTTAAACCAATATATTTATCAGCTCCTGGTATCACTTTGGCCACAGTAGCCAACGCAAAGACAAAAACCTACCTGAATTGGGATCACATGCTTCTTTGCCAGCTCTTTCAAAACCAAACTGGTGACTGCAGTCGTAGCATATCTCTATTGTATTGCTGACATCTCTTGTGCGAGCCATTTTCACAGTTCTATGAGCATAGTTACCTGGTTTGCGTTGATCTTAATAACAGTACCCTTGTGCATGTGTGGTCGGTGGTTTTCTTCGTGTTTTCGGGGTAGTTGGGATGAATGGCATGTACCATATCTGCACTGATGAGGATACTCTTGTGCATGGCCTCTTCAAAGGCAGTGGGCGATACTTTTGCGCCAGATAACAGTTCAGTGTTGGCCAAGCGCTGCAAGGTGGTTGGCAAAGGATTCGAGTCAGCACCGTGGGCGGTGGTGCTGCCAATCTTGTCATTGTCAAAGCAAACGGTCACACGGACGTTGGTATCGTTCTCAATGTTCTAAGATTGCAGCAATGCTCGGATAGCGCAGTAGCTCATTTTTTGGTTGTCAAGACGAGGTGAGAAAATGAACTCGTTGCATACGCCACCAATTGTTGAAACCTGTATATTTATATCCAAAGTTATCAGCAAAACATCAATTACTGTTCTCTCTCGCTCTACTGTCTAGCTGTTTTTTTTACCTGAGTATCATACAGAACCAATTCGAAATCGCGAATTTGGCTTGCTATTAGAGTTAGCATATGTCAGTAAGAGGACATATAGGTCAACCATAACACAGTTATTCTAACCACAATATAAAGATAATACTACTAACGTTTGACGCCCATTTCGTCGGCAAGTACACGAATCAACAAGGGGTGGTGGCCTTCTTCTGCTTCAATATGTTCGTCACTTTCAGTCTTGTTCAACTCTCTAACAGATGAGAATATGTAATTTTTGAGTATGTGTATACAAGAATGAGGATATATCTATTGTATATAAGGGAAAGAGGTGACATTTACGCTTTGGTGGCAGTAGCAAGAATTGGTGCAAGCTGGACTTCCTTGTTGAACGTGAACTACGGATAGTAAATGTGTTCATTTTCATTAAATAGAGTTTACTTCCATTTTCTAATTCGCCAGCACATTAATATACTTACACTGTCGTTGGCATTACGATCCAAGTGGATTGCAAGTGTGGGAATACGCAAAAGAGGTCTAGGCACCCCAAAGTACATTAATTAAACAATGTACCTTCTCTATTACACTAACTCAAAAAAATCATCCTTTTACCTACCTGTCCACTTTAACCACTGTGTGACGGTATTTGCCATTGTTGTCTTCGACCATGACGCATCCAGCAACGCCCAAATCACGATCCATGCGTGCCTGATCGATAAACCCATACTTGTTAGGTATCCGAGTCGCAATGATTACTATTTTCTTATGTCCCTTACCAGATACCACCACCGTAAAGCTGGACACCGACTTCCAGATAACCACTCTTTTCCTTTTTAGAGATAGGTTTGACCTATTGTGCATAACAGTATGGAACATGAATAAACACTTCGATCCAACAAGAAGCTTCCCCTTCTTTCTTGTAATCATTTACCTTTAAGCAAGGAGAATCAGTATGCGCGCCCACAATAGTAGACCCGTTACCAGGAACGTATTTGCCACCGACAACAAAAGCAACGATCGACGAGCCGTTTCGAGTAAAATAGTATTTGCCATTGCGTTCAATAGCACCATTCCAGTTGTCACGTTCCTTGATCTCTGTGAAACCTGCCTACATTTACCCCCAACTCCGTACGTAAGGACCAACTTCTGACTGTTGTACTATTCATATTTGCAAAAGAGGTGTGTATACCTGTTTCAGCAGCTCAGCAGCTCCATGAGTGCAGTGGAAGGGCGATGGCGACTTGTTGACGAAATCCACAAAGTCGCGTGCTGGATGTAACAGTGTTCTAATACTTTAAAACCATGCATAAAATCCGAGAAGTGTGAAAGAAAAGTAGAGGGTGACATACCTTCTTGAGGAATAGAAGGATTGAACTATACATTACAATTTGCGATAAAAGCTAACTTAATGTATTACACTTTGATAGCAGCAATAATCGTTTAATGAGCTAGCTTTACCATGATTCTTGTGGAAACGTACGTGAGAGATTACATTAAAAAAAAGAAGCTTGCGTGTGTAGTACATGTATGCGCGAAAACAGACGGACGAAAGTTTCCCCTGACGGAATTGACGGTCATTCCGCTGTCAGGTGGGACAGGGCTGAACCTGTTTACCAGAAAAGAAACAAGTTGCCTAAAACGATGGTCAGCCTTCATTTGACGTTGATACACGTCTAACTATTACACCCGAGAAGATCAGTCAGTATCAATCTATTTAAGAGCTCTCAGGAACGTATCTCAATAGTGGGATTCCAGTGTATAAGGCAGTAATAATACGTGAGTAGAGACCGCGAAAAAAAATGAACAACTTTATTCTTCTTTGTAAAGATAGCCAGGTAAGAAAAAGAAAGGTTAATACTGCTACTGCTGCTAAGGAGAAGGGGAACAATGACAGCCAAAACTGCTGCTGCTATCGCTACTTTAAGTATTCCATCGTCTTCAAAAATTTGCCAAATCGTTGCACCTCATCCACCAGCAACGCTCCACACTCCAAGGCCGGAAAATGACCTCCCTAAAGATAGCAGAGAGTGAGCAAGAGAATACCATAGTGAAGCAAAAGCATATATGTACATACCATGTCGAGTTCGTTGTATTGCTGCAAATTGAAGTTTGCTTCAAGCCATTCGCGAGGGACCTACATAGTAAGATTCAGTCACCGTGCTGTCAGCTTGTTTGTTTCATGACAATCGCACCATCTTTTATAAAGTAATACCTTGCTTAGATCAGCAGGGAAGCAGGACACTGCACTCGGGATGTTGACGTAAAGCGGGAACACCGCCTTCACTCCTGCATCATTGAAGGTTTCATAGTAGAAACGGATCGACGAGGAAATCGAATTTGTCAGCCAGAAGAGAGTGACTTGAGTGAGGAACTCGTCGGTGGTGATGGTGTCTGGCAACACGACACTGTCATCCTTGTTTTCAGGATATGACCAATTGTGGTACTTTTCGAGTAGCCAAGCTAAGTATTTATTGTGGCAGTTAGTGGGGAAAATGATCAATTACTGATGATAGATGGGGTTATGATGCATTTACCCAAAAGGCCCACTGGACTGTCAGTCAAACCATATGCTAAAGTGTACGGTCGTGTACTCTGGATGGCACAGTAACCAAGTTCAGGATCATTTTCAACGTCGACAAACGATCGGCCCTTGATTTTGGAAGAACCACGACCATAGACTGTGTCCATACCGAGAGCGATGCTAGCCATAAACTTTGCCACCTTGAGTGGGTGGGACCATAGAAAACCGGGCGTTGGGATGGGTGGCATACATCCGGACGTGGCCGTGTGGAATCCCTTGCACTGCTGAGGATGCTTGACAGCGAGCCATTTGCCGACCATGGTGCCAAAGTCGGATCCGTGAACCACTTGAACAGATATGGGTATACATTTATCAGCACATGCTCTTGGTATTGCATCCAACGAAACGGTCATATTTACTGTATTCATCGTAACCGAGTACTGATGTCATGAGCTTGTGAAAGATTTCACCGCTCTTTGAGCCACCGTGGCCGGGAAGTTTGGGTGCTTCTGAAAAGCCAAAGAACTTTGGATTTCCGCGCGGTAGTGATGCCACTTGTTCATTTCGGCACGCGCCTTTTCCCAGTTGTAGTCGTTGAGCCAGGCTTGAACGAGAGGCTCAACAGCTCGTCGAGGTGCACCATACTTCCAGCCGACATTCTTTTCGAGCTCGTTCGGATACTCAACGTTCTGTAGCTTTTCTTTGAGCGAAGCAAGACGCTGAGGTGGAATGGACGGGATTTCAAAAGGTTCGATGCTAGACATGGGTCTTGTCTTATTCGTGTTGTGTGTGTGTGTGTCGACACAGAGAAGGAAAAAGGGCGTGTGTGAAAAAGAAAGAAAGAAAGAAAGGATCATTGCTTCATGCAAACCGAGCTGATATAAATAGATAACACACAAACCGCGTGGTGGACCGGAAGGGTTAAAAAGAGTACGCTATCAGCAACGGGTTGCCATGGTAACGAAGTCGCACGAACGCCGCAGCAGTCTGTTTAGGTAAATCTTACGCAGGGCTGCGGTGATGAATCCATTGATCAAAGACAGGTTCTTTTACATCACCACAAGGCAGCGGCATCAGTCATTTTTTTTATCAGAAAAACAACCCGTACGAAAATCCTCCTGCTCTTTTAATGTGCTCATCGTTCTTTCTTGGATCACAAGCACTGTGTGTAACAGGATCGACATGCTTCCTTATTCGGCACATTGTCGCGAGAGCATCTTTCACTGGTGCTTAGGGGCATATAGGGAAGTCGATTTTCAACCACACTTAAACCATTCTGCTTTCTTTAATACATGTGAGCCCAAGCCGACTCTTCTTTGATGGCACAAAACCCTTTGCCTTTAAGAATAATCACACAAAACGTAGATGTTGCTAGCACTGCTGACAATTGGTTTGTCAAAGTTGACAGACTCTGATAGACTCGCTAAGATTATATGTGAGCCCGCTAGCAAAAGCTGGTCCGCTTGCAAAAGTTGGACTCGCCCAAAAAAAAATAATTGGGGAAAATTTAGCGAGTAAGCTGGACTTGCTTCAGATGCTATATTATTGTCATTTTCTTTTTTTTGTGTAAAAAGTGGGGAACGAATGGGAAAAGAAACTGATCATTCTTGAAAGAACTTTCAGCTCCCCACTCCTACTTCGAAAAGTAGAAGCACGATGTCAACCCGGCGATAGCTCGAAGGCCCCCGACACAGCTGGAATACCACTGCTGGCTTTATTCACCGCATCCAATTCGTTGAGAAACTTTTTTTTCGCAGCGAATGGCACAATTTATGGGCAACGTCCGCTATTGAAGCGACTTGTGGGTCAATTTTCAAATTTCGCTTGCATCGCTTTAACCCCAATAGAGGCCCTTCCTGTCATGACTATTCGTTGACCTCTACTCAATCCCTCAACAACTTTATCGTCAATCATCACCCAACTTATCAACCTTCATAAATATAAATGTAATCACTCGACTTGTTCCTTGTTCCTTTCTCATCATCTGGTCTCCTTGACCTTCCGATATTCTTCTTGCCTTGACCTAGATTCATCTCTCCTCTGTCTTTGGCTTGTCTTGTTTTGTCGTCGCTTCCGGCTCACTTTATGACGCATGCCCGTAACACTAATTCAAGTGCCCGTGTATGATCCAGCCTTCGGATAAAGCTCTTCCAAGTGCATGTCAACTGCAAGATTGTGTGAGAAACAATGAGTCTGTTTGTAAGGGATTCTCTCACTCTGTAACCTTTAACTACCAAGAATAACTTTACCACAATACAAGCCTTTTTTTATTAGTATATGTACAATATCAAAACTGACAATTACGTTAAACACACAATCTGAAACCTGGTTGAAAAACTAGGGCACATCGGTGTGCTTCTATGGGTAAATCTATCATAAGCGTTGGCTATCCAATTTGTCACTGGGGATTCTGCGAGATCATTGTTCTTCATAGGCAAGAAGTTTTTACCAGACAGCAGTGAGAGGTCGAACCTACGACCGTTTGAGCATGCTCAGAAAGGCTTCCCGAAATGGTGTGGAAATTCTTTCACAGTTTTGCGCTAGCCTTGTTAGGTCGTCCATCGTCTCTTCATTTGGTGTATCTTTATCTATTATGTATGTGAAGAAAAGGTTAATCCGGCCCGGTAAATGTATTTGACAGCAGGCAATGTACAATGTGAATTATGTGATTCAACATCAGAATCAAGTAGTGTAGAATATGTCGATACGGCCAGGTATATGTATCGGACAATAGGCTACATAAAGTACATGACCGTTAGAGTGACAATTTTCTTGAGTGTTGGTTAATCCGTGTAACATCAAGATCTGTTTGGATAAAGAATCTGTACATGGCAGTTTGACCTAGCTTTCGTTAACTTTCACAATCCCTGGTTTCCATGAATTTGAAGAATGAAATTTTAGGGGAACCACTGTATAAATGTATGGGACAACAAACGATTCAACAGTAAAAATGCATAAAAGGTTATGCTGCTGCTGCATGGAAATTTTATTATAATATGTTATACAGTATCACCGACGATTACATTGCTCAGAGAAACATTCGCATAATATACTTCACTTTTTCTCAAAAGCTTCACTCAGTTGATTGGTAATCATGGCCATGGTTTGTTCATACGCCGGTGTATCAACAGGAACAGTAGCATATCCATGAACTGTTTTTAAGCACATACAAGAAGGAACCATGAGTAATCACAATCCACCACTGTAGTAGTAAGGTAACAAAGAGAAGAAGCATGCTTCAACATAGAGTATAATACGTACTTGCGCCAATGACCCGAACAGTGGCATTAGGTACTCCAGCATTGGTCAATCGACGAGCATAGTCTTCACCTTCATCACGCAAAATGTCTGCTTCTGCGGTGAAAATTAGAGCTGGTGGGAGTCCTTGAAGCTCCTCGGTGGTCGCCAACATTGGGAATCCGATCTTTGTCTTCTCACAGTCATTCCAATACGCCTTATCAAAGAATATAGCGTCTTCGTTTTTCAAATAGTAGTCGCCGCCGCCAAAAAGCTTTGCAGATTCGTACTTGTCGCGCGAAGCTGCTGTCGCGGGATAAAGTAATATCTGAGCTTTGATAGCGCTTGGTAGACCACGTTCTTTGGCCATCACTAAGAACGGTAAAAGTGTCCTTCTTTAGCTTTGCATTTTGTCACTTTTGTCTTTTCAATCTTTCGTATCCTTAATATACATAGTAATGCATACATGGAATGACTGCAGATAGATTGCCTCCTGCTGAGTCGTCGCAGACAGCAAGACGGCTTACGTCAACATTTATGGAGTCGCCATTTTCAACAACCCAAGAGAGCGCTGCAAATGCGTTTTCATGAGCTGCGGGATACTTGGACTCTGGAGCGAGTGGGTAGTCAACGAATACAACCGCTACATTGTTCCTCACACAAATCTGGTTGTAGGAGCCAGCCATTAGTATTCCTCTTGTGATATCCAATAGAAGCGGTGTGTAATCATACATGTGAATTTTCCATTTCTTAAAGTACGAACTTACATCTTTAACTAGTTTGCCATGAGTATATTTGCTACCGAAAACCCAACCGCCGCCGTGACTTTTGAATTGATGTCAAAAAGAAACAGGTTTAGTATTGTTAAACCTCCCAGAGAAGAGGATATTGAAGGTCAATAAGAATGTATGAACTCACTAGAATACGACAGCAGGGAGAATAACTACATACCGTCATCCTATCTAATTTGCACGCTAAGATTTCAAAAGTGCTGTCGGGGTCTGACTGGGGATCTAACATTGGCAACTGGATGGCTAGAAACTGCTCGGACCGCTGCAAGGAATTCCATAGCGTTATGCCGCTTTGTTTACCACCCTCACCAACAAACACGCTATCGCTTTTATGGACGCACCCGCTTCACGTAATTAAGTATTATGCAGCATAATATTGGGCATCGAAGCCGTATATGGCAATGGGTTTGAAGCCGAAGAACTGGCATTTGCCGGTGTGCAAAGCGATCCTGAATCAGGTTACCGTGCTATCCAGGCACCCGTCCTTATTCATTAGCGTATGGCCTAGTTGATAGCCCTGTAGGTCTCTTGGGTATGTTAAAATCTGTATTATACTACCGCTGTTGGTTAATGTTGTAAAACTGCATATTCTAACTTGTCACCCCTAACTCATTTTGCTAACATAGCATGGATGCTTGAAAAGTTTCATAATTGGACTGATCATGGCGGTATACATGACATCGAGTCGTTACCAGATACCATTTCTGTTGATGAATTCTTGACGATGGTGACCATTTATTGGCTTACAAATTCCATGTCTTCATCCATACGTGTATACTATGAGGCCTTCCACGAGGATGAGACCATGTCAACATGCATGGGTCGCGTCAATATCCCTACTGCGATCATCCAATTTCCTGCTGAGCTTGCAAAGGTACATATAGCTATTAGTATTAAATCATTCCCAAATGCACCACGATCTTTGTGCTAATGGGTCAATTCTTTTCATGTGCTAAAACACAGTTTCCCAGAGACTGGGCGGAAACGAGTGTAAACTTACAACAGTATAATGAACCGGATGTGGTAACAACTTGTGCTTTTTCTTATACTTCATTCATTATACATATACGGAATCCTAACGACTGGATCGTGTGTTTTTTGTAGGGAGGCCACTTTCCGGCCTTGGAGACAGATCAATTACTATTGGATGATCTTCAGCGCTTTGGGAAACTGTTAAGAACCAAAAAGTGGATCAACTGATATGCATGGTGAACTATCATAATACTCGCTTGTATACCTGCTCAATGGGCACGCATCGACCAAATTATATCATATCATTGTACGCAATGAGCTTAACTATTGCCAATATATCTTCAAAAAATCGTGATTTGTTATTTCGCTCAATTATAATGATACGGGAGTGTAGGAACGAAGGGATTGAATAGAGCTCCTTATCCAAACTCACATTGTTATTTCTATTACCCACTACCACCGAACCGGTTATTCATATCATAATACAACCTTTAATCCACAACAATGCGAGCTTCCAATTCAGCAAATTCCTCAAAGAAGACCTGGATGGAATATTATCGACGAATTAGCTCTTGAATCCGAGATCTTTAAATCTATTTGATAACATCCAGCAAAACAAAAAGAAGGCAATACCTGCAACAGATCGATTCCGTGCTTGACATCGTCGGTACCACCGACTTCACGGATCGAATGCATGCTGAGTTGAGGGTTACCCACATCTATCGAACCGCGACAACCAGCAAAAGCATAGTCAATATCAAGATACGTATATCCAACCCATTGATTGTCTGACTTACCAACTGTGCGAAGTCCAAGCTTTGCACTAAGCATTGGGCCGATTGTCGAGCCACAAGGGCTATCATTACGAACAACAAATTCCTTTTAAACCAATATATTTATCAGCTCCTGGTATCACTTTGGCCACAGTAGCCAACGCAAAGACAAAAACCTACCTGAATTGGGATCACATGCTTCTTTGCCAGCTCTTTCAAAACCAAACTGGTGACTGCAGTCGTAGCATATCTCTATTGTATTGCTGACATCTCTTGTGCGAGCCATTTTCACAGTTCTATGAGCATAGTTACCTGGTTTGCGTTGATCTTAATAACAGTACCCTTGTGCATGTGTGGTCGGTGGTTTTCTTCGTGTTTTCGGGGTAGTTGGGATGAATGGCATGTACCATATCTGCACTGATGAGGATACTCTTGTGCATGGCCTCTTCAAAGGCAGTGGGCGATACTTTTGCGCCAGATAACAGTTCAGTGTTGGCCAAGCGCTGCAAGGTGGTTGGCAAAGGATTCGAGTCAGCACCGTGGGCGGTGGTGCTGCCAATCTTGTCATTGTCAAAGCAAACGGTCACACGGACGTTGGTATCGTTCTCAATGTTCTAAGATTGCAGCAATGCTCGGATAGCGCAGTAGCTCATTTTTTGGTTGTCAAGACGAGGTGAGAAAATGAACTCGTTGCATACGCCACCAATTGTTGAAACCTGTATATTTATATCCAAAGTTATCAGCAAAACATCAATTACTGTTCTCTCTCGCTCTACTGTCTAGCTGTTTTTTTTACCTGAGTATCATACAGAACCAATTCGAAATCGCGAATTTGGCTTGCTATTAGAGTTAGCATATGTCAGTAAGAGGACATATAGGTCAACCATAACACAGTTATTCTAACCACAATATAAAGATAATACTACTAACGTTTGACGCCCATTTCGTCGGCAAGTACACGAATCAACAAGGGGTGGTGGCCTTCTTCTGCTTCAATATGTTCGTCACTTTCAGTCTTGTTCAACTCTCTAACAGATGAGAATATGTAATTTTTGAGTATGTGTATACAAGAATGAGGATATATCTATTGTATATAAGGGAAAGAGGTGACATTTACGCTTTGGTGGCAGTAGCAAGAATTGGTGCAAGCTGGACTTCCTTGTTGAACGTGAACTACGGATAGTAAATGTGTTCATTTTCATTAAATAGAGTTTACTTCCATTTTCTAATTCGCCAGCACATTAATATACTTACACTGTCGTTGGCATTACGATCCAAGTGGATTGCAAGTGTGGGAATACGCAAAAGAGGTCTAGGCACCCCAAAGTACATTAATTAAACAATGTACCTTCTCTATTACACTAACTCAAAAAATCATCCTTTTACCTACCTGTCCACTTTAACCACTGTGTGACGGTATTTGCCATTGTTGTCTTCGACCATGACGCATCCAGCAACGCCCAAATCACGATCCATGCGTGCCTGATCGATAAACCCATACTTGTTAGGTATCCGAGTCGCAATGATTACTATTTTCTCATGTCCCTTACCAGATACCACCACCGTAAAGCTGGACACCGACTTCCAGATAACCACTCTTTTCCTTTTTAGAGATAGGTTTGACCTATTGTGCATAACAGTATGGAACATGAATAAACACTTCGATCCAACAAGAAGCTTCCCCTTCTTTCTTGTAATCATTTACCTTTAAGCAAGGAGAATCAGTATGCGCGCCCACAATAGTAGACCCGTTACCAGGAACGTATTTGCCACCGACAACAAAAGCAACGATCGACGAGCCGTTTCGAGTAAAATAGTATTTGCCATTGCGTTCAATAGCACCATTCCAGTTGTCACGTTCCTTGATCTCTGTGAAACCTGCCTACATTTACCCCCAACTCCGTACGTAAGGACCAACTTCTGACTGTTGTACTATTCATATTTGCAAAAGAGGTGTGTATACCTGTTTCAGCAGCTCAGCAGCTCCATGAGTGCAGTGGAAGGGCGATGGCGACTTGTTGACGAAATCCACAAAGTCGCGTGCTGGATGTAACAGTGTTCTAATACTTTAAAACCATGCATAAAATCCGAGAAGTGTGAAAGAAAAGTAGAGGGTGACATACCTTCTTGAGGAATAGAAGGATTGAACTATACATTACAATTTGCGATAAAAGCTAACTTAATGTATTACACTTTGATAGCAGCAATAATCGTTTAATGAGCTAGCTTTACCATGATTCTTGTGGAAACGTACGTGAGAGATTACATTAAAAAAAAGAAGCTTGCGTGTGTAGTACATGTATGCGCGAAAACAGACGGACGAAAGTTTCCCCTGACGGAATTGACGGTCATTCCGCTGTCAGGTGGGACAGGGCTGAACCTGTTTACCAGAAAAGAAACAAGTTGCCTAAAACGATGGTCAGCCTTCATTTGACGTTGATACACGTCTAACTATTACACCCGAGAAGATCAGTCAGTATCAATCTTTTAAGAGCTCTCAGGAACGTATCTCAATAGTGGGATTCCCAGTGTATAAGGCAGTAATAATACGTGAGTAGAGACCGCGAAAAAAAATGAACAACTTTATTCTTCTTTGTAAAGATAGCCAGGTAAGAAAAAGAAAGGTTAATACTGCTACTGCTGCTAAGGAGAAGGGGAACAATGACAGCCAAAACTGCTGCTGCTATCGCTACTTTAAGTATTCCATCGTCTTCAAAAATTTGCCAAATCGTTGCACCTCATCCACCAGCAACGCTCCACACTCCAAGGCCGGAAAATGATCTCCCTAAAGATAGCAGAGAGTGAGCAAGAGAATACCATAGTGAAGCAAAAGCATATATGTACATACCATGTCGAGTTCGTTGTATTGCTGCAAATTGAAGTTTGCTTCAAGCCATTCGCGAGGGACCTACATAGTAAGATTCAGTCACCGTGCTGTCAGCTTGTTTGTTTAATGACAGTCGCACCATCTTTTATAAAGTAATACCTTGCTTAGATCAGCAGGGAAGCAGGACACTGCACTCGGGATGTTGACGTAAAGCGGGAACACCGCCTTCACTCCTGCATCATTGAAGGTTTCATAGTAGAAACGGATCGACGAGGAAATCGAATTTGTCAGCCAGAAGAGAGTGACTTGAGTGAGGAACTCGTCGGTGGTGATGGTGTCTGGCAACACGACACTGTCATCCTTGTTTTCAGGATATGACCAATTGTGGTACTTTTCGAGTAGCCAAGCTAAGTATTTATTGTGGCAGTTAGTGGGGAAAATGATCAATTACTGATGATAGATGGGGTTATGATGCATTTACCCAAAAGGCCCACTGGACTGTCAGTCAAACCATATGCTAAAGTGTACGGTCGTGTACTCTGGATGGCACAGTAACCAAGTTCAGGATCATTTTCAACGTCGACAAACGATCGGCCCTTGATTTTGGAAGAACCACGACCATAGACTGTGTCCATACCGAGAGCGATGCTAGCCATAAACTTTGCCACCTTGAGTGGGTGGGACCATAGAAAACCGGGCGTTGGGATGGGTGGCATACATCCGGACGTGGCCGTGTGGAATCCCTTGCACTGCTGAGGATGCTTGACAGCGAGCCATTTGCCGACCATGGTGCCAAAGTCGGATCCGTGAACCACTTGAACAGATATGGGTATACATTTATCAGCACATGCTCTTGGTATTGCATCCAACGAAACGGTCATATTTACTGTATTCATCGTAACCGAGTACTGATGTCATGAGCTTGTGAAAGATTTCACCGCTCTTTGAGCCACCGTGGCCGGGAAGTTTGGGTGCTTCTGAAAAGCCAAAGAACTTTGGATTTCCGCGCGGTAGTGATGCCACTTGTTCATTTCGGCACGCGCCTTTTCCCAGTTGTAGTCGTTGAGCCAGGCTTGAACGAGAGGCTCAACAGCTCGTCGAGGTGCACCATACTTCCAGCCGACATTCTTTTCGAGCTCGTTCGGATACTCAACGTTCTGTAGCTTTTCTTTGAGCGAAGCAAGACGCTGAGGTGGAATGGACGGGATTTTAAAAGGTTCGATGCTAGACATGGGTCTTGTCTTATTCGTGTTGTGTGTGTGTGTGTCGACACAGAGAAGGAAAAAGGGCGTGTGTGAAAAAGAAAGAAAGAAAGAAAGGATCATTGCTTCATGCAAACCGAGCTGATATAAATAGATAACACACAAACCGCGTGGTGGACCGGAAGGGTTAAAAAGAGTACGCTATCAGCAACGGGTTGCCATGGTAACGAAGTCGCACGAACGCCGCAGCAGTCTGTTTAGGTAAATCTTACGCAGGGCTGCGGTGATGAATCCATTGATCAAAGACAGGTTCTTTTACATCACCACAAGGCAGCGGCATCAGTCATTTTTTTTATCAGAAAAACAACCCGTACGAAAATCCTCCTGCTCTTTTAATGTGCTCATCGTTCTTTCTTGGATCACAAGCACTGTGTGTAACAGGATCGACATGCTTCCTTATTCGGCACATTGTCGCGAGAGCATCTTTCACTGGTGCTTAGGGGCATATAGGGAAGTCGATTTTCAACCACACTTAAACCATTCTGCTTTCTTTAATACATGTGAGCCCAAGCCGACTCTTCTTTGATGGCACAAAACCCTTTGCCTTTAAGAATAATCACACAAAACGTAGATGTTGCTGGCACTGCCTGACAATTGGTTTGTCAAAGTTGACAGACTCTGATAGACTCGCTAAGATTATATGTGAGCCCGCTAGCAAAAGCTGGTCCGCTTGCAAAAGTTGGACTCGCCCAAAAAAAAATAATTGGGGAAAATTTAGCGAGTAAGCTGGACTTGCTTCAGATGCTATATTATTGTCATTTTCTTTTTTTTGTGTAAAAAGTGGGGAACGAATGGGAAAAGAAACTGATCATTCTTGAAAGAACTTTCAGCTCCCCACTCCTACTTCGAAAAGTAGAAGCACGATGTCAACCCGGCGATAGCTCGAAGGCCCCCGACACAGCTGGAATACCACTGCTGGCTTTATTCACCGCATCCAATTCGTTGAGAAACTTTTTTTCCGCAGCGAATGGCACAATTTATGGGCAACGTCCGCTATTGAAGCGACTTGTGGGTCAATTTTCAAATTTCGCTTGCATCGCTTTAACCCCAATAGAGGCCCTTCCTGTCATGACTATTCGTTGACCTCTACTCAATCCCTCAACATCTTTATCGTCAATCATCACCCAACTTATCAACCTTCATAAATATAAATGTAATCACTCGACTTGTTCCTTGTTCCTTTCTCATCATCTGGTCTCCTTGACCTTCCGATATTCTTCTTGCCTTGACCTAGATTCATCTCTCCTCTGTCTTTGGCTTGTCTTGTTTTGTCGTCGCTTCCGGCTCACTTTATGACGCATGCCCGTAAAACTAATTCAAGTGCCCGTGTATGATCCAGCCTTCGGATAAAGCTCTTCCAAGTGCATGTCAACTGCAAGATTGTGTGAGAAACAATGAGTCTGTTTGTAAGGGATTCTCTCACTCTGTAACCTTTAACTACCAAGAATAACTTTACCACAATACCAGCCTTTTTTTATTAGTATATGTACAATATCAAAACTGACAATTACGTTAAACACACAATCTGAAACCTGTTTGAAAAACTAGGGCACATCGGTGTGCTTCTATGGGTAAATCTATCATAAGCGTTGGCTATCCAATTTGTCACTGGGGATTCTGCGAGATGATTGTTCTTCATAGGCAAGAAGTTTTTACCAGACAGCAGTGAGAGGTCGAACCTACGACCGTTTGAGCATGCTCAGAAAGGCTTCCCGAAATGGTTGCGCTAGCCCTGTTAGTCGATTTTAATTCGCACAGTACCGGTTGCTCGTATGCTGCTGCCGATCTCACCTCGAATGCTCATACTGTATCGGCGTGTTTTACGTAGGCATAACTGGAGAATCGGCATTAAGGCAACCGCCAAGCGTTGCTAGTATGTCTTCCATGAAACGGAACAGGTAACCTTGGGCATGGCATCATTATACTGTATGATACAACCCCGTTGAATATGAAGCAGTTATTAATGATTCATTCTCTGCCCTAGTTTTCTTTGGATGCGAGTACCTTTCTTTTCTCTCCCACCCGGCCCCATTTTGTCCTTTTGCAAAATTTGGATGGGCGGAATGGACACTATTAATATTCTCGTATCATAGAAACCGGAGTCGACCTTATGTTGATTAAGGAAGAACAGCAAAGTATCGTATTTGGTGAATCCCAGCCATAATGATGGATCATATGTGCTGTTATCAAAGCACCTTTGACAACAGCACCTTCACATAAAAAGAGGTAGCACTGTTAGCTTTTGCTATAATTATCTTGTTCATGATGCTCTTTGCCTTTGCTGATATGCCGTGGGAGTTGGCCACCTGATTATGCGTTTGCAGGTATTCCCTCGGTTGCGTGCCGTACTTCATCTCCATAAACTGGTCCCTCCGCTTCGCTGCGTGTCACATTTGTCCTTCAGGAGCGAGTTTACTGGGGCTCTACCCCAGTGTTCCTGAAACAATGCTTCAAATAAGATCTTTCAAAAGTGCTGTGTGTACAATTTTTCTCATATTTTTATTTTTTTATTTCGTGAAAAGGATGTGGCAGCAGCTTCCTGGAACGTCGCATATGTTGTGCCCTCATATTGACGCAGGGAAAGAAAGCCAGTAGGGCCGCGAACAAACAGCAAAAGCAGACGAAGGCAATATTGTGCCATGTTTGGAAGCGAAGCATGGTATATACGCGTGACAACATTTTGGACAGGAGGGTTGGTTCGAGGGTTCCAACGGCGATTTCTGTTGTTCCAGGTGTAGTGGCGAGGGATTTCCGAGTAAAGATACTCTTCTATTGCACGATTTTCGCTGTAAAGACGGAAAAAGGCAGGAAGCTTGGTGCCGGATTCTGCTGCGTCACGGGCTGCTCGAACCTCTTGTGGAGTCATATCATCACGGAGATTGACGATCTGTTCGCCTGGCAGATGAAGATCCAGACGCACGACGGTTGGATAGTGCATATGCACATCAAACTCGAACGTACGATGGATAGCTTCGCACGGACCAATGTATCGAGCGTTTTGAGACTGCTCTACTTCATTGACCGGCTCGGCAGCGGCATTATCGGTATTGGTGGCGGTTGCGGTGGTTTGGATTTGTGCTCGGTCGGTGCCCTTGGTGATGTATTTGCACAAATACTTGATGGCGCGGTTGGATGTGCAGATTTCAACGTTAATGTGTACATCGTACTTGTGGCTAAGGTAGGGGTTGTACGGCACAACATGTCGGTTGTCGGCGAGAAAGTCGGAAGTAGGGAAGAGGTGGCGGTTTTGGTGATTTTTAAGGCGTCGGTAGATGGGATATCCATCTCGGTTTGACGCGTGTCTCGTTGTTGAATGGCTTTGGATAGCCTTGTGAGCACCGGTTATCCTTCATGCACACAGCATCGGTGCCTGGACCACATGGGCCGTGTATCATGCATGCTGTCACCGTGCGATACACTGTGGTTGTGTGAGTGGATCTAGGTGTAGTAGCAGGAGTAGGAGCTGTAGGATCCTCAACGACATTCTACCCGCCATTCCATTTTTTCCACTTAAACAAACTGTAACAGTAAATTTCAAATGTGGCCTTAAACATTCATTGCCTATTCTACGGCGAACGTTGCGAGAATGAAGTGGACATGGCCCATTAGTGTCATTCGAGCCACAGTGACAGTCTTGGTTAACTTCAGATTGTTTCAATACAAGAAAGAAAAGTTAATTAGTACACTTGAGTCTTTTAAACAGTCTGTCAGAATCTCAGGCAAGAATCTTCGGCAAGGCTCGAAGATGCTCAATGATTTTCATGAATAGACCTTTCAAGTGTCGTTTACGGAAGATTGAAGCAGTAACACACCTTTTGCGAACTCATAGTAAAATTACAATAGTAGTAGAGAGAAACAACAAAGTTAAAGTGTAAACGTTCCTGAGAAACACGCGTGTGCGGGCAAAAAGATTATATATTGGTGATGCTAATTTCCAAATATGGACTTACGCTGAGAATGAATCGTAACGACCTCTCTTTCAGAGTAGAGATAGAAGATGTAATAATTCCTTCTCCTTCGCAATTAGAAGTGTTGTATATCCACACCATTTTCCCCTACCTCGAGTTTCTAGTAATAATTGGAATAATATAGCCGAGGGTTTTCACTTAATATATCAGCATCATCTCTACCAGATGTGTTCATCTTTTGATCGAAGTGGCTGGTTTATGAGACGCTAATGACGAGTAAAGCATCCCAGGCATGTATTAATGATGTATGAAGTGAAATAAGCAGGTGAGGGTTGTCAGCATAGCAACAGCATGACCAACACCTGATTTTGAGGAAAGTGCTGCCACAGACTTTGTATGTTCACACTCTAATATTATCAAAGTAACATCACTTATCTTCGAAGTGTCATTGATGTCCTAGTTTAAGCAGAATGAATGAGAATAACCGAGCCAAGTTTTCCACTCCATCGCACCAACCCCAAAACAGCAAATGTTCGTATTGAAATCTCGCACGAGCTGGATGTCAGTAACAACCAGATCAAAGGAGTACAATTCTTTATTATATCGTTTAACGGTAACGACGGAGAGACAAGGTGTTGTTGCGCTTCCAGGTAGCACGGCGACCACTGCCACTTGTCTTGGTGAAACGGTGACCCTTGTTCTTGCCACGGCTCTTCTTGCCAATGGCGGTAAGACCACGGGCTTCACGGCGCTTGTGAACGGGGTTGACGATCCAGTTAATGCGGGGATCGCGGCGGATGACCTTGTGCGAGGGATCGACAAGAATGACCTCAAAGTACTTGTAGGTAGCGTCCTGGTTGATCCAGTACGAGTTGAGGACACGCAAGTTGCCGCAACGACGGCCGATACGCTCTTCGGCGGTGGAACGGAGCGAGCGCTGGTACTTGAGCTGGTTGACACCCTCGTGGACGGGCTTACCGTAAGTGGCACCCTTGGGGACGGGTTTCTTGCGGCCACCACGACGGACGCGGATACGGTAGATGACATAGCCCTGCTTGGCCTTGTAGCCAAGACGGCGAGCCTTGTCAGGGCGCGAAGGACGCGAGGCACGGTGAATAACGTTCAACTGACGGAATTCCCAGCAGCGGACACGGAGCAAGAAACGGAACACATCCGACTGCTTCTTTCTGTAAAGCTCCTCGAGATACTTGTAGGCTACAAGATGCAATTGATAGAGTGAGTAGATGAATCAAGCTGAGTTTAAGTAATTGGAGTGAGATTAAGTAGATGCTTACCACCCATGATATATCAAACCTAAAATAAAATCCGAATAATAAAAGAACAATCAAATCAGTACTCAATGCACTCTTCGCAATCGAGCAAATAAGCAGCATGAACAGTCGGGTGAATGTCTGTAAAGTTATGTGAGCAGTAGCTTTCGGCAGTGCGGATCATTGTAATTTCTTCGGTTGCAATCGAGTAAATTCGAAACGTATTGGTGCCACAAACGATGTCGTTGCCGTGACCGATTATTGCGTATCCATGGTAATCCATCCTTTCATCCATACATCCCAACTGTTCATCTGCCCATCCATTCTGTAAACCCATCCATCCGTCCGTCGATCACGTCAACTGACACTCACCTTGTACTGACGTACGAAAAGAGGGAGAGCATACATCCCACTCAATGGGCATTTTGAGACTGGTCGAAATTTCCAACTCCGGATATCTCGGTTGAAATGCAGTAAATTAGACCATCTTAAATGTTCATAGATGCTTTTCAGGCTGTTGTAAGCGGGCGCCGTTGATTACATTTAACTCGCCAAAAACAGAACAAAAAGTCATAGAGAAATCCATGGCATAAGACGGTGAATATCAAGAGACAATCAGTCACAGACAGACAAGCAAGAACATCAATCATTTCGTAATAAAAGAAGTACTCGATAGTTGAGGAACAGAAGGATGTACAGGTTGCTCAAACCTGATGGTTTATATGTTATTGATTTGAAAGATAAATGGAAAAAAAATGACACCAAACAGTGGAGAATATCAAACAAGGAAAGAGAAAAAAAACAAAATACACACAACAACAAAAAAGGGCCCATGATCAGATTAAATCTTATGTTTCGTTCCATTTACATTCCATCATGTCTTACGCCATTTCCGCCAGGAAACAGGCCTGGTGGGAAATTAGCGGGGCCAGTTCCGTTCCTTGGTCTAAAGCCCATTTCAATCTGCATTGGGATCGGGAGAGGAGGATGTGGTGGTTGCGGCGGCATCGGCATCATTCCAGGCGGAGGATCCTGCATATGATGGTGCTGATAGTGAGGAGGAGGAGGAGGCATTCCACCCATATAACCCGGCATGAATGGAGGGGGAGGCGGTGGGGGCGGTTGATGATGATGGAAAGGCATGGGAGGCGGTGGTGGTTGGTGTTGGTGTTGGTGTTGGTGTTGTTGCTGTGGCGAGTGTTGCTGCTGCTGATGTTCCATAAACATCAACGGCTTTGGTGCCATCTCCCTTCCAAAAGGATCCTCAGCTGGCGAGCGCATCGCTTGGTTCAACAGCATTGGTGGTGGTTCCCGATGTTGCTGGGGCTGAGGTGGCGGTTGTTGTCCACCAAGAAGTTGTAAGAGCGTGTTTTGCGATTCAGTCATATCCGGTGCCTTCTTTTCGCCACTCATACGCACAGACATGATTGCTGGATCCTGGAACGGCAAGGATGCTGTATTTTTTTATGCGTTAGATAGCAAGTTCGATAGTAAAACATTCCACTCTTATTGCTTCGCTAAACTACCTTTTCGTGGTGCTTCTTCCATAGGCATGTGCATAGGCGCGCCGCCCGGCGCTGTAGCAGCAGCCTTGCGAAGAAATTCTCCAAAAAAGTTCTGTGCTTCCTGCTTAACATTCCCACCAGCTTCCTCTTCCTCTTGAGTCCGTTCATGTTCATCCTCAGGGTAGGCGTCATCGGGCTTGTGTGTTGCTCCATTGCTTGCAAAGAATATCTTTTCTTCCGCATGGGGGGACATGTTGAAACGCTCCAACTCTCTCGGGTGTTCGTTGTTGGACTGATTGTTAAACTCAAATCTTGGCTGCACATGCTGAGTTTCAGAGGGTCGTCGATGGAGCAAAAACTCTGGTTCGTCGTGTCCGGGGGTGTGAGGCTTGTTGGATAGAGGCATATTATCGTCACGCATGGGACCAAAGCTGATATTCACATTTGGCAACAAAGCCCGTAAATCATCCTGCATTGTTCGCAGAGATTCGTTGTGAACGTTGTTGTTTTGCTGAAGCTGCTGCTGCTGCTGCTGTTGCTGCATGTGCATATCACGCATGCCTTGTTCAATGCTTGCCATGCCGGATTTGTCAACCATCGGTGGGTTGAGTCCAGGTGGCATGTTCATGAACTCTGGACGATGCATCATAGGCGCCGGGGGTAGTCCAAACATGCCAGGCGGAGGACCTTGCGGTGGTGGTGGCGGTGGCGGAGGCGTGCCTGATGCATGGAAATCGGGCGATACGCCAAACATCGGAGGAGGTCGAGGAGCGAAACCGGGGAAAAGACCAGATGCTTCAAGCATCTGCTGTGAGTGCTGCAGTCGTCGTGCTGCTGCGGGATCTTGGCCATTAAACGGATCAAAGTTATGCGCTCGCCATTCTGGCGGGCCGTGGATGCCTGGTGGCGGTCCGTGCGCATGGCCGCCATCAAATGGCAGTCCCAGATCCTGAAACAGTGACGATGGTGGATGCTGAGCGGGTGGACGATCGAACTCTTCCATGGGACGCTCAGGCGAGCCAGATACCAATTCTTCGTTAATGAGTGCCGAAAACCGTTCCATTGCAAGCAGTGGTGACGTGAAACCATGGTCGTCTTCTTGTACCTTTTCCGAACGCTCGAGCTCGTCCAGAACATTGTACTGATGTTCATCGTGTGCATCTCTCATCGCATCGTATTCTGAATCAAGATCACCCTTTAAGCTGGAGAGTCCGCCTTCCATGTCAAAAGCATCCTCACTATTCCTGTCATCACTATCAAGCATAACACTTCCAAGGATGTAATTCGCAAATGACGGCTTATCCACAGTATCAGGTGATACTTTAAATTGGTCAAACGCCGCCGTCTTATCCTCGACTGGAATAGCTGCATCGGCTGATGGATCACGTCGCTCGATATCCTCGCTTTGGTGATGGTCGTCGACATTCGAATCCAACGGTGCCATCTGAACATCCTCCTTTTCTTCCACAACCGTCTCCTCCTTCTTGAGCCGTGCCGATGCAGCGGCCTCTTCTGGTTTCGATTCTGGCACAATCGATTCTTCATAAGGCGATTCTTCACGCAGTGGCTCTGCTTCTGCTCGTGATTTCTGTTCTGCAGCTTCATCTGTTCCCTCATGACGTTCTTCATCCGTATCCATAGCATCGATCTCTTTCGAGGGACCAGAAACCACTTTTGTAGATGACTCAGATTCAATTTGAGCGGATGAGGGTGTAGCAGTAGTGGCGGCGGCGGCGGTAGCAGCAGATGGAGCCGAAGGTTCTGAACAGGGCTTGGTGCTTTGCGATTGCATCTGAATTGGTTTCCACGGTGACTCTTGTTGCTGTTGTTGCCGATGAATTTGGGCAGACAAGGCGCTCTCTGTCTGCACCGTCTCCTTTTGCTGTTTCTTGCCGGGTTTACCAGAAGGACGCACCCCTTCTTCAAAATCTTCCAGTCGAATCATCTTGGATTTCATTTTTTTCTCCTTCTTTCGCGGAATCGCTGGAGAATGCTTTGGCTTTTGCGACGCGTTTAATGCATCCGACAGCGATGGACCGAAATTCGTGGGAGTCGCCACGCTCTCGTGGCTAGATGCGAGATTATTCGCCCCTTTGCCCCACGATGCAGCTGCCGGGAGCGCAGGTTTCTTTTCGATCGGAATCGGTTTGGAGGCTTTTTCTAAGACAGTTTTGTTCTTTGTCTGTTCAGAAGCAGATGACGAAGGTTTCGGTTGTGCTGGTTGCGTTGGTGTTGTTGTCGTAGCTGCTGCTGGTGTTGATACTGGGACGGATGACGATGATGATGCTGATGCTAACACAGGCTCGGCCTTGGGTTCAGGTTCCGGTATCTCAGCAGGCGGTTCCGGCGCAACAGGGGGAGGAGGAGGTGGTGGGACGACTTTTGGTATAGGTGCCCAAGCACTTTTGCGAGGTGGTTCCGGCTGAGTATCGTTTGACGTTGAAGATCGCACTATTGGCTTTGGAGGCACTTGTGATGTCGTTGCTGTTCCAGCTGCTACCGTAGACGAGCCGGTTGCTCCACTTGCTGTAGTAGTTGATGTCGAACAGGTCGGCGTTATTCGTTTGTTGGGATACGTCTGATTTCCCGATCCGCTAGGGTGTTTACTACACATACACACAATCGAGCAACTTCAGTAAAGAGTGTTACTACAAGTGGACAATCAAAATAGCGCATATTACCCGATGTTCAAGCTGTCCTTGGTGTAACTGTCCACATCCTCCCCAGGCTCGTGCAAGTACATGCAATTCAGGTTCGGGCATGACATGTGCCGTAAATAATACGTGCAATACTTAGTGGTACCGTAGGACGCCCTTAACGTAAGCATATATCAGTACTCATTAAACTCTTGTATCCCTAATTTTGTAAGTATATACCTTAGTGAGCGACCTTCACACGTAGATCCATTAATTCCACTGATTGCTTTAGCAGCATCTTCTTTGCGACAGTACGTGACATAGATACCCACGGACGAAGACGACTGACTGCCTGTTTGCTGTGTAGACCGTTTGGAGACGACGAGCTTGGCGATTTTCCCGTACTTTTTGAAAAACTCGTTCTAAGCATAAGCAACCAAACAAACAATTAATTATTAGCGAGAGGGGTAGAAGTACGGGAAGGGGAGGGGGAGACTAAATTATAAAATAAGGGAAATACTGATTCAATGTATGATATCTACTACTACTATTAATACTAATCATTGTATTCGTCATACCTCCACACTCGCATATTTTGAGCTCAGGCCAAGTACGTAAACTAGATTCTTCTGCACGACTCTGACATTGGACAAATGACGTCGATTCGAGTCCTTCATGTCTTTGTGCTGTCGTTCTTTCTCCTTCTTTTCCTTTTTGAGACGCACAATCTCGTCAGCGCTCACAGGTATGAACTGGGCGATCTGATCGCTGTACTGGCGTCTACAAGCGGGACATCGTCCGTTGAGGTTGGATTTAATATGATGCCAGCAGAAACGACAAATCTATTTATTTGCGATTTCTCTTAAACGTTAGAATGTATAAAAAGAAGCCTCTCTGATAGTCGAGGCAAAGCAAACTAATAATTTCTGCTTCGTTTTATTTTTGGCCTTTTTACCTGGTATCCACAAGGACAAGGGCGAAAATTGCGATCGGCAATGTCGAACTCCTCCATGCACAGAGGGCAATCCAAATCATCGTCGTCCGAAACCATATTCACGAGATGGAAATCAGCGGATCGACTTTAGTTAATTATGCAAAGGTTCTGAAAAGAGACTAAGAGAAACACGGTGGAAGAAAAACGTTTTGAAGTGAAAGAAAGGTTGAAAGGCGAAAGAGTTGTGTGCGTGTGTGTTGGTAAAGTCCTCAGTCACTGAAAGAACGAATGATTTCGACAGGAGAAATGAAGCTCAGACTATGCGCAAGATGATTTGGTATGATTTGGCTCGATTGCCCAATCCGGCACTTGCTTTAATTTCTTTCATGCTACCGCACTTCATGATCACACTTGGCTATTTCTTTGTTTATGCTTCTGTCTATATTATGCATTCAATCCATCATGTTAGAATTGATAACAGTGGCGCAAATTTGAACAACAAGAAACTATGACAACGATCAAAAGTTACTATTTTCATATCCTCAATAGGGTGGCATTAGTTCGATAAACACGGTAACCATGGTGAGCGCTAATGATTGCCCAACAACAGCTTGGTTACCGTGACGATAAGGGGTAGCTGCTTATAATAGTGTCAAACGAGTACTAATCAACCCTGCTGCCCAGCAACAACCTGTTCTTCCTAAACGAAGCTAGCAAGTTGCCCTAATGGATTTAATCATCACTCACAATTACTTCGGTGAAAGAAAGCTTTCTTTTAGAGCATTGATTAAAGAAGACTCTCTACTGAGAGAATCAGGCAGAGTACATATAAAAAACTAGCAAATAAAACAAGCTAAATTGTGTGGTGCTAACATCAAAATACCCAAAAAGGCATCATCATTTACGTTTTAATATTCACTATCACGCGAAGTGAACAAATATTTCCAACGTTAGATTAGAAGCAAAATATCTGTTTATAAGATTTAACAGAATGTTTGAGAGAAAAAGAATGCGAAAGAAGGGGGGGGGGAGGGCAGTAAGACAGGATGCTTATATGATCTAGTAAGTTTCTTGTAGTAGTGACAAAGGATGTGGTAGCAGTAAAAGCAAATCAAACAATTCTGTAATATCTCATAAGGAGTGTGGATAAAATACAGAATGTAAGGATCGAGCACATGATAGAAAAGAACCACGTCAAGTCCTCACGGAACTGTCCAGGAACGATAACGTTCATGCCCCACAGACCAGTGACGAGGTTCATGGGAATAAGCACACTTCCTAATGCAGTAAGCTTAGAAAGCACGTCGTTGATCTCGTTGTTGGTTTGCGTCATTTCAATGGATATTTGAGCAAGGTAGTTGGAATGCGATCGTGACGATATCTTCTCATAGTGGTTCAGGGATTGCAGCATAGTGATGAGGTGATCTACAAGTACAGTAGTGAATAAGTACATTGGGTGAATTGAGCCGGTCAATTGTATCATGCTGTCGGATCGATCAAGAAACGAAATAAAAAAATACCTTGTACGTCACCGAGATATAAAGCCACTTCACTCGACAATGCTGGACGGGTTCCATCGACCGCCTGTGTCTCACCCCGTTTGATCATTGTCTTGACAACGTCAGCTTTGCTGACCAAAAGTCGCAACAGACCCATCATTCGTTTGCGGCAGTAGCCAATCCTCCGTAACATATCTGACTGTTCCGATTCTTTGAGAATAAGTACAAGCTCATCAATCGAGTCTACTTCAAACTCAATCATTCTTATCAGTGGTGCAAAGGAGTCGGTGATGTCGTCCAAGATCGCGTAACAAATCCAGTCTATTCTGGGGAATGTCAGTTTGATATTTTTTTCTTGGCATGACCAAAATCATCATCATCGTCTTTTTTTAATAAGTGTGCGTGTGTGGGGTGTGGCGGGGATAGTGAAGTGGAGGTAACACATGCCTGGCGTAACATTGATGTAATCTTTTAACTGTTTGATCCGCTTTCTGACGCTGTATGGGTGAGGCATAGGTCGAAAATGAAACTAGTCATCATCCGTTAAAAGCCAAGTACATATAAAGTGGAGGCTTTGCCCAAATAGTCATTACTTACAGTGAGGATGCCTTCTTTGAGGATAATTATGTACATGCCGATGGGCTGGAGGTAATTGATTGAATACTGATCTTGATCAAACGTGCGGAAACAAATGAAATAGTAATTCTTGAAAACTTCGCATTTTTCTCTTGGCTCTTCCATGGTAATATCTTCTGCGGTCAACGGGTGTATGTGAAAAATCTATGGTTGGGTTTGACGTTTCAGTCACACAATAACATCCTCCATCCACTGGATAAATATACAAACACAGGCGTACCTTGCTGAGTGCTTTCATCTCGGCATCCGTTGGGGACAAAACATCGATCCAAAAACAGCCCTTCTTGATCATAGCGCTCAGCTGATCGCCATTGGACGGTATTTCGCTGATGGAACGTGCATGGATAGTTGATGGTTCGGAAGGAGAATAGTAGGTAAATCGATAAGCGTCTGGATCTTCTTGCTGTTGGTACTGGTTTTAGTTGTGTGCGTGCAATTAGATGGAATTTCAAATTAGAGACCGGTTTATCTGTTTTATGGCAGTAATCAAGAGAGATATAATCATCTTTAAAGTACCTTGAGTCGATCACCGTACAGACTACCAAACTTTCTTGTATCCGACAGCATGTTTGAAAGGCGGCGTCGCCGTGGATGATGGTCGTTGTGATTGTTGCGTTGCTCTTCCTGGATATATTCTTCGAGGGCGTCAAAATCGATGCCGTTCTGATCGTTCTTTTCATCTGACGGAGGAAAGCAAACGTCTCCTTCGATAGACTCTTGCCTTGATCCGGCTGTGTCTGCATCAGAGTTGTAGAGATGGAGGGGAGGGGTGCTGGCTTTGCTGTTATTGTTGAGTGTGTTTGTGCCCGATGTAGAGCTGGTTCCGTGATGGCTGTGATTTTCGTCGTCGTAGCAACCGTTGCTGTTGTTGGTCATGTTTATGAGAACGTTGTTGTCGCATACTCCTTCTCTCGATCGTGCACCCATCCCCCCTCCTCCTAGTCCTCCTTCGGTTGATCTGGTAAAATAGGGAGGAGCAGGATCGCGCTATCTTTCTTGGTCAGGTACTGCTGGGCAATAGTGCAAAATGAAAGATATAATCACAGAGAAAAAAGAATTCCCCATTTTTGGGTGTCTGTGATATGCTTGTTGGACAAGAAACTCACTTCTGTAGCCACTTCGGGAATAGCGGCGTAACGAGTATTTCGTGATCGATTGAAAAACATGTTGAGCGGTTGGAATGGTGAGGAGGAGGAGGAGGAGGAGGTAGGATGTGTGTCGGAATCTTCCTGATCGAATTGTGTACGGGAGAACTGCATGGGATGCTGGTGCGGCATTAGTCGAGAGCCTGGCCTGCTCTTATTGTTGCGTTTTTTTGGCTTGGCCATGTTATGCGAAAGGAGGAAAAACAAGGAAGGAAGGAAGGAAAGAACAGGAAGGGGTGGATGGATAAATGAGAGAGAGAGAGAGAGAGGAAGGGAGGGAATCCAACTGGCAGAAAAGTCTATTTAAACACAGATCTATTATGGCCTTTTTGTTCTTCATATTCAAGGATGGCGTTTCTGCAGCTTGGGCATTTTGCATGTACGCACCTGTTTCGTCATGTGCAGGAATTTTGAGGGACAGAGGGTAACAGCATGGTCCCCTTTTGCGCGCTCCACTCATCGTACTTACCACCTTCAGGGTTTTAATTTTCCTTCTTGGTCCCGCTTGCTTGGGCTACCACTACTAGCAGTACGCTGATCGTGTCATCTGCCTTTGGTAACTCCCTCCGTTTCCCCAGTCCGTTCTGGGTACTATACAGAGCCCCAAGGCTGAGGAGGACTCCTTTGTTGTTCTGTCAATAAAATTTTCACGCAAGAACGGTGGTGACATGGGCATTGATGTTTATGTTTTTGTATTTATTTATTCAACAAGCAGGGAAAACATGGCTCAAGTGCTCGTCAATCCTTGCATACTTTGTACCACCTTGGCCACTTGTGCATCCTCAGTGTTCGGTGACATTGGATTATTTGGATCCATACGGTTCTTGATCACCTCTAGCGCCTCCTGTACAGTTTTGCCCGTGTCTTGTTATGAAAGTATGGGTAAGTTAAACACATGTTCTATTGCTGGCTCACAATTTCCGTAGCATCAACTTACTGTCAATAGAGCTAAGGAACCGTACAAGCTCTTTGCAAAGTTCGAAATCCTCCACGTCCATAGCCTTCTGTAGCAGGCGTATTGTATCCTTTGCATAACATATTAGCATTCCGACACACAAATTGATTCCGAAAAAAAAATGCAGAACGTACTTTGCCACCAACAGCTAGAGGCTGCATCGTTTGAAGGATGATAAGGTACGATGTTGCTGTGCGTAGTCGCTCATCAGATAAACATAGCTGCACAATTAAGGTAAGTCGCGCATTATTTTTTTTCTTTTACATGAGATCGTTTTGCTCATATATCGGTTATTCTTAATACCTCGAATAAGTCTTTTGGTTCGCCTACTACTGAAAATAAATGATCCCATAGGGCCACTTCCGTCTTTCGTGCACAGCTGACAATGACATCCAGAGCATGAGGAAATTGATCCAAGTACTTGATCACCAGCGGTAAAATGGGATCTACCCACAACAATTGATTGTGATGGGGCGTCAGTATGCATGTAGTTAAAACTTAAAACCACATGGAGATTTCTATTTAAAAAGAGATACTTTACCATGGTGTGGCCGATTTTCCGTCTCCTCTTCTAACACAGTATGGAGCAAGATCTCAAGAGAGTGTCCGAAATAGATCAATCGCTCGTAAGCGCGACCAAATACTACTGCATCTTCTTCATATCCTTGACGTAGCAAATGTTGCAATATGTGATGTATAAATAAATGCGTCTACATGTGTGGCTCTTGAGTCATCACGTGGACAATGAACATGGTTTCCGAAACAGTTTTGTTCCATACATACCTTGCTGCTCATTTTGTAAATCATAAATTTAAGGGACTCTTTAAACACCATGCCTTGCTCTATTCCTATAACTACGCCTTTTTCAAGAAGCACAGCTGATAGAATGAAATAAATGAAATCAGCTTGAAATCGGTTGTCCAGTTGGTCTATGGTAGCAACTTACAGTGGGGATAAAAGTCTAACGGTATATAAATCGTGCTGTCGTCTAGTTGACGTATACTCGGAATTCGCCAGCGTGAGAAACCGTCCATTTCTATAACTGACATGGATGGTGATAAGGGTTCTGGGCCGATATGAAAGCCTAGCGAGTAGGGTCGACCGATGTTGGCCCTTGCAGCCAGGATACCCGGTGTAGTAGGTGTAGATGGTTCGCTTTCAAATGGATCATTGCTAAATGTATTGAATCCATAATCGTCGCTCCGTAAAAGATTCGCATAGACCTGTTTAGAAGAATTGTACTTTTAGCAAAACGTTGCATATCACTTACTAGTATTGTTCTCATCAATTTACCTTAACACCTTTGCCATCAACAACCCAAAGAGAAGTTAAAAGATTCGATATACTCTTTTTTCCAATCCAGTAGTATTCGGTTTTATCAGATAAGACATGTAGGTCATATTGTGATTGCGTGTTGGCTTGTCCTGTCAAGTCTGAATCATCGTCGTCATCCTAGTATGAAGAATTAGTATCAGTTATCATTCTAATGCCGTAGTAGCAGTAGTAGTAGCACTTAATACTTGGAATGACGTACAGGCACACGAGGGCAGAGCATAATCAATTTCCCATCCACCAAGATAACGATATTGGCAGATATAACGTCGCCCAATGCAGTCATTTGATCTGAAGATGATCTTTTTTTTAGAAACTTGTTACTTGACCAATTTTAAAGTTTCTTACCTCCATTATGGCTGCCAAACAAACTAATACCACGCACCCGCGTCACGCGAGCAACCACGTTACCAAAGGCAACTCGTCGTACGCGTTCCAATCGAGCGACGTTGACATTTCCGTTCCCGTTCATGATGGCTGCGTTTGCTGCATTGATGCTTTCGGATCGTGTGATAATATTATACACATTTAAAACATTGTCGGATGTGTAGACTAGCAGATAATTCCCACATATGTTTATATAGAGGGGGGTATGTTGTAAAGTCTCCGTATAGAGGATATGCGCGTTGTCGAGATTGTTGTCGCGCGAATACAGTCGTAGCTAAACAACGGTCCGATAAAGTCAGCACTCGTCTTATATCAATGACCATAATGATGAACTCTCACAACAAACGATATATACCTCGTACAGTTTTCCAGCAACCGGTGCATTAAGCACTTCGCAAGCCGCGATCAGTATATTCTTGTACCATGCTAAACCACCACGCACAAGGAACCCTTGCTCTTGCTGTTGGTTTCCAAACATTTTCCAGCGATTAGAAAATGTGTTATAGTGCGCCAAACCCCTGCGTCCTGCAACTGCGACGAATTTGCCGTCTGCGCTAATGGATGCATACTATATTCAGAAAAAAAAGAGAGAAATTTAAATCTACACAATTCCCAGAAGTAAACCTTGTCAAGCCACTTACTCGAATAGGCCAGTGATCGGTGATGTACATGGGCGGATACTATATTCTTATTGCATCAGCCATCAAGAGGCGCGAATACAGGCACTTTTATGTTACTACTAAGCTCACCAGCACTTGGGTCCATAGAACTGCATCGGGATCGATCGTTGTAGTATTGTTTTCTTGATAATCTCCACCATAGTTGTACAGTAAAATTCTGTCATCCATCTGCAGCAATCCTCGCCTCGCGTTATCCTGTAGTTTTAAACAGAATCAGTTACCCTCATCGCTTTCATGCATAGTAATAAGTAGTCGCAATATGAATAACTTACAGCATTGTGGAAGCTGGTGATGGCCGATTTTGCAAAAGGCAGAGTGAACAAACTCGTCTTCTCGCTTTCGATGGCAAAATAGTCGTCGTTTTTTTCCTTCAGTTCTGGCGCACTGAGGATAAATAGATGGTGATTACCCGGACCCCAAAACTATCATGACAAATCCCTAGACATATGAGTACGTATGTCTATCGACATGTTTGTGTTTAAGGGGAAAAAAGACTTACCAAGGAGCTAACACCTTTAATATACGTGTCTTGTGGGAGATAAGGTCTGTTATTGTAGATACAATTTTAGTCTCCTTCATCAACACTACAAGTAGTTGAATATAAAGAAAAAAAGCGTATACTTACTCATCTCCGCCGTCACCATGACTGTAAAATATATCGTCTATGACGCTGATTGAAGATAAGAGATTTCCGTAGACACTCCATACTGCTATTCCTCGACTTTCAAAACCGACAGCCAAGGCATATCCATCCGAAGTCCATGCGAGCGACTTTATACTACTTTGTGTTCCATATGACGTTGATCGCATATCTGCGGGGCCGTTTGCTTGCCGTATAAATTCATGTGAAAGCGTGGGTGCCGAAACGTAGTTGTTTGCTGAATATACATACACCTTTCCGCTAATAGGAAACCTCCTAGTCAGCTTTACTGAAACTCTTCACTATATATCTGCGGGCATATAACCTACCTTTTCGTTCCAACAGCGATAAGCGAGAATTTACCATTGACAGCGACACTTGTTGCTTGTTTGCCTACATCCACTTCCTCTTCTTCTCCGTGGAAACACGTGCCAGTCCATGTAATCATCTCTTTGTAACTAGGAACGGTGGGCGATATTCCAAAGGACGACATTGTCGGAGAACTCAACTGTATGTGTATATATGCATGTCAGATATTCCAGATATCATTAGTTTACTGCGCCAAATTTTCTTACCCTCCTACTACTGCTCCTTCGTCGCTGTCCAGGAGTAGATGCACCAGCATTTTGAATGAAATACACTCTTCCTGCACTCGTAACCCAAATCGAAACATTCATCGCCTTATCATAGGTGGTCGATATAACCTTTTCTATAGATGCAAAATGAGTAAACTACCTTTTCCTTTTCTCTTGCTTTCTTTGTAATGCATATGTACCTGATGGATCGACGAAAATGCCGAGTTTGCTTTGAACTGCAGTTTGCGTCGAATTGACTTCGTGCGGATTCCAGGAAATACACTGGATAGCAGCAGGTTTTTGTGTAGCAATGATAAGTGTATCGTCGGAAGAAGTACCGCTGGTTATAACAAAAAATATAAGCCAAAGATTAACGATCTTTCCCCTTGCTGATACAATATGTTTTCTGTTATGCGAGTTCCAGCTAGGAAGCATTCATGTACCATGCTACGCCAGCATCTACTCGAATCGCCAGTCGAAACTTTAATAACATTGTCCGTGGGCCGCCACCTTCACCGGGACCAGTGACAAACGCATGATGCGAGTGCGGAAAGTTAAATTCAAATGATCGCTGCTCGAAGCTGAGAATGGCATAAAGTAATAAATAGTTTTTGGTGGTCTACAGTGAATGGTACCGTGTTATCATCCACCCACCATCATTTATCAGTTTTATTTCTTCTACAAAGAAAATCAATGATTTCTCGATGAATGTTTTTTCCATATTTACCATGACCACGATGGCACTGGCGTCTGGCTTCCACATGATATGCTTGTTCGTGCCGAACTCATGGATATGCTTTTCTGATCGCTCTACAAAGGACAAGACGGCCGTCGGCTGCAATTGGGTTACATTATGGTGAGTCTCACGAAGTTACCAATGGTGATGGTAGTTGAAGAGACGATCGTCAGCATTGTAGCAGAGACCCAGTTTACCTTGACAGACCATAAATAGACGGCGGTGGAAGTGCAACTGACGAATAGTGACGCGTGTGGTGATGCTTCAACGCTGACAATATCGAGTGGTTGTCGAAAATGCTTGTCGGCATCTTGACTTTGAGTTGCAGTGTTGCCACGCAATGCACTGGCTAGGGACAGCTGACTTGCCACGCCATTGAGCCAGTACATTATATTTTATTTGAGAAGAGCAAGGAGGGCAGTAGAGAGGGAGCTGAAAGAGGGCGGCAACGACGGGCTGGAAGAGATATACTGTTTTATGTATGGAACACAATAGGAGTTGCAAGCACCGAGAGAGGGTTGGGCTTTATTTAAGCCATAATTATCCGCTGAGTTTAGCCCCAAGCACTTGGATATGAGTAAGAGAAAGACGAAACCTTTTCTCTGTCTCTTTCTTCCTCGCTCTTTTTCTCTCCACTACTGTCTTCTCGATATGGGTCCAAAGAAACCAGAAATAGAGTACATTCATCTGCGCCGTATCTTTGAGCTACGCAAGGCAAAAGACCCTCCTCAAGAATACACCGAGGCCTACGAGTGCCTGCGCAAACTTGCACAGGGTGCCATGAAGAAAGGACCCTTCACTGTCACCAATGGCAAAACTGCTCCACATATTGCTGCCAGTGGTGACCCACGCGATTTCTTGAGTTATGCACCGTAAGTTTTCACTATTGGGGCAAACTCATATGCGATGTTGACTTGAAATCAAATAGATACTGGTGGCCGGTAAATATAACCCAAAGAAGTAGTAGTCTTGGTACGACAACGCAGCTAATAATTATGTGGTCGTGCGCCAGGAAGAAAAAAATGGCAAAGTAAACTACGTTCGTCGCGACGGCAAGCGTAATCCTGGTGAGTGAGTGGTGCATTCCAGGATGATTGAGCCACGGCGTCTATGCAAAAAAAAGACAAAACTTTAATTTTGTTTGCTTTTGTTCCGTTACAGATTGCAAACTAGTGCAGGACCAATCCCAACTGGAGGGTCTTGCAGAAAATTTAACGTATCTTTGCCTGGGGTATTACCTACTGGGTAAGCCTGAATACGGCAACCACGCTGTGTCTCTGATCGATGCATTTTTTGTCAATGATAAGACAAAGATGAATCCCCATGTCGAATATGGCCAAGTAGTCCGAGGTGCCAACAATCCTACTGGCAAGGGACGCGCAGAAGGCATCATAAGCACTCGCTTGTAAGGGATAAGGAAAAGCTAGAATTCTGGGCTGCTGTCGGATTACCTAACGCATTTGTCGCTCTTTGAAAAGCTTGGCTAGAGTCGTTAACGTGCTGCCACTGCTACAAGATCACGAGGCATACACTGCTGTTTCGCAACCTGTCCGAGCATGGTTCTCGGACTACTTGCGCTGGCTTTTGGAAAGCTCAATCGGTAAAAAGGAGGCTGCAACGAAGAACAATCACTACACGTTTTATCTAGTGCAGACCACCTCTATCCAGCAATTCCTCCAGCCTGAAAATCGCGACGGTGTACGCAGCATCGAAAATTACTTCAACGTGACACTCCCAAAACAAGTTGATCCAAACACTGGAAACCAGCCATTGGAAGCCAATCGGACCAAACCCTTCCACTACCTCGAGTTTAATCTACATGCCGCTTTGTTCCTTGGAGAATTGGCCATAGACGCTGGTTGCAACGTGTACAGTCATCACCAGCTGATCCCTTTAGCGACGACTTATATGGTGGGCTGTTGCAAACCAGACATGAAGGAAGATATGACAGAAGGGGTGCGCACTGTTGAAATTGTCAAGAGCCGTTATGGGGATACCAACGACAGCTGCTACACAAATTTTCTTGAAAATGCCCGCAGATGCAAAGATGCTGAAAACCTCAGCGGTCCTAAGCATGCTATCGCTCGACTGTGGTTTTACCACGAAAACGGCCAACAATGTTCACCGAGCACCAGTAGTAGCAGTAGCAGTAGCAGTAGCAGTAATGGCAGCCACCATCATAAAGGTAGTCGGACGAAAGCCTTTTTGAATAAGCTGCTCCATAGGAACAAGTAAAAACCACAGCGCTGTGTACTCATGTACTGTCAGAAGAAACCAACTGTATGAATTGCACAAACTGTATGAAGTGAGCTTACTGCATTGACTCCTCGTTACTACAGCGCATACAGCACTTGCATGAAATATGATTCCAGAGCAGCTAAGCTTTGCATATTTTCAAGAGAGAACCATATTCAAGAACAATGTTTTTTTGTTAAGCCATGTTTGATGGAGTAAGACAAATTTCAGAGCAAAGAGGACGGCTTAGAGAAGTAGAATACAGATCAAGATGGCAAAATTAAATATGTCGGTGCGACGTCTGTGCCAAGAATAAGCTAAAGTGTGATGACAACAGCAACAACAATACCGGGCCGAGTACAACCTCTATGCTCAAGTCTTGGTTATCAATATGAACCATTACTTCACCATGACTGTCGCACTATATAGTCTGGCACATAGCAACCACTGATATACGATAAAGGCGTGGAATGTTACACGGTGCTTTTGTGGTTTAAATTTATTTAATCTATTTTAATTTAAAGGTTCTTCGAAGATGAACTAAAAAAGGTGGTAATATCGCGATCCCGCCAGTGCCGGATGCGGTTGAATGTAGCGGCACTGCAGTGGTTGAGTGAGAGTAAGGGAGGGGAAGGATTTTTTTTGCTAAATGTCGTAAGGGACAATTGATGCTTATTACAAGTAAGTTTATGGGCTTCGACTTTATGCTTCGTTCCATTCCCTGTCTGACGTTTTTTGGTAAATTTCTTGCGCGGATCTGTATATAGAAAGGGAGGGAGAGAGAGGCAAGAGATGAACCAAAGTGCAGTAAGGATACCCGTAGGACCGACGTAGACAAGCCAGTGCAGAAATGCTACGGCAGAGAGTGGCGCTGCTAAGTCAAATTGAAATTAGTCTATGGCTCAATACAACATAGCGATGACTTTTCTGTGGGGATATACGAATGACTCACATATTTGGGGTGGGCCGACTGCTGTTTCTATACCCTTTCAATGCAGGCTCAAGACTAATGTTACTGGCATTAGCAAACATATATTAACCATGACTATTGTACAAAAGGAAGAACGTGGCTGACTATAAGATACATTTGCACAATACAGCATGTCATCCTGATGGCCCAGACGGCAGCCTTGGCTAGCAGAACCGTTGTTCGGACCGTGAGCTTGGTAATGAGGAACACGGTCCTCATCAACGATACTGCCGCCTTCAGAACCGAGACCGCCGTCTCCACAACCGAGACCGCCGCGCTTATGACCAATGCTAGGTCCTCAGCAGTGAGCTCAAAAGCGGCCTGGTTGTGGTTGTCGTCCTTGGTGGTGGCGATGGAGACAGAGGAGGCAGAGGAGGCAGAGGAGGAGGAGGCGCAGGGAAGTAAACTGGCGAACCAGCGGAACGCAGTTTGCAGTGCCGAGGCAGCTGCAGGCAAAATTGATTTAAAAAAGGCATTCTGTTGTGTGTGTGTGTGTGTGTGTGTAGAACGAGAAGTAGTAGTGGTTGAAGAGTAAAGAGATATCCAGGATCGAACGAAGCTTGGTATTTATAATGCTGGAACAAACCCTTAATCAATCCATCCATCCGCAACAGCTGATCGATCACCTTTTGCACACTCAACTTATCATCCTAATTCATCATTACTACTTCTACTTCACCCGAGGGTTTTTCTGACATTTAACCTTGTTCTTGTCCGGTCTCCCTTGTCATTACTCCTGTGTAATTTCTTGTGACAGAGCATCGGGAAGATAGATCAACAATGGAGGATCTGCTTTCAGAAATAGTAGGAACCCCACAAAGAAAAGTGGAGAGATTGATTGGCAGGTCGGAAGCCATGTGTCGCTTCACTGAGGGTTTCTTTTCCTCTTTATATACATCTATTACGATTAATACAGTACTGACGTGAGTCAGCAGGAAGCAAAGGTAGTCTAGGAACGAGGAGCTCAGGAAGAGCGCAACACAGATCTTTCTTCTTTGGATAGTGACAAGTGATGCGTGTGTCAAACCTCGAACGTTCCAACAGCTTTCCCTTGAAACGAAAACTCCGTAGAGTGAAAGCGCATTGTTACGCAACGATTTGGCCAATTTACTTGGTACTCAAAGTGCACAAAGGAATGGCGGGTGAACAAGGTGATCAATGGAGCAACGAGTTACGCGCAAAAGGGTCAAAAGATGTACAGTAGGAAGTCATCGTTTATGGTGTTATTCTTTTGATCGTCCCAATGGATCTTGAAAGCTGCTAAAAAAAACGTAGAACCCGCACAAAAACAAACGAACCGATTAACTTTATCAGCAGCTATGAAAATCAATGAAGGGTGAGTCAGTTTCACTAGCGGCAGCGTATACTTACCATGAGCGGTCAGCTTATCTGTGGCAGCACACTTGGATAGAGTATGAATTCGGAATGGATGGAGGGAGGTTACACGGCGTAGTTCAGAGAACTGTTGGCGGATGGCGAAAATTATAAAGCAACAGTAGACAAGCACGCTTCACAGTAAAAGATAACGATCTTTTTTTATATACTGCAGCGTTGGAGTCAAGTGTGTGTTGTATCTATTCCCGCACACAGCACATGCAATCAAAAGATACTAATCAAATGGAATAGTCTGTGGACTACGCTCTATACTCATGCTGTTTACCTTGTTGGGTGAAGAATAGAAACTGGCTGCTGGGAGGATCGTGTTCTTAATGTTTACTATTGCTGGATCAGGAACAACTGATGCCGTAGAATCTGTTAAGTTGTTTACCTTGTCAATCACTCCTGTATTGCCATTTGATTGCTCACAGAAAAGCATTTCTTCCGTGAATCTACATGCTCATTCACATTCGTGTCTTTGTTTTCGCTTGACACGGTGCCGTGCACGGACCCCCTCACAAGCAAGCGGCGACAGCATCGGAGGTACAGCAGCCCATGGTGAGAGACACGTACCACTACCGCCGAAGCACGCTTGTCTACTTGACCATCAGGTACCACTCCTCCTTTCATTTCCTTTGGTGCTGTATCTTTTGTTATGCCATAGTAGGCAGCCCACAAGTTGATACGCAACCCGTTATCTGGGCCAATGAGAATTCACGGGGATTTGAAGTCCCGAACGAGAAAAATGTCTATATAAAGCGAGCAATTTCGCCTTTCTTTTTTCTCTTCTCTTCAGTTCGTTTTGGTACAGCTTTGGTCTGTAGTACAGATGCACTGCTCTGTGCCATGATCGGGTCATTGCTTGTGCTGGCTATTGTCATAATTCTTCTGATGATCGGCAGATTCAGTGGTCCGCGCCCTGAAGAAAATTTGCAATACATACCAGTGGGAATGTGGTCATATACTCCGGCAGCCGATCGTGAACCTTCGGGTGCATGTGATGCCAACGGTATATGTTGGGATAATTGAAACGAACTTTTTTATTATTATTTATTACACACAAATAAGAAAATGATAAACAAAATAAAAAAATATATTTTTCTTTTTCGCACTTTCCGCATAAACGTTTTACCGCTTTTTGCTTCGCCTTTTTTTTATGTGCACGACAAGTTCCTTTTTCTTTTTTCGCGAACAAAAAGCTAATTACTCCCCCTCCATCCATTCACAGCTCCGTGCTAAACAAAGCGGGGAACAGTGACAGTGGCTCTGTATCGTAGCCGAAAGTAACACGATCACAATGCTTTGGCACTCTTTTTCACTTTCTGTGTTCGCCTTAATTGCCAAAGCAATTGTCAAGAAAAAAATTGTTATCGAGGATATGGTCGGTTATTTTATAAGAGGCAACGCCAGAGCATACGCCAGCAGACCTGTATAATTGGCAGATCTGTAAAAAATTGGAATGTTTTTTTTTCAGCTGTTCGTCTCTCTCACTCTTCCTGCACGTAGCGTATCACAACACAATTTTCTTATCATTTTGGGTTTCACCTGGATCGAAAAGCTTGCACTGATCTTTCCGATGTGCCTGCTTTTAAAGCGTGATTCTTGTAACAGCTCTTTCCCTCCCCTTACACCTTCACTTCTCTCTTCCTTTTCTTATTTAACTTTACTTCGTTACATATTTTCAAGGTATGCGTTACCTATTTGAAAGTGATGATCGCTCACCAAAGATATCAGGGGGACCTGTTAAAGATATGATATATTTGCTCTACCAAAACATGCACGCACCCACACACACAGGATGCTGTGTTTTCCAGGCCAAGCGATTCGTTACTTATATATGACTTTTGCGGCTCGCAAACAATAAACCCGAGTATTGATTGAAGCCTTTTCCTTCGTATCGAGAAGTCGATGGTTTTAGAAAGAGCCTGTTCTAATGTGTATCTGCGTATCGCTATGATAGCATAGATTTAATGAAGTTACTGGTGGTTACAATAGATCAATCTTCAGGGTCCCCCTTTTCCAAATAAAATTCAGGTGAGCTACCTGGTTCGACTTGCTTTTCCTTTGTCGGACATATTATTTCACGAGTCCGGATTATGTTATACAGGCTTTGTTCGATTAAAAGCCTCGTGCCAAATTTCTTTTCGCGCGTCCCCTTTCACATACACGTAATATGACTGATTTGATCTCGATTTTGCCTCCCGAATCATTCAGTACATCTTCTCGTTTATCGGACAGCGGGCTGTGTCGAATGTGTGAAAGTATGTCGCCGCTGGTTATACGCGATCCCCACTTACCAGACAGCCCTGTGGACACTGGTGGGAATCTCGCCTGATGCATGGAACAAAAGGAGCGACGCGATGCTTCAATGTTTGGGACAACAAGTCGAATCAGTATACATCAAATCTCAAGCCACGTATAAAGTACTGGAACGACTTGCTTGGCGAAGATACAGCATTCGCTTCCTTGGTGAAGTAAAACGATACTCTTTTTTTTTGCGTTAAGAGGATCGCGTATTCGGTAGTACTTACTACTGCTTATGCGCAAAAGATATACTAAAGCTTTTTCTTTGTTTTCAATAAAAAAAATAAGACATCAGCAACCATGTGCATAGCAAACAATTACAACCTATTTTCGACAGTAGCACGTTACTGCCAGGATTCATCAGATATTTCTCGCATACGCTAACTGCTCTGACGATTTCATTTCACACTTGCGATATCTCGCTGCCAATGCTACTGGACTTCTTGCCGTCATTAACGCATCTTTCAGTGATGTTTGATGGCCGCACTAACTTATCAGACGCTACTCTTGAACAAGTTGATGGCAGAAGCAGACACAAAAGGCCACCGATACACAACATTATCTTCTTAAGACTGGACGGTGTTCTCAGTTTTAAATACCGGATCCGTCCCTTATTGCAGCGTTGCTCCCACATCAAGTACTTGATATTATCGCCTTACTCACGATTCAACAACGTATCTCCAACCAACATCTATACAGCTTATGAGCTGTGCCCTCTATTACGCTACATTATGTGGGAATGCAGCGAACCAGTCATAGCAGACAGATGGATTTCACTATCAAGAAGCACGAGTGCTTATATTAAGTAACTGAAAGGAAAGCATCGAATGATGGCGAGGAAGGCAGTATGGCTTATGAACTGCTATTCAACGGCAAGGGACACGAGAGGATCATGCCGATAGTAGTTAAATCGCAGCCGATACTAGAACATTTACGTATAGTCGCCTGTGGTCTTTCTGATATTCATTGCTGGGATGTCTTGGCACGCAACCAATTCACACAGCTGACAAGTTTGGGGTTGACGGACATCACTGGTATGTCAAGCGAAGATTGGTCCCAGATTTTGCTCATGCAGCAACAAAATGAGATCTTGGAAGTTGGAAATCGCGCTGGAATAACGCAGTATCTGAACAGCATTATCGCAACCATCGGTACGCTGCAACGGGCTCCGTATACTTTCCTTGCGAAATTTCCTTCACATGTTCAGCGAGAATCCTCTTTGCGATCTTACTCCGCTTCGACGTTTG